TCGGCGTAGCGCTTCCGTCTCACGGTGGGTGATGGCCCTATAAGGTCAGACCGCAGTAATCGCACCCAGTTCCTCTTGTCAAAAGGGTACGTGTAGAAAGTCGACTTCAGCACTAGCTCCCTCTTCTCCCTAGGTTCATTCAGTTAGTTAGTTCGAATCGTTTATCCTGGTTTGAACACGGTCAATTTTAGAATTGTAGGTGCTTGTAGTTGAGTGTACTGACTGTTTCAACTGCTATAAATAATGTGGCACTGGGAACCTTCTCATCTCGCTGGGCGCTACCGAGCAACGTATGTATAGCCTTCAGGACTCGGGCTCATGGAACCTTTCACTAAATGGCGACATAATCATCGTGGAGGGCTGTATACGAGTAGAGGAAGCCCGAACATGTGAATAATTCATCAAACCCAGGCCGTGGAACGAGGCTTATCACTCCGAACCAGGAGCAAGGTGTATAAACGGTTACGAGGGAGCAGTCTGTTCACTTTATGATGTTGGATTTGTCTAGTGGCATCACGGTCTACAGTACCCGAGGCGGTGCACATTACTTCCCACCGTCAAAGTCCATGCTAGCACCTACTCTACTTTGCTACTCACTTGGAAAGCTGGACACGACTGATACACTGGGAAGCTGAGTTCGCTTTGCGACGATGATAGAACGGTGTGGCACCGTTGAAGAAAAGCCGAATGTAGCAAGGGACGAGACACGAAGGTGAAGATGGGGACTTCCTTTCTGGCTTTTTCCTGCTGCTGAGGCATATCTTTATTGCGGGGAGACAGCCGATTGTGAGTTCTGGCACGGGACTCAGGTCAGAACCATTCTTAATCCCTCACTTGCAAATTCCAGAGATGAGAACTCTCCCGTGAACCTACACCCTGGCCTTGAAGTATGCCTCGGGGATAGCCGATGAAGCTCCAATTCTCGCGTCCCAAGGGCTTCTGGTCACAGAACCAAGCATATCCGCAGTTGATTGCTTCACTGGCCCGATTCGACCCTAGCTCTTGATTGCGCGTATAATGTGTTGAATATAGTCAAGGATGCGCCAAGTCTTCGGCAGGTCTCCCGTTTCTAGATGCCGTTTTGGTTTTGTCCCCTTCGTCAGGTCGAAGGTGGGACACCCGATGACTCCAAATCAGGGTCGACTGAACGTCCTGCCTCGGCTAGGATGGGATCCTGTTTGACTCCAATTCTTCCACTTTTCATCCCTCAAGAAGTGATGGCAGACAAAAGACAAGCATTACCTGCACCGGTATGCATGTCCTTTTTTCTGATCCAAGAAATATATCCGAAATCCCAACACAATGACACAATGATTACCACGCAAATCCAGGTCTCGGAGCATCTACATATTGTGTGCTTCTAACCACGCTCACATCCCAGCAACAGTCCACCCAAGCCATGTCCGCTGACCTCCCAGCTTCCAATGAAACACTCCGAACCACAGAGCCAACGTCACTGGAATATAGACTTCCCGCTGACTCATAACCCTAAACCCCCAGGATGCTTGCACAATCTGGCTCTTTGGTACAGGGTACAGTGCATAACACTAATTGCTCCGCCCTGCCGAGAACAGATAATGTCTTTTCTCGTCAGTAGAGAAACAATATGTACGTGACCAACTCGTACACAGTACGTGTACCTGTGCAGATCATGTCCAAAAACCGAGGATATTCCACAAATAAGACGGGGCAAATTACTCAGCTCCGGCGGGAGGGGAAGAGAAAAGGCTTGGCGGGGGGGGATCCGAATCCGCCCGGTGCATTGCCAAGAGCGTTAGGGTGAAGGGGACTAGCCCTAGGGCCCCTAGGGGTTGCTCCGGCTGGCAGAAGATGGCGTAAGCTGGTGGAGAACTGCTGGTTAGTTGGGGTCAGGGAAAAGGGTCGTCGATGGTTGGGTGTGTTTCAAACTTTATGGTTATGCTTATTTTTCTTATCTGTTGTTTGCTTCTTTTCTTTCTGAGATGATTTTCGTGCGCTGTAGATCTTGGATACCGCTCGACTGGTTGAAGGATGGAGTAGGTTCTTCTGTAGGTGGAATGATAGAGATGTTATACTTCTATTGATAGTTGGCTAGGATTCAAGAGCGAAAATTTCCTTTTGGCAAGGGTGGGTAATCCTGTTTGCTTCGATTTAGCACCAGAGCCCTGACATCGCCGGCCGAAGATATAGTACTGTACATACTGCAGGGTCCATCTTCCGCTACCTCAATCTAGCCGTCCACTTGATGAGACATGTGGCTGAACCCCGAAATTTGTTCGTCGACCAATCCCAGTCTCGTCAATTTTAAGCATGCCTGTCTGCTATCCGCTTACGAAACGGACCCTCGTCCTGTGAGAGTAAGTGGATTTGTTGTGCCAGAAGCGCGAGAGGGTGGATCCCGGCCGCGTCGTCAGCGGCCGATGATCCTACCCCGATGGATAACGGGTCTGGCCCGTTCCTTTGAGATCTCTGCGTAGATTCCATGGAGAAGCAGCGGATGAGGCAATCGATTAGATTTCTGAGGTTTTCTAGCCTCCAAAGTGGTGATGTCTTGGCGGGGGGTCGTCCCCGCCGGCGGGTCTAACAGCAATTGTGCCAGCTTTGAAGCTAGCTAGCTTGCTGGCTAACTTGCTTGTTTGCGACCTGCGTGTGCTAAATCCCTGTCAACTGTTATCATGTTCACTGCGCAGGACGGGGGTCGGTCGAAATGGCTTGCGTCAGCTGAGGTTGGCAGCGGCAGCATCACGGAGGAACTGCCAGTATCCGTGCCACTCCGAGGTTGAGAAGAGGAGGACAGAGGGTATAAAAGCTTGTGTTGGCTGCTGCAACTCATGAGACAAGACAACAACAGCATCCACATTCCTTCTTCCGCTCACTCACTCACTCTCCTCTCTTTGTGAATTGCACCTCTCGTCAATATGGTTCGCGTTACTGCTACCGTGATTGCCGGCCTAGCTGGTCTAGCCGGCATGACCTCTGCCCATCCAGGCCACGACGTGCGCGCTGAAGCCGCTGAGCGTGCTGCCTTCTTGAAGCGTGCTCCCATGCACGCTCGTGGCCTGAGCCAGTGTGCTAGCAAGCTCAAGGCCCGTGGCCACGAGAGCAGCAACATCGCGCGTCGCCAGGCGACGCTGGATTCTCTGCGTCGTCGCAAGGGATTGTCCACTCGTACGCATGACCCCATCCTACACTCACGAGCAAAGCATGCTCACACACACTCAACAGGCGCACCTCCCCTCAAGGCCCGCGACCTGACCACTATCCTCAACACCTCCCACCTGTCTTCGTTGGATGTGACCGAGAACACCCAGGACTATGATACCTTGTTCGCCTCCAACGCCAGCTGTGTGCTCGGCCCGGACGTCACCCAGGGTCCTTACTGTGAGTCTCCCTGCGTTGTACCAATTGAGGGACCATCCAACTGACAATAACATCAGACGTCACCGGCGAATTGATCCGCAGCGACATTGTCGATTCCCAGGAGGGTGTCCCCCTGTACCTGGACATCCAGCTGGTGGACAGCAGCACCTGCGACCCGGTTCCGGATGTCTACATTGACTTCTGGCACTGCAACGCCACCGTACGTTTTCCCTAACCCCTTGCCCTTTCCGCCTGACCACAGAAAGACACAGTATACTAACTTCCAGCATCACAGGGCGTCTACTCCGGCATCCAAGCCAGCGGCAACGGCAACTCCAACGACGCCACCAACCTGGACGCGACCTTCCTGCGCGGCATCCAGCAAACCGACGACTCGGGCGTGGTGCAATTCCAGACCATCTTCCCGGGCCACTACACCAGCCGCGCGACTCATATCCACGGTGAGTTTGCCTGTTCCAGCCCCCTGACCTCTGCTTCAAGCTCCCCTCAACCCAGCCCCCCAATCTCCCTTCCCCACATACCCGCCAACATACTAACTAACCCCGCTCAAAAGTCCTAAGCCACAACCCCAACACCACCACCACGACCAATGCCAACGACACCCTGACGGGCCTGTACAGCACGACAGCCAACCACGTGGGCCAGCTGTTCTTCGACCAGGACCTGATCACCGAGGTCGAGGCCACCTCTCCCTACAGCACCAACACCCAGGAGCTGACCACCAACGCCAACGACTCCATCCTCTCCGAGGAGGCCGACACCATCGACCCCTTCGTCGAGTACGTGCTGCTGGGCGACTCCATCAGCGACGGTGTGTTCGGGTGGATCTCCCTGGCCATCGACTCCGATGAGTCGTCGAGCATCACCCCCGCCGCTTACTACACCGCTGATGGCGGCGTGGAGAATGATTCTTCTTCGGGTGGTGGTAGCAGTGGTGGCAGCGGTTCCGGCAGTGGAAGTGGAAGTGCGCCTGGTGGGCAAAGCTCGGGTGCTCCCGGCCAGGGCGAGGGACAGGGTGGTCGGCCTTGAGGAGCGGTAGTTTGTGCTTGTGGTGGGGGAAGCGGGGGTGCGTAGTGAGCATGTCGGTTTCTGTTGGTTGTTTGTTGCGGTTTAGTTGTTTTGTGGAGGAGGGGAGGAGAGGAAGATGCCGAGTGCTGGGGGTTGGTTTTGAGGGTTGTTGTTGTTGTTGCTGTTGTTCAATTCGCTTCGTTTTACTCCCTTCATCTGTTGTCATATGGATGATTGAGATTTTTGAATATATTGTACTAGATATATTGTCCTACATTGTTGAAATCCGGTTGACCATCGTGTAGAACGGAATATCCCGATGCTGTTTGTTTATGTATACATCACTCACTGCTAGGTAAAGGGAGCTCCACGGTACAGGGAAAGGATACTGCGCTTATACACCGACAGCCAATCACCAATCCGACCTTAACCCAGCCTCCCACGCGGTGCTGTACATCACGATTTTCAGAACGAAATGCTGTTCAGCAGATCTCTCCGCCTGGTGTGTCGGAGAACCTTCTCTTAAACATAGTTGTATTTTTGTGTGAGTGATTTTCCGTGAATTGGATGTTAACGATGATTGTAACTGTCAAAAAAAAGGAAAAAAAAAAAAAAAAAGAAACAAAAACGAGAAAAGAAGAACGAGAGAAGAACTGACATTGTGACACAACTCTTAATCAAGATCCGACTTCCCATCCATCATAACTTTACAAAGCGGCGAGCGAGTCCTTTAGGTCGCAGGAGAGACCAAACAACAGCATGCAAAGCCCCTGGGACCTTTGCCAAAAACCGGAAACCCGGTTTTGGACTCACCGCATGTGAACTGACGTATCTGTATACATAAACTTTAGGTTCAGCCACGGAGATTGACAAATCCGATTGCGTCGATAGGCCTTCGGAAAGCTCAGCCGAGTAAAACTTCCCTGCGGGCACCAGGTTTTGAGTTAAGGGGAAAGTGTCCGGCATGAGGGGAGGGACAATATGATGAAAAGGGACTACGACCGACAAAGGGTTTCGCCGGTTGGTCGACGGCAGGGAGCCACGGTCAGGGCGGGAGGGGTGACAGCTTGAGGACGTTGACCTAGGGAGGACCGAATTCAGAATCTCTGCTAGTTTGGTTGCATGGAAGTTTCCAGGGTGCTTATACCATTGCTTGTGGTCTTCTACTGCTTGAAAGGAGGGAGGGGATAGATACATACAAAGAACCACTGGTTGAAGGTAAGTTGCCTTGGCATTTCCCGAGTTCAGATACATTATTCAATTATTCAGGTTCCGTTCCAGTTCCAGTTCGAAGGAAAGAGCGGCCTTCGAACACTCGCGATTATGGCCAATTACCAAAACAAAGGACGAAAACCTACATCATCCTGTCCGTCAACCCATGACCGGTCAAGAGAAGGAATACTAACGCGCAGGAGGTGGTTTTTCTCCCTCGATTTTTTCTCTTTTTGTTTTTTTTTTTTTTTTTTTCTGTTTTTCTTTTTTTTTTTGCCAAAAAAGGAATCTCACTCTTGTCTCCCGTCTGCGGCAAAATGGTAGATCGTATCCAGAAAGCTGAGCAGAAAGCCCAACCAAGTGAGTTGGGAATGATATCCGTGAAGAGATTATGCAACAGGCCGACAAATCAACACTCAAATCTCAGTTATCCAAAACCAGCCCTAACCAAGCCCGGGTAAAACACCTATTCACCCCCATAAAGTACATGGACAGATGAAGTCGGAGTGATAGGCCCGTCGCCCGTGCGGATGACGACCTTGACCTGCAACGCGCGCGCCTCCCGGATACAACACGAGAGACACGTCCGACCCGCGCGGCCGACGATAGCATGATACCCCACCGAGGCGCACCACGCGCGGGCGAAGGCCTCCTTTTCGCGGGAGCCGCGCGCGTCCAGGATCATGGTCTCCTCCGGGTCGAAGGCCGATCGAATGTGGTCCGACGCCGAGAATTCTTCCGCCAGGGAGGGCAGGTCGACCCAGCGGTAGGCGTAGCGGCAATGCAGCGGGTGGCCCGGGAGACGGTGGTGACGGTGGCGGTCTGACGAGGCGCTGAACGGGGATGATGATCGTTGATTGGGTTGATTCCTACTGCTCCCGCTACTGCTGCTCGTGGCGTTCTGAGCGTGGGGACTGGTGATCATGCCGCCCGGCGGGCGGCATTCATGGGAGGAGATAAACTGTACGTTATACTTCAATGGGAACGAGAGCTGTGTGGCGGGGGCGGCGGCCGTGTCAGAGGATAGAGAATAGCGCGCAGTGGCCTGCTCGACCACCGTGATCGGATGCTCGGCGGATGGGGGTTGCTGGGCTTTGACCTGGAATGTCAACTCCTCGAAGGCGATCTTCAGTTTCACGGAGCAGTCGCTTTGGTCGTCGAGGGGCATGCTGAAGGCGCCGCTGGTCAAGTCCCCGGGGCCCAGGGGTGTGGATTCCAGGGACAGCTTGGATCCCTGCTTGATCCTCGGTTTTCCAGGTCTGTCCTGCGGTTCTTTGGTTTCCACCTCGAACCAAGTATCGACCAGAGGTTGAGAGGTCTCCGAGTCGGTGGGCAGAATCGGGCTAGCTTGCCATGCCAAGCATACTTTGGTCCCTTCCAAACAAGCCATCACCCTGCCCACAATGCATTCTTTGCTCCACCAGCTCCGTCCGTCATAAGCAAAGCCACCGTAAAGATTGACAACCGGCCCTAATTTGGCCATGGCGTCGGGATCATTTTCCAGGATGGTACTGATGAGTAAGTGGCTGATGGAGGAGCCAGGGATCACAAAGCCGGACAGCCAGCTTCTGGTGGCCCAACCGCCAAGGTGATTATGATTGCTGTCATCACCCGTATGGTGTAGAAGCAAGAGACGTCGATAAGAGTTTCTGCTATACATGGCTTTCCGCAAAAGGGGTATCTGGTACCCTGCTGGGATATTATTAAGTTCCGGGTTGGTAAAGATGTCCTTGATGATTTGCCCATTTTGATCTCCATCAAGCTTTGACCTGAGGGTCTCCTTAAAATCGTCCAAGCGCGGCCAGTCTAGGTTATCGGCGAAGACAAACAGACCTTTGAGTTGCTGCATCACATGATTGGGCATCAGATGACATCTCCAGGCTGACTCATTGTGAGGGGTGGCCGGAGACGAATGGTGAGTGATACTCGAGAAGAAAGACCGATGGTGATGTTTCTCGTGTGAATGGCCGGCTTCCTCGAGACTTTCTGGACTAGTGCTGCCATCCTCGAGCTGATAATCAAGATCGAAGCTGTCCATAAATCGCCGTACGACGACCAGATCCCAGTTCAGCTTACCGTTTCGCAAACGGTCAAACTCATAGATATCGCGTAGCGAAATGTTGATATCTTTCGATTCTTGAAGCATCCCGACGCGGACAGTCGCGTCCAAACGCATCAGGAGCTCGGCAGCAAGCTGCATCTGGACCAAAAACCACTTGCGCTCGAGGGTCGAATGCACCCATGGCTTATCCGACGCCGAAATGTCGATGAAGTCGCCGTCCATGTGCGGTGACTGCTCCCACAGCAGCTGACCGATATGCAGTCGCCAATCGATGAGGCTGAAATCCAGCCATGCGCCCGGCGTGGCCAGCACGACGGTCAAGGCCTTGATCTGGACCTTCAGACTGTGCGGATCGCCCATGTCGGCAATGAGATAACGTACTGGCGGGTAGAGGAACTTGGTGAAGAGTTCATTATAGAGCTCACGTGTCCCTTCAATGTCGAGTATCGTCTTCGGTCGATCTCCATGCAGGATCTCGTAGCGCAGGTGCTTCAATGTCTGCAATCGCTGCACCAAGACCTGTAGATCGATGTCGCGGACACCAATTTTCTTCCAGAAGTTCGGCCCCTCTCGCAACAGTTTCTTGCGATCGTGGACAGTACCATCCGAGCAAAGGGCGTACGGTTGGCCGTAACGCTCCAACAACTCGAATGACTCGGTTGCTGGCAAGCTCGATAGATGTAAGTAGTCTGATGAAGGCCTTGGTACCCCCGGACCCGGATAGCGGGCGGCGTCGGCCACGGGAAGCTCCAGGAAATAGCGGAACCCGACCGTCCCCGGATCCCGTCCATGCATCGCCAGCATATTGGGAATTTCCTGTACCCCTACGTCGAAGGTCGCTCGCCTGGGCGCATCGCTTCGTTTCCAGTTACCCAGATGAGCCGGGACATCGCCTTCGATGACCCAGTCGTCCGGCACTGGCAGATGCGCATGCAGGGTGCACAAGGTGTAAGAGGCATGGGGAAGAGGTCTTCTACCCCATAAACATTGGATGAGAGGGTCGTGATCATCGAAGGGGAATATGACTTGCGGGAACCAGCGGTCATGCTTTCCTTTCTCCAGCATGAAATACGGGGCTCCTGAGAAGATGACCTCCACATCTTTCATCGTCAAATGGTGCTTATGAGGCGATGGCACGTGGTGGCCTGGTTTCGGCGATTGGCCAGGCTTGGAACCTGCGCTCTGGGGGTGTTCAGCCGATGACTCGTGTACGCCGCTGTCATGGCGGGTATGAGAACTTGCAAGGGCATTTTCCGACGTCTGTGATGGCGGACTATCTGTCTGCAACAGTGTTAATTACCACGATCATATATACCATATCTAGAGTGCTCGAGCTAGAACCTTACCCGACGTGGAGATCCAGGGTTCGATGGGGAATCAGAATTGGAAGAGCCGTGGTGTTTGTGGAAGATATCATGGAGCACGCCTTTGGCACGGAGACCATGGCTCTGATCCGAGATATCCGGAGCCGATGATCTTCGCCCACCGTTGCCCCGCGGGACTGCATCTCCCTCGTTCGGCGCGGTGGAGGCAACGGAATGTCGTCGTCCAAAGATAAAGGACATCGCGAATGTATGTACGTATTTATAGGAGGATGTGAGTTTCGTGCCGTAGCTCAGCAAGTATGCTGCAAGATATCGCTTGTGTGTTGGCGCATGGCGGTCGGGAATCTGAAAGGCGGATTGCGGGTTGTGGCTCAAGAGCGACGGGGTGAGCGGCGCTCACATGGGGCTTAAATAAACTATACCAAGCAATCAGACCACCGGTGATCGACAGAAGGAGCCACACTCAGCATAGGAACCCAAGACACACCAAGTGATGCAAGTGAACAGGAAGATAGAATGGAGCAAGAGTGGAAGAAGAAAGTGAGGAAAGACGGAAATGGGTCGATGACGTCGTCATTGGATGTGCGCCCCGCTCCGGATCCCTCTAACCTATTTGGGTCATTTCATCGATTAACAACAACATTGTCACTGTAGGTGCAGTCTGTTTGCTTCCTTCTTACCTCCATCGGATAGTAAAGTCGAGAATCAAGACATGAAGTGGTAACCAGCTATAACTGGAGTACAGAGGCAAGAGAAGTTGGAAGTTGAAGAGACTGCTCACTTTTGACCTTTGTATATTTTTGACCCTGAGCTGAAGCTTGAAAGCAATATATCGAATGGCAAGTATACAAAGCTTCTTCGATCTTTACTGAGCCTCCGTGGCAGTCTTCAACACCAGATCTACTCAGAAGTACTAAGATAAGCTACCTCGACTAATCATCTACTAAATTTATGTATGTGTTCTGACTAGGTCCCGTGTCATACACCCAAGCCAAGCTCGCCCTGAATATGACTCATAGAATATGATAGAGTGCTGGAACACAAAACACACCCAAAGCTCCTCTAAGCACTCCTAAGCATCACATCCAAGACATTCATGGCGAAAGGACTCACAGAGAGCAAAAGATGACCCCAGCTAATACAGAACACAACGACCCCGTCTACTTCTGGCGGCTGGAAGACGAGAACGCATATCTAGGTCAATGGTATCCGGCATCTTTCGTCTGAAAGAATGACAACAACACCTCATATGCAAATGCAGAACAGTGGCGTAGACCTACTTCCCATACTTTCCATACTCAAGTCATCAAAATCAAGTCGTGGCACTAGCCCTGATCTAACAAAGGCAAGAGATATAGATACATGATGTACCGCAAAGCACTCCTCTTCGCCGGCCCCGACCACCCTCTGACCCAGATACCCCAAACGGGATGGAAAATGCACCCCCGCAAGCTACGGGACCTAGGTCGCCAGGCCCCCGGGTTCAACGAGACGGTCTGAGAGGCGGAGCGTCATGCGATTGTGGCGGAGGGGACCTATCTCAAGTTCAGCCAGAACCCCAGCCTCGCCGCACAGTTACTCGCCACGGGGACACGAGAGATTGTCGAGGCGAGTCCGCGCGATCGGACCTGGGGGGTGGGGTTTGGGAGGGAGTGTGCGGGGAGGTGGCGGGCAGAGTGGGGGTTGAATCTTCTGGGGCGGGCGTTGATGGAGGCTAGGGGGAGGTTGAGGGAGGAGTGGGTACAATTTTGGTCCTTGTTGGCTGCCTCGATGGTGAGTGTATCATGGCCCTACCTCAAACATGTCGAATCGGGAAGCATCCGTCAAGATTGTCGATACATGCGGAATGTTCCGGCCACCCTCGGGTATACCCGCTGCGATGCGGAAGTGCCCCGAGGGATGGAGCGAGAAGGAGAGAGAGGAAGAGCATTACAGCATCAATTCTGAAGGAGAGCACATCATTTTATTCCTCTGATACCAGATACCAACACAACCACGTCCATGTCTCTCCAATCCCAACCCACCACCTCAACCACCATCCAAGCCACCGAATGGACGAGTCTGCCCTCGCGATACCGCCGCCCCGGTGGGCAATCCGAGCATAGTCTGCACCAGAAGCGCGGCCACCCGCTCGACTCCTTCCTCGAGGGGCCCCTCTACATCCCCTCGCTGCGCCGCTTATTCGTTGTCGACATCCCCTACGGGCGGATCTTCTCGATCGACGTGGAAACCCGGGAATGGAGACTCGTCCTCGCCTACGACGGCGAGCCAAACGGCCTGGCTTACCACCATCCAACCAACCGCATCCTCATCGCCGACTTCAAGCAAGGCATCCTCGCCTTCGACCCGACCGCACATCCAGACCCAAATGACGTTCCAACACCACTGGTCGCGCGCTTCCACGGCGAACGTCTCAAGGGCCCCAATGATCTGGTGGTCACCTCCACCGGCACGGTCTACTTCACCGACCAAGGCATGACGGGCTTGCATGATCCGACGGGTCGGGTGTTTCGCTTCAACCTTCCACCAAATAATAGCAACCACCTCGCAAGCCAACCGCATATCAAACTGGAATGCGTGTTAGGCAACGGCCCCTCCCCTAACGGACTGGTGATGAGCCGCGACGAGTCCGCCGTGTTCGTTGCCATGACCCGCGACAACGCGGTTTGGTACGTCCCCTTCCATCCGGACGGGAGCGTGCAGCGCGTGGGCCGGTTCGCTAGCTACTATGGGATTGGTGGGCCAGATGGGATGGCGATGGATGTGGTGGGGAATATTTTCGTCGTGCATTCCACTTTGGGAGTAGTGTTTGTGCATCGGCCGGATGGGGAGATCGGGTGGCGCATTCGGTGGGATGCGGGCGCAGGGAAGAAAATGACGAACTTGACGTTTGGGGGACCCGAGGGAAAGACTTTGTTTCTGGTTGAGAGTGAGACGGGGACGGTTTTGGTGGTGGAGTGGTTTTGGAAAGGGGTTTTGGGTGGGGATGACAATGCAGAGAGATAGGGCCTTGTGGTACGGTGTCGTGGATGTATGTATACCAGGTAAAATATGTGGGTAGGGATAGAGATTCTGGTGGATGATCGTCAAGAAATGATAGTTGCAAGAAAACTTCCTTCTGTTGATGCGATAAACTCGCACGAGCTTTTTCCGATTTACCCCAGCGGGGCTTCAGCTGATATATCTCGTGAATGATGTAGGCCTCAAGCCCATTCGCTGCTCCTCGGTTGCCCCCTCTGCCTCAAACGCCTTCTCTCGATCCTTCTTCATCTGTGCAGATGGACTAACCCGCTGGGGCAATCGCCGAGCCATGGGCACGACCTCCCAGATGGTAGGCGCCTCCCGGAACAACTCGTCGATCAGCTCCAAGTCACGATTCATTGTCTCGGGGAAGAAAAGCAGCACGATTACGGGAACGCAAGCACAGGTGCAGGCAAACACAACATAATACCGCCGATTAATGATCGACAGCGCCACGGGGGTGACCATGGTGATGATGAAGCTCCACATTCAATGGTTGGCGGTCGAGACAGACGACATGACCGCGCGGAGAGGCGCGGGCGCTATCTCCGTGCAGTAGAGAAAGTTGCCACCCAGGAAGCCAATAGGATACGCCATATTGAAGAGGAAATGAAAACAGCCGCCGTGATGGAGGCAGCATGGTTGGCTGCCAGGAAGCTGATGGCCACCGCCATGGCGATCATACAGAAGCACATACCCGTCCCGCTGGTCACCAGGATCCAGCGGCGATACAGCCGGTCGACGGCGGCGAAGGAGAGGAAAGAGCACAGAAACTTCTAGGGCAGGGCACTCGCAGCGACAATGGCTGGGATGTCGCCCTGCAGGTGCAGGTTGTCTTGGAAAATGGTGGTTGTGTAGATCGAGATCATGTTGCCTCCCACCAGCTGTTGTAGGGTCTGAATACCGAGGCACAGGGCGAAACGGTAGCCGAGTCGGTGCGGGTCGTTCTTTCGGAAGACATCCCGCAGGGAGATTGTAGGACCTGTCGAAAAGGAGGCATCAATCCGAGAGACTTCGCGACGAATCAGCTCGTGGTCGCTGGGCATGTCATTGAGGGCGGCGAGGGCTTCGGTGGCAGCTTGAGATCCGTCCGTGCTGGACCAGCCAGCGGGGCGATTCCGGCAAGCTGAAGATAGAGAAGCAGATCACTAGTGAGAAGACGACTGGGACAGCGAGCGGGATCCGCCACTGGAGGGGCGGCGAGGTGATCTTGCTACATCCCAGATTGATCCAGCTGGACAAGAAAAGTCCTACACAGATGAAGATGCCTGAGGTGATGACCTGACGCCCTCGTTTACCCGCAGAAGAGCTTTGAGCCTGCCACACTGGCACAACGACACTGAACTGGCCTATCCCAAAACCCAGGATGATGCGTCCCACGGTGGACTGGGCCAGGGAGAAGGCCGTGCATTGGAGAATTTGACCTACCGCAGCACAGCAGCCTCCTACGAAGATAGTCTTGCGCCGACTAAGCTTATCGCCGAGGACGGAGCATGACAATGCCCCCAGTAGGGCCCCTAACATCAAAGTCCCATTGATCAACCTTTTGATGGTAGAGTTCTGTGTCTCTTGAGCTCCGTGGGTATTGACCGTATCAATTTGTGGGAAGAGACGGATCACATCCGAGAGGATGAGAAGGGCAGATAGTCCGGCCTGATTGTATCCGTAAAGTATAAATGCGGGAGCAATGATGAGTATTCGCTGGGCAAGTCGGAGGGTTTTGGCTGACATGAACATTTCGATGATACAGGAGGCAGAGCAAAGTGTTGAAATTAGAGAATTTGGGCCTGAAAATACAATGGTGTGTTGTGAGGGGAATGGAGAACGGGGACGCGGGTTGTTGAGAGCTTTAAGACAGATTTTTCCGCCAGTCTAATGCTGGGGCATGACCTCATGCAACTTGACTTATGCAGAAATAAGCTGAGTTGTTATCCTGTGGAGACCCGGGGTCCTTGCCTCCTTAAATGGGCGGATCTATCCCGATATTCATGGCGGGGGCTTTGTCGAAGTGGGGGTTGGCGGTGTATGAGGGGGCCTACTAGACACTAAGACAGGGCATTATAAGTTTGCTTCGGACGAAGGGAGCCTCTGATATGAAGATAATCACTTGACGATTGTAGATGCGCTCATTGTGATACACAATTTGGGCTGCCGGGGTAGGTGATTGCATAACGTACGTTGCCACCCTCTGCGCCTACCGCTTGCTGGGTTGCTGTCGAGAAATCTTGATGGCCTTTGAGTGGAGAACGTCGAAAAGCCCCTATTTTGTCTACTACGCCAAAAGCATTAGAGCTCAACATGTTGTCTATGCACCCGCAGTTATCCGCATCCTGCTGGAACCTCTGCCCAGACGTGAGAAAGCCCTATGCCATATTTTCTCACACTGTACCACAAAGACTGGAATGCCAGCAGTGTTGGAGCACTAGCACGATGCATGCATGAGAGGAAATTTGTCTATGTGACCGAGTCTATCAAGCAGGAAATACCCGGTTTATATGTGTCTTGCAATGAACAGTTGTTGAACAAGCCTTGACCAATTATCGGCATTGTAGCCCAGATCCCTAATATCATACTGATCACTTGTACGAGACTTATTATCTATTGTAACAACGCGAGTAAAAACAGCATTGCGTGGATATGCATCCACGACTGTTTCCAGCAATATCGAGTCTATGCCGATCGATATGCAGTAAGGTCACAGCCTGCCAAACTGCCGATACTTAGGGCTCGAGCACATAAACACCGGGAAGAAACGATTTGTGATGCACCACTGCCCCGCCCATGCCCTGGCCCAGTCGTCGCAGATGAGAAGAATAGTCTTTCGCGGTGGTTTGTATAAGAACGGCCATACGATCCACAATTTGAGATACTTGCACTGATTGCCCATTGTCATATATTTATGTCTCGAGATTCTCTGTTTATTGTCTTCCACCTATCCCTCAAAAGCTGGCACCACGGATCCAGCCGTTATTGAACCTCAATCGTACCGTATAGATGCTTAACCGCCTTCACGGGATCAACTGATCGCACTTCTTACAGTTCTGGTGTATCGGCGATACGCACGACATATTTCACCGCCGAAGCTTTACCAGCCTGCAAGTCTTTCACTGCCCCCTCAATCCCAGCCAGTCCGTGGGGGCGCACCTCATGAGGGTGGCCTGCGAACCATCCCTGGGCCAAACCCCTGCCAAATAGGGCAAAGATCGCCGCGCCAAACTCGACATTCCCGACCAGGCTTCCTGCAACTACAGGCTGATGAACTGACCCGCAGCTGGTGGTTGATAGTTGAATTCCTTCTGGAAGGCCCTTGGATTCGCATCCTGGCAAGACCACGGTGATCTTTGCCGGTGCAGTTAGCACGGCGCCGAGGTTCTGGTAAGACCCCTTCTCGGATACCGCATCGAAGGCATAGTGAACTAGCCGGCCACCAGCAGCGGCTTTGATATTTTCACGGATCGCGTCGTCTCCGCCACGGTAGTCAATGATCGTATCGCCCTTGGAGCGGTCAATTAAGGTCTCGACATACGAGGCGCCCCTGCCGGCCACCGCGATGATAGGGTGGATGTTGGAGAGACAAGCCAGCTTGATGGCGAAAGCTCCGACCGCTGAAGAACCGCCATTGACGACCAAAGGCAGCGGCTCCGTTGCCGGACTCCAGGGGAGAGGCAGCCCCAACTGTCGGAAGAGTCCGAGCGCGGATGTTGTGGCAGCGAGAGGGATGGTGGCGGCCTCTGTTGGATGTCAGCTATACTCTTCCAATACCTATGCCAAAATGTGAATTCAAGTTCTCGTTTTCCATACCTTCGAAGCTGGTTTTCTCAGGCAGATGGAAGGTCGTATGCGCCCAGGCAATGGCATACTCCGCCCAGCTGCCCCCCGGGGTGAACATCTGATGGAAGGCAGCCACTCGATCGCCCTTGTGGAAGTTCGGCACGCCTTCGCCCACTGCCTCCACGTAGCCCGCAATATCGTCCCCCTGGTTGGTGGCCGGTGCTTCAGGCCGCCATGTTGGCACTTTCCAGTCTTTAGGGTTCGTACCAGAGACCACAACCTTGATTAACACTTGGCCGGGCTGCACGACGGGAATGTCCACATCGTGAATTGTGACCGTGATTGTTTTGTCAATGACAGCTTCCTTCATAGTGACCCAGAGAAAATGCTTTCGCTTCTCGTTCAAGTGGAGAGGTGCATTTGCAAGGATTTGCCCGCTTTTTTATCACCGGAAGCTTGCGCCGATCCCAAGCCTGATTTGTAAGAAGGTGGGTGTTCTGAATAAGCATCAACAACTTTGTGCAGGCTAATGCCAGTATAAATATTGTGTAGTGAGCTTTACCGCCACACCTTCTACATTCTTTGGGGTCAGATTTAAACATAGTGCTATGTATTTAGGGCGAAGTACACGCTCTTTGATGAATTAGGGCTCTAGAGAAACCAGTGTTGTGGCGCCGATGGCTTTACCGCCAGAACGGCACGTCGGCAGTAACGCAGGAAGGGGACGGACGTACAGGTGAGCGTATACAAAACCAACATCAACAGATCCATCGGAAGACTTTTTGTTAAGTCATCAACTAGACCCTAGGTGGACAGTAGAAGTCAGACGGCGGTTGAGATGGCCAAACCGTAAAGGAATGACAAAAGTCAGTTGGATTTAGAGAATTTTGTCAGACGCAATACTGGTATAAGCCTCGCACCCACTCTTACTCCAGCTCCCGAAGAACGGGCCTTGAGCCTGCAAGTGTTTGTAAAAGAGTTTCCATCATGCGCTTGATGATTAATTGCTTCTGACTGCTATGTTCATGTTTCATGTTCATCATAGCTATGATGGTCCTTTCCATGTTTCAGGCTAAGAGATGGGATCCATTATAGTTCCTGGTGGTTGTGGAGTGATGGCATATGAATTGTGCATATCTTAAATGTCATTGTTAAATTAGTCCAAGCTATTTGGGGGTTTAGTTGCTTATTTTTCTTATTTTTCTTTTCGTGTTCTTGTTTTCTTGTTTTTCTGTTTTTCTTTTTTTCTTTTTTCTTTTTTTTTTTGGCCTGTGTCAACTTGTAATAACCTGCAGTGCCGTTTGTGTGTAAGAGGCTCATACTTCCGAGACAACCGCTTGCATAATTCGAGCTGCTTCTTGAAGCAATTTCTGATCTTTGGTTTCGAAGAGGGTATGCACAATCAGAAAGTTATGCTCTTCTGTGTAACCAAGCTCCAGTGCGTCCTCGCGTACCGCTGTGATCTCCGTCCCGATCCTGGTGCAAATATCCCAAGAGAGATTATGATATTGTATCCAGGTTTCGTCATTTAAAACTGCCAGTTCTACATTGATACACTTTCGCAGCCGTCTCAAGGCATCAACCATACTCAGCTTTGGCTCGGCCCCGCGGCGGATGGTGGATTTCACAAACTTTCGGCACAGCAGAGACTCCTGCAGAATACGCGTGATCTCATCTGCGGTCCACTCATCCTTGCCTTTAAACCAGCGGGATTTGATTTCCGCAAGCGTGAAAATGCGCTGCGGGAATTGCCATATCTTGGTCAGATTTACACTGTGTCTTCCTGGGTCTGCTCTCGCGGCTCTTCGTGCGTTTCTTCCCGCATATCTTCTCCCTTCTCTTCTCACAGTTTCAATCCCGCCACCTAGGGCCTTCATCACCGATTGGGAATAGTTAGACCAGGCCCTTGGCCGTTGGTGGCTAAAGAACATTTCCGGATAGGTATCCAGCAGACTCTCCACACCGGGCCACGACCATCCATCTGGCAGGGCTTTTTCCTTCTTTGCCGCGTTGTAGAGGTGGCATACTACGAGGGGGGTTGGGGCACAATTGGACCAATAGAGGCCAAGCTCGTAAGCGAGAGTCTTGTAGATAATCAACAGCCGTCCGCATAGCCAGGGATTGGAGCTGAACCAAGGGATGCGGCGATGCGAGGGGGCGCGGTCTTGCGAGGTGGACCGGGCGGATATGAGAGGGGAGTCAGCGCCGCTGTCGTCGGTCACAATCTCCGCCTGTTCCAGCCAACCGTTTTGACACTCCAGTACTTTGCTGGACATCCCACCTCTACTGGAGAGATACCCATAGCGCTGAGCGGCTTGAATGACCTCCGGCGTCGTAGTCTCCAGGAAGGTTCGGAGCTCAGGCCATGCCTTGCCACTCTCCGACCCCATGGTCAATCGCATCTCCAGGTAGAACACGGTAAGATAAAGCGTTGTCAACGAAACTGCGCTATCCTCACACGCGTGGTACAAATACAACCCGAACTGGTCCACCCCTGGTAGAGAGTCTACTTGGGGGGTAGCCGAGAAGATTCGATTCTGTACTATGGCCTCGTCGAGGAGCAACCGCTGGAGCAGGTGCCGGTCGTCTCTGGCCCAGTCACATGTTGGCAGCTGGACATGAAGAAGGTCTGAAATAGCCAGGCTTCTCCTCTCGTCCAAAAGGACCAGGAGCGCCTCCCATATGTTCATAAGGTCTTCGAGGAATTGGAAAAACCCTGAGCTTTCCCCTTGGGTTTCGCCTTGTTCCTGTGCCTTCTGGCGCGCCATGTAGATCTTGTACATTGCACTTGGCCAACCGCCTGGACAATCGTCAATCCCGCCAGCTCCCCGGATCTCGCACTCGGTGTTGTAGAAAAGGTGGTGAGCCGTCTCAGTCGCCACCGATGCGGCCTCGAGCGACATCCGTCCCTCCCGATACATCTGCCACGATTCCCGCACGTGGTGCGTCACCATCCACAGATCCTCCAGTAACAGCTCCAGCGCAAAGATGGGAGACGGGGTGTTGACCTCCTCCTCAGCAATCTTGCAGTTTACCGCGACGGTTGGCGAAGCTTCAGTGGAGTCGGCGGCTGCGTGGCTGTCCGGGGCCTCGTTCGCGACCTCTTCGACCTTCAAAGCCTCAAACCGGTTGATCAGCGCCGCTGCTTCAGCATCATCCTCGTCCGCCCCTTGTCTGGCCTTCTTCTGGAACTCTTTCGGTAGGAGAGGCATGAGAACTTTCTCTACATCTTCTAGCACGCTGGTGAAGTGTGCATGGCTGGCATTGGAGTCGGCGTCGCCGTCGCCGTGCTCGTAGTACCGCTGCTGGTACCGGCGGCGCACGATTGAGCGCCGCAGTTTGATGGCCACCAGCCGCGGCACTGCCTTGACATGTTGAGTAGCGACGATCTTTGTCGCCCGCTCTACAAACTCCTTAAGAGTTAGAGTGTATTCTTTAGGGTCCTGGGGAGGTGCTGTGCTACCTGCCTCGGCATCCTCCCTGGCGGCCCTGCGCGCCCTGCCCTTCAATCGGCCGGGCCCCTTGGGCTGCTTGAAGTCCGGATGAGCGGTCAGTAGCCATGCGGCAACGTCGTTAGTGTCCTGCTTGTACTGAGTGTACTGGCTAATGTGGGTTGGAACAGACATCTTGTCGGTTAGCGTTTCAGCGTTTGAGTGTGTGTGTGTATCAACCAAGATCGGACAAGACCAGGGTGTGTTGTCTCAGAATCACTCTCCATCATGATTTATTGGCTTATATATACTTCTCGATAGCGGTATAGGATGGCTCCATTCTGATCTTCCGGAATGGACTTTTTCTGTGTCCTCGTCTTTAGTCCTTGTTCTTGGGTCAAATCAGTTCGTTGTTTTGCAGGAGATACTACAAAGCACTGCAGAAGATTGTCTGTTCCCTATTGTTATCGAAGTCGCATTGTTCTCTTAACGTAGATATCCGCAATGCACCATCATCAGCAGAGCAAGAAGGTCCATTCCACCTGGTTGGATGAACGGTATCATGCAATGCTTCTACACTCATATTTCAGTCCAGATACCAGCCCGGTAACCAGCACGTCAATGCTGCCTGACAGTGATTTTGGCCATGGACGATAATTCTGTTGTTCGGAGGGGACAGGCAGTCCTAGATAGAGTGTCAATTTAGGCTATTGTGAAGACTTCACGGAAGTCTTCTTGTGCTGAGGACATGTGGGGAAGGTGACTTGACATACTACCCCACAACCCCGTCTTTAGGGCTGCAGAAAACGTATAATGACTCTGACAAAACAGCGTTCAACCAACACACTGTGTATATCCATCAGACCTAATGACAACATGAAACCATTATCAAAACTTTATCATTGCACACTTCAAACACTAGCTACCAACGCCCGCAGCTCCTCCTCCGTCAACTTCCGCAAACCCAGCAACTCATTCGCGAGTTTTTGCTCCTCAAACAGACTCCCATACCCTTCCCCAAAAAGCGCTCGGCGGATCAAGTTCACCGCGACGATGCCAGGGTGCGGCTGCGGCTTGGCCAACTCCGCGCGCCCGATGCGCTCCAGCTCCTCGGTCGCCACGACCTTTGTCTCCAGCGTCTTCCCGGAGAGCGCGATCAACTGCTTCTGCGTGACATCCGCCTCGCTCACATACAACGCCGCATTCTTCGTGGCCTCGAGATTCTTCACGATCCCGACCACCGCCCGCCCGATCCCTGGCAGCGTGGTGCTGCTGACCTTCTGCTCCCCGCCATCGTAGAGCTCCGCGACCGGGCCCGCGAGATTGACCAGGAACCCCGAGCGCAGGCCCAGATCCAGGAACGGGCCCGTGAACAGCAGACTATAGCTCAGCGGGGAGGTCTGGGCGACCCGCTCGAGGTACTTGCGCGACGCGACCTTGTTGGCGAAGACGGGCAGGTCTTCGTTGAGCCGGTTCAGCGTGTCGGTGCCGAACTCGGAGGGGATGAAGCGCGTGACGCCCGCCGCGATCGCCGCATCGATCAGCCGGATGATCGACTCGCTGGGGAGGATGGCGCGGGAGTCCACCACAACGTCCTGGCCTGCTAGTGCGGTCTGCAGGGATTCGGGCGAGTCGTAGTCGACCGGGATGACTTTGACTTTGGGGTTGTCGATGGTCTTGTTGCTGTCCTGGCGCGTCAGGGCGGTGACTTCGATCCCGGCGTCCACGAGCGCGTTCACGATGCTGGGGCCCAGGTTGCCGCTTGCCTGTATTTGTTCTGTGTTAGTTGTACGGTGTCTGAGGAGGGCTTTCTTGGTGTGAGGGGACGTACACCGGCAATGGCTACTTTGGGAGAGGACATTGTATCAGATGAGGTTGGAGATATTAGGGTTGGTGATATCTTGAATGGTTGGGATTCACGGCTGATTCAAATCAAGCATGTGTGAGCGGATTGATGAGCCTGGAGGGGTCGCTGAGGGGCTGCTGCCTTGGGTTGATAAAGAGTGCAGGTGCATTGCTGGCGTATCACGACAGATGGCGTTACCCCGCATTTGATGGCGCGATGACCTTTGCAAGCTACGGGCTTGGTAAGCAGTCTTTTCAGCGCTCAAATCATTGTCGCAGGAGATCATGTTAGAATACACAAGAATTCATGGGGATGAGCTTAGAAGAGCTAGCGCGGAACTATTCCGGATTAGCAATCTACTGTAACTACAATATAAAGGCAGTTGTGTCGTCGGCAGAGCCGGAGAGGATGAGGTAGTGAGCGCATAAACTATCATAAATCCTTGGTTCTTGAGTGTAAACAGGCAAGCTATTGCAGTTGATGGGGTATAACGGGAACTTTTCACAGCGGTATATTTTGCTGGAAAAGATGATTTAGGTTACACTTGGCTACAACTTCATCACCTACAAGCACAATATTTTGTCTAAGATTTAGATTCAGGGAAGTCAGTTAGTAATCAGAAATTATTAGTTAAGTGGTAACATAAACTATGCCAAATCACCAATACTTATAAGCCCAAGCATGAAAGGTTCAAGTACCACTCAGTCTACTGTCGTGATATCTATATTTCAAGGCATATATAAGCATGAGCATTCCAGGCCTGAGCTGAACAAGAAGAGCAGTAAGCTTCTTACTTTGTATGTTTCAGAATGCTTCGGAGACGCTAGTAATGTATTCCCAATACCGAAACCACATGATACACATCGCTTGCGCTCTTATACATACATAAATGTTGCACATTTCGATCGCGGGCCAGCACGTGACCGTAATCATGACATTTTGTGCTGTAATGCATTGTTTACTGACAAATAAGGCTGTCAAGATGTGTACATTTCTCAAGGTGTATTGAAACATACCTCTACAGACACTAGGTAAGTTATGTAGGTTCCACTGAGGTTTGCAGCATGCTGTTCTTCTCAAAGAGCGAGTGGCGCCACGATCAGGCAACCAATTGTGGCTAAGGTGGCTGATGTGGCTGGTGGCCAGAGGTACTAAAATTAGCTGACGGTGTTGCCAGCTCACCGCGCCAAGACATTAAGATGGAGACAGGGTTCGAATCTGAAACCTTCCCTCAAGAATGATCATTGTCCAGAGAGTCACTACTCGATAGTCTGGGCGGCGGCACCAATAATGGGTGAATCACAGTCCCGACACCCCACTTCCTCCCCGCCGTCCTTTGCTACCCTTGCGGTGATCAACAAGACACCTTCTAGAATACGATCCTACTCGATTCATTCCAACCCGCAGCAACTATGTGAGTGGCGGTAGTAACCACAATTAAGCCCTCAGATTTCTGCACCAAGCTCCAAACGTAAGCCTGCAGCTTCTCTCTCCCCCACAGCTGCCTATCTGCCGTGCGCTTGCGAGGCGAGGCGAAGCGATAGACACCCCTCTGCCCCACTTGACTGGTATCCGTACAGCCACTATGAGGCAAGTCTGCCACTTCGCGTCTTGGCCGACGTCTATCCCGAGGCTTGGTGGGTAGGGCAGCAATGCGGGCGGTGATGAAGGGGAAGAGCAACGGAACGACGGAGCTACGTATATAAACAACAACCCCACATCCCACCCCTCCTCCTTTTTCTCTTCCCCAACACACCTTCATCTTCACACCGTCTTCCTCCATCGCTTTGGACAGTCATCCTACAACCCAAATCACATCCATCATGTCTTTCCACTCTTCTTCCCAGGACATCCACATCGTCCACGAGGATGGCAGCACCATGCTGTGCTGCGTCGCCCGCGACAGACACGGTGAATTTCACCCCCGCAAGATTCGTCTTGACCAGCACATTGGCAACACGGATGGTAGGCCTACACTCCCTTCTCCTCTCCCTTCTCCTTACGAGTCATATGCTAACACATGATACCAAACCCACCAGGCTGGTTCATCTGGGGCGGTCAGAACTTCACCGAGACCGCGAGCGACGTCCGCCTCGAGATGACCGAGTACGGCCCCAAGCTGGTCGCTAACCTCCGCACCCACGACGGTGGCTCTAGAGGTCTTCAGGGCATCATGCTGTCGGACAAGATCGCCAACGAGGATGGACGCTTGAGATTCTTGGTGAGTCGAGCCCTCTACCTTGACGATCGCTCGGATACAGGTCAGAATACTAATCGATGTCTGCCCGGATAGGGTCCCTGAGCGATCAATTCGAAGTTCACACATATTAGCATAGGGATATGGTGTTTTGTTATTATCGTTGAAAACAGTTCCAATCGAGCGCATAGCTGTGAAACCAATGTACCAATTTCATATTCATGCTCGCTCTTACCCAAGTTGAACCAGGGCCGGTTCGCCGTCGGCTATACTGGCCCCTAGTCCCGTGATTCTGGAAATGTTCAGCTTAAACCAAGGCAGACCCTTGCCCACCTACGACTAGTTTGACCGACTGTATTTTTATAAACGTCGCTATACCATGACCTAAGGAGGAACTTCGGTTCGAATCGACTAAGCATTTTCAAGTCCTATGAGCTAAGGATTAGACCTTGTTTGACATACATCAAGCTTGGAGTCTCTGTAGATAAATCGGATATGGTAAAGAGAGAGAATACCATTTATCCATTTATCAATACTTGCCTCTAACCCGCAGTTTGTGCATCCTTTGTTGTTCTCATTAGGAGTCAAACACAGCAAACACCGTATTACGTAAAGTTTAAGAGCGGTAACTCAATTTACCAGGGCCTCTCCGTACACTTCCGTCGCACGAGATGTTACCCAGTTGCGGGGAGGAAGAAGTGTGAAACAAGACAACCTTTGGGCAACATGGGTAGTAATATTGGTTCTCAAAGCTCGATACGCCTGGCTAAGGTGTCAATGACCTCACCTCAGAGCGAAAGACGACGCTAACCTTGATACATCTTGACAGGCGTGTAGCATCTGCAGGAGGAAAAAGGTTAGATGTGATGGCAATCGGCCTGTGTGTGCCTCATGCAAAGCATTTAATCTACCTTGCAAGTATGAAAACCGAGCAGGGCGGCAGAAAAACCGTCGGTAAGTCTTTGTTTTGAATGGAGGCCATGGACCCCTGCTTCCTATTCTTTCTAGCGACGGCGACATGCGTGACATTGAGAAACGCGTCGAATCTCTGGAGGGAAGGCTACAACAACCATCCAGAGCCAAGCGACCACGACGCGACTTATCCAGCGAGGTCATGTGCAGTTCCACCGACGATTTGGAAGATACATCTGGTGAAGAAGCAGACCCTACAAGGCCCCGTACCTCCTGGGATGAGGTCACCAATACGGCCTCCCCCACACAAGCAGTCTCTCAAGTCCCTGGAGAGATGGAAAAAGGTGACAAGAGGGCTTATGCTATCAAGAATACAAAAGGCGCAATGCGATTCTTCGGTTAGCGGAACCCCTATTGATCGTCATTGAGCTTGTCTGATCGGTTTCATTAACATCACAACCCGCCAGGCGCTTCTTCCCTTCTGTCCATTGTCTCACCCGATGGTACTTGCTCACTCGAATCGCAGACGGGCAATCATTCGCTGAGAAGCATTGCTCGTCAAAGCCGCAGCAGGTGGAGACTGGCGGACTGGTACCCGCCGTGCCTTCAACCCTCAGCCTCCTTCGATCGGAGCGGCTCACACCCATTACCATCAAAGCCCTTGGTACTGGAACTAGTTGGAGAATACTTTGACTCCTTCAATAGCTTTACCCCCTTATTCAATTCCATAAGTTTCATGAGGCTTCTGGATCGGCAGTTCTCCTGGAACCCAGACAATAGTCCCTCGTGGTGGGGCGCGTTGAATGTGGTCCTTGCTTTTGCATACCGACATCGCGCGGAGAAGGCCGGCGATGGCGAAGATGAGTGGCCTCAATGCATGGGTCACATTCGAAATGCTATGAGTGTCACTACAGAGCTCTTTATGCGGACCAGCGATCTCCTCACTGTCCAGACCATGGTTGGTCTAGCCTTGTTCTTTCAAGGCACACCGAACCCTCAGCCCTTGTTCATGTACACAGCGGCGGCGATACGGTTTGCTCAATCTATTGGTCTGCACAAATCGAACTCTTTTGGGCTTTCCGACCTCCAAGTTGAGGAGCGACGAAGAGTCTTCTGGCTTGCATTCGTTTTGGACGCTGACATCTGCACACGTACGGGCCGTCCTGCGGCACAAGACATTCGAGATTTCGATACCCCTTTGCCGGCATCCTGTCCCCATGATGGCCTGGGGATTATTGAATACCAAGAGGAGAGAGTGTCGCTGTTCTCCATCCTGGCTCAATTTGCACTTTTCCAGAGGAGGGCCTATGATATGCTTTTCACGAAGGAAGCGCTGGAAAAGCCCATGTCAGAGAGAGCAAGCGCCGCCAGGGCATGCGTGGAGGAAATCGAGCGCTGGAAGGATAGCATTCCCCACAGTCTGCGGCCACAGCGCAGGTTCGCACCCGAACAACATCACCCGTTCCTTCCGCAGATCATTCGACTTCACTTTGCGTGCCACTGCTTCTACGTCAGCATCTCCCGGGTCTATTTGATCTCGCAACAGGAACGTACACGCTCGGAAGAAGTCAATGCCTTTTCCAGCCTGTTACTTACTAATGAGGAAGTAACCGCAAAGTCGCTGGAGGCAGCTAGGTCGGCGGTTGATTTGTTATGTCATATTGACGATAATTGCTTCGGTCAATCCTTCGAGTGGTACGCTGCTTGAACTGCGCTTCCTTCCACGAGAAGAGTTCCGTCCTCATTTGGTTTCCTCTTCAGCCAATCTGACATATCTCCAGGAGCGTCATATATTTCCCCGCGGCAGCCGTGGTGGCGTTGTTCTCCCAGATCATGCTAGAACCCGATCACGGGCTTGCCACATTCGATCTGCTCATGATCAGCCGGACCGTGGGGTTTTTGTCGAAGCTCGCCTCCCAGGAGCCGGACACTTATGTAGACTACGTCCTCTCTGTTTGTTCGGGATTCGAGAACGCGGCCAGGGAAGCCATCGAGCGTGGCGGTGTCCATGAGGTGGGCTCCGCGGGAGGGATGAGGAAGGGGCAATCACCCACTGGACGAGCGCCGCCTGAGCCGGAAAGGCAACCTCAAGGACCGGGCGACTTTCCCAGAGGGGACTTGGGGATTGAGGGGATTGGTTCAAGCGAGATGGATAGTTCTTATGCTTGGAGGGGCGGTGGTGGGCTGGTGCCATCATCCTCAATATCTTTGGGCCAAGATGTGAACCCCACGGACGACCAGCTCTCATCCCTTCCCGCCCCACTCTTCTGGAACTGGCAGGATATGCTTGCTGGAGTTCCGCCGGCTTACTACTGGAATAACCAGGACCCATATACTGGATGGTGAACCGTTTTCCTTATGTCCGGGTAGAAGAAAGTCCTTTTTGGCGACATGCGATGGTGGTTTGAACCTGACTCATACTGCATGCTGCCGATTTGTATTCTAGCTTACATGGTAAACCCCACTCAAGTCTACCACCCTTTAGCCCCCTAAAACCACCGAATGTCCCGCAAATGGTAACAATTGGGCACTGAGGGACTCGACCACCGAGGCGACGCCTTCACGTCCCCGAGCCTCGCGACCGGCTTCAAAAGCGCCTGCCTGCCCCACGGCCCGTCCTCGAAGACCGTCATAAACCGGGACTCCTCCTCGCCATACACACTCCTATCGAACTCCTGCTTCCACCCGTCGAGCACCTGAATCATGATCTCCGACACGAACTGATCCGGAGTGGCGGGAACGAAGCCGAACCGCTGGGCGGTGCGCGCCACCACCGCGGGCGGATACAGGCCGATCTCGGGCTCCAGCGTGACTGCGTCGGCAGCGACCAGCGAGCTGACGACGTGATACGACCCGCCTTGGGTTGTTCGGTCGCGCACCGCCATCATGGCCGCCAGGGCGCCGACGAGGCCCGTCGTCATGTCCGAGACGGGGAGCGGGGGCAGGACGCTGTAGCCTGCTGGCGCCGTCTCGTGGGCCTGCGCCCGGCCCATGACATACGACGTACCCGACGCGGCATCGCCGATCTGCTGCCAGCCCGGCCGCTCGGCGAAGGCGCCATCGGGCCCGTAGCAGTTCTCGTCGACGTAGATAATGCCCTTATTGCGCGTGGCAGCGCGCTCCAGCATCCTGTTTAGATCCAGGCCCTGCCGCGCGAGCGAGCCGGGGCGGAATCCCTGCACGAAGATATCCGCCTCCGCGAGGAGGTCCAGCAGGCGAGTCATGTCCTCTGCCTTGAAGATGTCGAGGTCGATCGTGCGTTTTCCGGCATTTAGGGTCAGCTGGAGGACCTGGTTTTGGCTGATGAGTGTCTACATAACGAGGATAGGGCAGGCAGGCGAGGGGTGTTCAGGTGGGAAGGGTGGCTCACGTTGAGATCCGCCAGTTTGCTGCAATTAACCCTAATGACATCGGCCCCGTAGGACGCTAGTGTCACGCCGATCGTGGGGCCGGCGATGATGCGCACCATCTCCAGGACCTTGACTCCTGCCAAAGGCCGTCGATCTGCCGGGCTCTTGGGTAAGGGCACGGGTGGAGTCGGCGCAGCGTAGGTTGCACAGGTGTAGTTGACCAGCGGATGGGCCGCCAGTCGTTGGCCCATTGTTGTTCTGCGCCACCCCTCCGGCGAGTAACAGATGCTGCCACACAGGCCATGGCGGACGTTGTGCATCTCGAGCTCGTCCGGACTCCATTGGATGACGTAGCTCTGGATGTAATCGTAGTACTCCCGCATGGTATCAAACTTGACGTCCGTGGGGATCCCCATGGATTGCAGGGTGCGGGTAGCATCGAGGGAGCCATGGAGCTGGTACCACACGTTGGGATCCTTGGTCTGGTAGATCGCCGTCGCCCGGCCCGCCAGCCCCTTTCCAAATCCTTGCTCGAAATCCCGATCGAAGAGTGAAGCCAGCGCGTTGGACCGAGCCAGCGTGGAAACACCCTCGCCGTTGATGTGGGTCGTAAATGTCGAGCCGAGCCACAAACCGGCATGGTCCGTGTCCACCGCCACCGTGCTCTCGTGCACGGCTGTTCCGTCGCGCAGCTCGAGCAGTTCGTTGGCGACCAGACCGCACATCGCGTGCAGGGCGGCAGCAACCACGGGGGCCTTGATCGGTCCGGGGATCATGGGCTCCGAGCCCCCCGTGAAGCTGACCGTATCCCATGCGGCGCGGTCCTGGGTGAAACCGGGTGTGCTTGAGGCCAGAAACTCGAACACGCGTCGGGCGTCAACCGGAACAGGCAGAACCTCTTTGTCGATGAAGGTGCCGGGGCCGTAGATGTCGGTGCCGGGGATAGTATAGTGAGATGTCATCGTTGTTCGGGTGAAAGAGCCGTGGCGTTGCGGTGATAGATGAGAGGTTTGAGCCAAGCGCAGAACGAGGGGGACATTCGCTTTATGTTTGAGTTTCCATTCTGGGTACTACTTTCAGTCTACTCTGGGTTCTCGCCCCCCTTGTCTTTTCTCGTGTTTTCCAACGAGATTATGCTGTTTCACAGTTGGCATATTTCCACGGACTGCGGAATCCCACGGGCCCGTAACTCCACGGCCCGCGGGATTTTTGTTGCCGTGGAGCCCGAGATCCTAGTCCAAGTACATCCATGGGATTTCATGGCACAAACCTGAGAAACCAGGATTTGTTCCAGTGCAGAACCAGATCTGGTATTGTGGAAGTTTTACCTTTTAAAGACCTAGTTCTCCCCTGATAAGATCAATTCAAACATCAGCTACCGGTCCTTGTACATCTTTTCTTATCATCACCATAAGGATCCAGGGATCATGTCGCGCCAGAATAATATTCGCCCCGTTCGAGTGGCCAACTGCTCTGGTTATCATGGTCTGCATGGGAATACCCACATCTGTACTGTCCTCTCCTTGCTGATCTCACTCGTTTAGGTGATCCTGCATATGAGATGTACCGCCAGGCGACCATGGGCGATGTTGACTTCCTCACCGGCGATTACCTCGCAGGTAAGCCCACGGCGAACTTGAAACACATTTCTATGATCATAAGCTCATGCAAGAAACAACATAAGAGGTAAATCTCGCGAACAACGCCAAAGCCTGGAGGGAGGGCGATCACCCCGGTTATGAAGAGACAGCCTGGGAAGGGATCCAACAGACAATTGATGTGATCGCAGAAAAGGGGATCCGCGTGGTAACCAACGGCGGTGCTCTCGACCCTAAAGCCCTGGCACTGAAAGTTCAGGCTTTGGTAGTTATCCCCTCCGACCAGTTTCTCTTTTCTCTCTAAAAGGCTTTCATAACTAAAGTGAAATGTTTGTCCCGCTGCAGGTGTTAGAGAAAGGGTACGAATTGACGGTCGCATACGTCTCCGGAGACGATCTATATCCCGACCTGGGGCCGCATATGCCAATGACAAAGGAGGAATTGCAGCATCTGGACTCGGGCAACCCATCTATCAAGCCCTCGGAGTTAACGTACGCCTTCCTCGCCGCCCAGAATGAGAAAATTCCCATGATCTCCGCCCATGCATATCTGGGTGCGCGGGGGATTGTGGATGGTCTCCGACGTGGGGCGGACATCGTCATCTGCGGCCGGGTGGCGGATGCAAGCCCTGTCATCGCTGCCGCGTGGTTCTGGCATGATTGGTCTGAGACGGACTATGACCGTCTGGCAGGATCCCTGATTGCGGGGCATCTGATTGAATGCTCGGCCTATGTCACCGGCGGAAACTTTGCTGGGTTCGACAGATACGACCTTGATAGCCTGGTGATACCGGGTTTTCCAATTGCCGAGATCGCAGATGACGGCTCTTGTGTCATTACGAAGCACCAACACAGCCAGGGCATGGTTAATGTCGACACCGTTCGGTGTCAGTTTCTCTATGAGCTACAGGGAGACATCTATCTCAACAGCGATGTCAGCGCCTTTATTGGTGATGTCCGTGTGGAGGAAGTTGACAAGGACCGGTAGGATGAAAAGATCCCCCCTGTAACGTGACCAGACAGCAACGAAGAATTCTCATGTCAATCATTTGCAGGGTTCGTGTTTCGGAAATCCGAGGTTCGCCGCCTCCTCCAACCACCAAGCTGGCGGTCTTCTACGAAGCAGGGTTCGAGGCCGAGCTGCTTCTCAACGCGACGGGCTACGCCACCTCTTCAAAGTGGGATTTGGTCGAGAAGCAAGTCCGCCACTTTGTGCCACCAGCGGTACTGGACAAGGTTGAGACACTGGAGTTTCAGCGGTAAGAAGCAACCTCTGTCCCTCAATACTTTTCTTAAGGACAAGTGCGTAGATCTAATCAAGCTTTCCTTACCAGAGTAGGGATCCCAGCCCATAATCCTGCCAGTCAGCTTGAGAGCACGACATATATGCGCGTCTTCATCGCTGCCCGCTCACAAGAGACCGTGGCAGTTGTTATAGGTGCTTTCAAGGAGATATCGCTCAGGCATTTCTCGGGTAAGAATCGTGTCCTTTTTACCTTCCCCAGCACTTCCCAAACATGCTATCGGATCTAAGAATGACATGCAACCACACAGGCTACCACTCGTCTCTTGATACCCGCACTGCCGTCCCACGACCATTCCTTGCGTACTACCCTGCGCTCGTGGATCAGTCCAGCCTCAAAGAAGCAATTAACTTCGTCGACGACGGCGCCGCCATTAGATCCTATGATACCGGCCATCCTCGTGAGTATCAAGCACTCAAAGTCCGTCACAGTTACGATCCGCGTTCTCCCACCAATAGAGAAGTTCTGGAGGAGCCCACTAGGCGCATCCATCTCGGGGACATTGCGCTCGCACGGTCGGGTGACAAAGGGTCAAATCTGAACCTCGGGATATTTGTACCGGATAACAGTCATTGGGCATGGCTACAGTCGTATATGACTATCGAGCGCCTGCGCTCACTGCTCGGAGCTGACTGGCGGGACGATTTCTTCATCGAACGGGTGGAGTTCCCGCGCATCCAGGCGGTGCATTTTGTTGTCTACGGGATTCTGGGCCGAGGGGTGAGCAGCTCCAGTCGCCTGGATGGCTTCGGCAAGGGGTTCGCGGACTATATTCGAGATAAAGTCATTGAGTTTCCCATCAGATTGTTGTGAGTCCGAATATTCAGGAGTCGGCTCTTACAGCCCGACGAGAGGGAGAAGATAGTTTGAAGCAGCGGACGTTGACCGCCCGGGGTTTGGTGGTATTGAGTATCATAGCCAAACAGATTTTGCTTGCTACCATCGTAATCCTCGGTAAGATTGAGTTTTCTTTCATGATACTTCAATTATTAGTGAGCTGTTGGCCTCTTTCCTTTTGTGTGTATGTTAAAGCAGGAGGTTGAACTCGGAACTGTTTAAGAAGTGGCAAGAGACTCTGGAAGCATTGGTCAATTTCTGGCGGCTCCCAAAACAATTACGAGGCATTGCTCACTAGCTGCTGAGTAACATGATCCCATATTCTTTCTGTATAATGGAACACTCACTCCCTGTCCTATTGTACTCTCGTGTTGATATCATAGGCCCTCAAATCTACTTGATGTTGAGTCGGATCAGTCGCTGAATAGCTTCCTACAGTCTACCTCGGAGTGAGTCCCAAACCACCCACGTCATCCCCTGGCCTGGATCACGCTGCAGGGTCCGCGGGCCGGTCCGAGCTGCACCACGGGGGCTCTAGTATCGGAGGGGATCATGAAAAATGGACGTAATTATAGATGGGCCCTGTTTTTACTACGGGCTCACAGCGTAAGGCTACGGCTGCATAGCCTACGGCAGCCTGTACTCGCGGCCTGAGGCCATTTTCCGTGCAGGGGTGTGGTGTTGCTGAAGCAATGACCCTTCGCTCGGGGCTCCGTCAACGCACCGATAGCGGTTACGTACCTACCAATGAATAAACCACCAAGGTAACCCTATATTGTAGACGACTGCGGTAGAGAAAAATGCTCAAGCTGCAACAGCACTAGCACAATCGCTCCGCCGTGCTCCGGGCTCAGTAGACTACCTCCAGGTCCCACACCCAGTTCCGGGTGTCCTATGAAGGCGCGCCCGCCTCACAGTGAACCCTCCTCCTTCCGTGCTGCGGAGACTAAAATTCGATAGTCGATCAGCCACTGCTCCACTTCTTCCTTTGTCTTCTTTTATACTGGAGCGGCGTTCTTTTTCCTAAACCGGAGTTCAACGCTGGCAGGTGTTGGGATTGCACGCGGGTTCCGATACAAGTCAACTGCGCCCGGCTTTCAGGACGACACGGGCTGGACTGAAAATGTTTAGTATTGACGTCATTTCTTCGGAAACGCCGACCACGGTTTTGATATCAGGAAATTCCCTTACAGCGTTGATTGACTCAAGCATTTAGGTATTAATCTCAACTTAGTATCTTATCGTACAGTACATTACTATGGTAATGGGTGTAAGTATCAGACATAGAGTGAGTGCTGATAACAACTGCTAGAGACCTATCATTAGCAGATAAAGTCCCCGGCCTCCGTCAAATTACAGCGACTATCTTGTAAGCATCTTAGACGGCAGAGAAAGGTACTTCAAAGGAAGTCTCGGTGAATGAGTCAGAGAAAGGCTCACTTCCTCAAAACAAACAGATGGAGACTTTTAGCCTATCGACAATGAGCAGTAGTGGCTTGGCAGTATGCCTCAGATTTAAGACTTTCACAATCGTACCATGCAAGGCGGTGAGGTAGCGCACATGGGCTATTTTATTTCCCTTTCGATATCGGTATCAACACACTGCCCGCAAATGTTTTGAAGTGATCGAACTGGTCGGTATATCACATACATAATTACTCATCTTGACAGAAGTATATCGTCCAGTCCAGTATTCCTGGCGGGTCTTTTATCTTCTTCTTCGCAAGTACTCCAAAGAACTTGACCCCAGTCATGTCTCGGCTCCTCAACATCCCGATTGAGCTGCGGAAGCTCATTATCGATCATGTGCTCTATACCTCGCTCAGCCCGCCCGTGGCCCCTCTATCACTCGACGGGGCCGAATACCGCGACATGAGTTACAAAGCATGGGTCTCGGGAGGTGGCGGGATCTATTACACGCAGAAGTCCAAGCTCAGTTCGTCTGACTGTCTCGCCCTTCTTCTCACCAATCGCCAACTATCAACCGAAACTCTCGACATCCTTGAGCACAGGAAAGTCGACTATGCTCTTGATATTTCCGTCCAAGATGACTTGAAGCTCTTCCTGACATGGCTCTCCGTGCCCCGTCTCACAACCCATGTCTCGACCCTCTACGCGCATGTGCGCCTGTTTGGTCACACCATCGAGCAGCACATCGCGCGTCGCCAAGTCGGCGACGGCGGCCGGCTAGGCTTCCACTGGTCCTTCTATGCGGCCCTGGAGCGGTTCCTCCGCTATGGTCCCGTGGGGGAGAAGAAGCGCAAAGGGGAGGAAGCCGACACGAAGAATTTCCAGGACCGAGGGATTGCGATCGAAACACTGGTCCTGGACTTCCGGTCTGCAGAGCTAGAGCTTGCGTTCCCGCCGGAAGATGTTTCGTACAAGCATTGGTGGTTTTGGCATTGCGGTCGAGACATCAGGAGTCGAAACGCAGGTTTGGAGCCTTTGTCGTCGTATAAAACGCGTCCCGAGTGGCTCTGCAAGTATCTGAAGCAGGAGATCGGAGGTCTTTTGCATATGAGTTATTACACTGCAAGGTATGGGGAGCTTTTGTATGAGCATATTGGGACCATCCGAATGCTTGTGGACGGGCAGCTAGTACACGAGTTCGACCTTGCGGCCGAGTTGGCTCGTCTAGGTTTTACTGATGAACGGGACACGATGGGTCATTTACGCAGAGAGGAGAGGGGGTCTGGATTCTGGGAATGGAAGAAGGAGACTTTGTCATTGAGGAAGGAGCATGGACTGTCTGTGATATGGCCGTCGGATGATGAGCTAGGACCAGAAGAGAGTAGTTAATCTGTAATCTGGGATGAAGGGATAGGGTGAAAGCCGACGGTTGTCTGCTTGTTCAAACAGGTCTTTCGGGCCGGCAGAAGCTCCAGAGAGGAAAGTTGTTACTGGCACCGCGTTCCCTCTTATACCACCCTCGTTGAACCCTAAAAGCAAGGCAAATTTAGCATCGCCAACTATTAATGATCCTGCATTTAGAGCTTCCACGCAAAAGCAAAGCCATTCCACAGTAAGTCTGGCATTCTTAAGTCGGTTCTCAGAGACAGGCATTTTAGAAATCAAACCAAGCGTCCGCGTAGTCCGCGCAGACTGAGACATGAGGAGGCTCACTAATCACCTGCATTAGCAGACTATCTATGAGAAAGTTTAACAATATATAGATACTATAATTGGCTAGGGAATGGGTTATTTGACTGGCAATATATTCAAAAATCGTAGCTGCTGATGCTACCTCATGCATCTCGTATTGCCCATTATCCACAGACTTGGATGACTGAACTTGGTAGGGTCTCGTTGACAGGGAATGGTCGGAGCAGCAAGTTTAATACTCCGCTTAGATTTACACATATGCTGCAAGCTATCAATATCACCTCTTTTGAGCTGGGCTCTGATGTGTACGCTATAGGTAATTGCACAGGCAGTCCTAGAAACGTAAATCCCAGCAGGTCTCCGTGGTCTCCATGAATGGACAAAGTGTTTTTGTGGGTTGACAAGGCTAACCATGTGCTGCAGTTGAGTTAATGGTGAGATTTTAGCGTCAGGACAAAAGTCAACAGCATGCACCTAAGAGAGCTTTGAAGTTTAGGACCAGGCTTCTTACTACGAGTAATCTCACGTTAGTGGGTGTAACATCTCAGCTACCATACCATACCTGCATGAATCCCTGTTCGACCCTGTTATACTCAGCTGATCACCAACTCGTCTATGATAGATATTGCAAGTGGTTGGTTAGGCAGGCTGCATGCACCCAAGTAGCCTGATCACCGATCAGTAATCAGCTTGAGTCAGTAACTCGAGCTCACAACTTCTGGTCCAGAAAAACCCCGCACGCCAAGCCAATACTTCAGGTTTCGTCGGGGTCCCCGCTTACCTGAGGTCTGCCCTTGGCTGGAACCTGTCCTCTAAACTCTGTTCCTGACACACAGGGTCTGCGCTTGTCTCACGTAGAGACCAATCTTCAGCTGTGCCAAGCGCGTGGTCCCGCAGAGTATCTGCAGGGTGTATGCTATCCAATCCTGGAAGGGAGTTCTATTGTTTTCTTTTCTTTTGTTTCATTTCAGCCTCGCGCATAGGTATAAATAATGATGCGTATCTGCTTGATGAAAATGTCCCACCGGTGCATTGCTTTGTACATACATCATGTACAGTATGCTGTTTCTAGCACTGCTCTTCGGCCTGGCCGCTGGCCAAGATGGTATGCCCGCCCTCAAGCCCTAATGCAGCTACTCGTATCCCAACTGACTGACGGAAACAGCCACTACCAGCGGCCAATGGCTCATCACCCTCAACACCTCGATCTTCTGGCCTACATCCACAGACTACTTCTACGGACCTACAACTGGCCCTGAGGCTGCGGTAGTCACCTGCAACGCCGCTTGGATTGAATGGGCGAGTCGTTCCTTGGAGCTCCGCTCCCTCGGCCCAACCGCGACCATTGAGTCCACCGGATCCTACGCCACCAGCGCCGGGGCCTGCCGCACCTCGGTCGCCCCCGAAGCCTGGTCCAACACCCACACGGGCCCTCTCACCACCCTCTGTGACGGGATCCCGCGTGCGGTGGGACCTCGCGAAACTGCGACGGAGTACTACCCCGACGCGAACGGTCCCTGCTCTGAGGGGTATCAAACCTTCACCGAAACCGAGTCCCTATACCGGCAACCCCCGGACCCAACCCCGGACTGTACCCTACAAACCAGCGAATGCATCCCCATCTGGTCCACCTATTCTGAATTGAGAACCTCCTACTACGAGACCATCACCGCAGCACCCCCAGGCGACACCAACAGCCCGATCCCGCCGGACTCGTGCCCGTCGACCACACGCTCCTACCCGGAGGAAAACCCCTGCTCAGCGTGCCACTTCCTCCCCGGCACGGCCACTCTCTTCTACTGGCCCGTGACCACCGCCGACGGCGACTTGTGCCAGCAGAACGGAACCACCATCCCAGCAACCGGGCCCAGCACCGCCATCGTCAACGGCGAGACCTTCATCTCCCCGACAGTCTATCTCTCCTTTACCTCCATCTACGCCTGGAGCAACCGCCGTGCCCACCCGGGCTCCCAGTGCGGCGTCTCCCACAGCAACGAGATCCTCTCCATCAACCCGGCCACCCTCTCCTCCGTCCGGAACCACCGCAACGCCAAGTACCCCACCGTCGGCACCGCCTACCCCTTCAACTTCGCCGAGTTCATGCCCCACCACCTAGAAGGAGGGGGCAACGACAACGACACGCAGTCGTTGATTCCCTGGCCGCAGTACCGGGGCGGCCAGCAGTGCCCGCTCTACGACCCGAGCTGCACCATCGTCCGCGACGATTATCGGCCGTGGGTGCTGCTGCCCGAGGAGGTCCGGCAGATCGACGCCGGCTGGTCGGTGTGCGACGAAAGCTGGTATATCCCGCCCGTCACGATGGTGCCCTTGGATCGTGAGGTCATTACCGTGACTGCCACCCCGGAGCCGGATGCGGACGCGGACGCGGAGGTCCAGGGGTTCTTGCGGGCGGCGGCCGTGCCCGGGGAGGGTCCCGCGGCGGCAACCCCGGTGCCGACGGAGTTGGGGTGGTGAAGGAGCCCGGCGCTAGGGCTGCCACCGGCGCTAGCCAGTTGATCCTCGTCCTCTCGAGCTCGGATGCACATACAGCACCTATTTGTCCTTACTGCAGTGAGAACACTAGCACTGGAGTCCAGATATTGGCGATTGCCCCGTCATTAACTAGCCTGGGAGGACCTAATTAATAATCAAGTACCAAATGTGAACACAGACTTTATTGGGAGTTCCCATCCTGTATTTAGATATGGTGGCAACACCAGACAGTGCACACCACCGCAGTACATGTTGAAGCGCTCGATATTTCGTTGTCTCGGTGCAGGCATTGTGCCTGGCTGTCGCTGTGCTCAATTCCCTAAAATGATCCCCGTTTACATATTTATATATCGAGATCAAAGCTCCATCAATTACGGATCTATAGCGCTACCTAAACGTTGCCTGACTGTGTACAACGAATGGTTTTTTTTGCCGTAAATACTGGAAATCATCTAATCCATGGAGTATGCAATCGAAATGTCCGTACCCTTCATGCAAGAAGGAGAGGCCCGGGGGGGGGGGTAAGACAGGGAGGGTCTAGTACACAGAAATTTCGCTCTTACTCCACAGTACCACGTGAATCTTTGTAATCATCTTATGGCCAAGGTTGAAAATCAGCATGCTTCCGGCCCAGGGAGACCGAAATGGGACAAAACCAGCCAAAAAACAGAGATAGCGTATGGAGTGACTTATGACTCTCCAGTCTGCAGTCGGCACTCAATAGCTATGTTCTTGCTGTATGTCTTTCGGGTCAGAGATAAGATCCCGCAGAGGAGGGACCACACTACAAGCCGAACCGCATGCTTAGGGAAAAAGACAAAAAAACAAAATGACCTACGCAGGGCTCGAACCTGCAATCTCTTGATTCGTAGTCAAGCGCCTTACCATTGGGCCAGCAGGCCAGCTGTTGAAGACTTGTCTGTTCTTATGCACTATGAGCATTGGCTATGTTTGGCTTCATCTCCAAGCCGAACTCAATGATCCCTTCTCAGGCCACCTGGGACGGCGACGAGCATTATCGTATGCATTTCGCGTCCAGCCCGATCGACGAGCGAGCAGATGGTGACCAGACCTCTGTCCGAGAGGTAATCAACTTAGATTGATGCTTATGCCGGCATTGGCCCATAGTTGATATCTTGAGCATCATTATAACATCCTACAACCTAGTCAATACCTCCTCGTACCAAGGCCAGCAGCAACCTTGCTACTATACGAAATACATACTCAAACATGACCCTTCGCCATTATCCTTAAGATGTAGACCTTCATTGTGGGGGTGCAGTCATGGGAATTGGTACCAGAAGAAGTTGACTCTTTTGAGGGGCCGAGGTTGATGATATTATTCACCCTACCTCAACTCGGTAACGTTGCCCGAACCTACGGGAAGCAGAACTATGTATCGATACTCCAAGACAGCCCAGAACATTCCGCCAGAAAGCTTCCTTTGAATGTCGAGACCTATATTACGCACCGAGAGAAAGGGACATATCGTCTAAAGTGAAACATTGATTCTACTGTTCGTTTTCAAGGTTGACTACTGTTCTGGAATGTGGGTTTGATGATTGGGCTAAGTCGAAGCTTTAATGTCATGTATACCTGAGGCTGAAGTCTGCTCAAACATATAGGTGACAGGTGGGATCATGACACGTGGATACGGTGGTGGATAGAGGAGGTAATGGTATGGGAAGTCAAACTTCACCTTTGTTGAAGCATGTCAGCGTTGCTAAGTATACCGGCCACATGGTTTCAAAGGCCTTTCATCTTGTTTACATGCGGGAACGTAGCTAGTTACAACACCAAGAATCATATCAAACACGTTCCAGCACCTCTCCTCTGAAGCCTCAAATCATTAACAAAGCACCTTTCAATCTAGCCTTGGCCCAGTCTTGTGCATGAGCAGGGTTCCAATGTTCCAATGCCATATTCTGCACTGCGCTTGGGGTGACATACCGTAGCTGCAGATGGCAGAGCTTGGCCACCGCGGCAGTCCCGCTGGCTCCCGCCCGCGCATTCCCCGCCTAAAAAAGAGCCAGCCCCAATTGATGCTCAAACTGTTCCTCTGCTGTACACTGCGAAGTGTGATTTGATCTGACACAACCTTATTGGCGCAAGTGGGGCGCAAAATAGGAATGCGCTCTCAGGGGACCAAAGATTATCTCCACTACTGTACTGGAAGTGAAACAAAACAAGTAACTTACATATACTCGGATGCTCACCTGCCTACTCCAGTTACAGTAGCCCTAATGAAGCATGCGGGTTCCTCATCTGAAGTATCTCCCGACTAGGGCCTGATCCATTCTCAACAGGCAGAATCAAGACACTAGACCCCTGTTGCCTAGCTAGCTTAGTAATCTTCCCTCATCATTTTCCCTAAATTGAACTTTATTTCGATCAATCTCCTGGAAGCCGTCTTTCTTCGATGCCAGATGCAAGCCAAGATGACAACCACCACGCCTCCATCCTGGCTACTCCCCAGCCTATCTGAATTCTCTCGTTTCCGCGGGACTGCACCACCGACATGGCAGGTGGTCTTCATCTGTCCTATGGAGAACACAGATCGTGTTGCCATTATGACAAAACTCAGCTCCGTGGATGAGAATTGGCCAGATCGTCCCTCAACGGGGCTGCGGCAAATGGTAGAGATCCCGTGGTTGATGGACTGCGTGCCGCCAACATCAGTCATCTTCACGATACTCAAACATGACCCAGTAATAATCATCGACAACCAGTCCCGCATAAACCACACAGCAATCATCGCCTGGAAGGCTTCTAAGGAATCATCCCCCGAAGCTGCGCGGGTACCACTTAACCGGGCCAATATGCTGTTAGCTGTGGTGGCTGAAGGTAGCATACTGCCGCCGACATACGCCCGGATCCAGCCCGAGCGGATCCCAGAACCGACCTTCAAGGTAATCCCACACCATGCGGCAAACATGGTGTTGACGGAGCCAGGCTAAGACAAGGCTACAGGAACCGAACGGCATCCTCCCACCGCATCTATCAGGGCTGCGCCTCGACCCGTCCACCCCGACTCTAATCTCAGTCATCCACCTCCCGCCAGTTGTCCAAGAGAACCTCGAGGCGATGATCGGCCAACGCATCATCCTCCACAACTGGCCGGCACACCAAGAGCCCTGTTCCCGCGCGCAGCTCTACCGCATGTTCCAGGCGCTGAAGATCCGCCACCGCGACATCGACGAGGCCTTCGCGCTCTTCATCGACGAGGACTCGGAAGGCTACCACATCGTCCGCGCCAGAGGCGCCAGCGGGTACAGCGTATTTGACCCCCGGGACAAGCGACTGGAGCTGGGGATTCTGCCTTTCGAGAAGGTCCGAGAGTTCTGGACAGCCGCCTGGAACCCATACTCCCGGACCTCCAGCCGCATGCCCCGGGGCCCTTACCGGTACAACCCGGCCATGTACAACCTGCAACTCCACGGCGGAGAGCCAATCGTCGACCCGGACGATATTGCAGGCAGCCTCGGCAGCGATGTGATCTTTATCCTCGAACGCATGACGCCATCCGAGCTCCGCACGATCCGGACGGAACTGTTCCCGTGCCCCGATCAGGAGTACATGTGGGTCGACGTCGCGGACCGACTGGTCTCCCCAGATATGCAGGGTCTGCTGGCGTACTTTGAGACCTCTGGGGACTTCGCTCACGAGAACAACCGCCCGCCGCTGCAGTTCCTGGCCGTTGACCGCCAGACGCTGGCGGATGCGATGGAGCCGGCCGATGAGCGCGAGGACTGGGAGGCCATTATCGTCGCGTCGCACGAGGGCGGCGATGTCTGGTTTCAGGACGCGACGGGGCGTTCATTTGGGCACCTCTCGACGGGGTATGGCTACGAGCGGAGAAATCTGGAAGAGGCGGAGGGGGTCTATATCAATGTGAATATTTCGAACATGAGCTGGTCGGAAATGTGTGAGCGCTCGCCGGTAGTACATTGGAGTACGTACCGGGCGTGGGCGGAGGACCCTTGGAGAGAACAGTTTGCCCGATCGTTCGGCCAGGAGGGGATGCAGGTTTCTGAGTCGGGGTGAAAGCTATGGCTAATGATATAGAGAACACCTAATCATGCTTCGTTTGTTTAAGGTACCCAACGGGGTAACAACATATTTGAACAAAGTAGTCCGTGTTGTCCTGCTCGAACATCAGTAATTAGGGCTGGCGATCATGTTCATCACGGCTGGAGGAAATCTATCGCGGAACCACAGTTGAAGAATACCTCTCACGATAGCGTTTCATGGTGTGACGGAGCGTCGGGGGAAGTATGAGATTATACGAAAATCCCTTTAGCGCAAAGCTTTCTATCAGAGGGATATTCACCCTACTTTATGCTCCAGGCGTGACGGAATAGTATTAGTTATAGCTATATATGTAACTATACATACTTGATTTTCTAGGACAACCGTAGATTTCCTCTTCGGGACACCGCCGCTTTAGTAAGGGCGCTCGGGGTTCTGCTTAGTGAGTATTTCACATCACGGATCACCGCTTACTGAGCACTTAGCCCTTACTTCTAAGCAGTTATGTATACTCACTGAGCCGCTCACCCCCCATCTATTCTGTACGGGTAGTTCAACAACTATGTTCGATAATATTTCTAGAAATTGCCCAAGCCTGCTTAAATACTCGCTTAAATACCTGCTTAAGATAATGCAAGTAAGTCGCGAGAGTTCAGCTTGCCCCCTGTCAGTAGAGTCAGCAAACTGAAATTTGAGGGCGATGGCGACAAATCTTTAAAGGCAGCTCCGGAGGAAGATATAAAGGTATGACTCTTCTTTGGGCATTTTGTCTGGCATACAACCACAACATCCTTTCAAACCTACTGTCTATTTTTATATTTATATAGACAAATTTTTTTTGGTTCTATATGCTCCGCTCTCTAAGTCGCAGGATAGTAATAGGCAGAAAGACTTTTTTCCAGGGTAGCTGAAAGAAGGGCGAGAAAGAGGGGAAGCGCACAGCGCCATACCTTAGAAGGTAAATGTTCGGGTAACACGGCAAGTCTGGGAGGGGCAGTGCTCTGGCTGAAGTAGAAGACAGAGGAGAAAGGGGAAGAGAAAGTGCGTCGTCTTTTCGAGTGAGAGGTGCCGGACTTATATAGATCGTGCGGGAGGCATGAGGCGGCAGGCGCAGGCGCAAAAGCGGCGAGAAGTGGGCGCGATACTCAAAACGGACCGCACTAGACCGTAAGGGGCAGTGTCATTCCCGCATGTGACAGGCGGTGGCGGCGAGCAGAACGGCGGTTCAATGGGAGCCGTTTCTGGCGCCCCGCTTGCCGTCCGTCAGAATACTTGATTTAATAATAATAATTTTTTATTTAGATATTTATTTTAGTTTTATATTTAGCCTGATACGGATCCTTTCTTATCGAGAGGACCGTATTGGGAAGCCTGGTTAGCTAGTAGGCAAGGATCACGTGTTCTGATCATGTTGGTTATTATTAACGAATTCTTCTTCTTTCTGGCTGTAGCCTAGATAGCTAATACAACCAACATCTTCAACTCCCTGAGCCGTATCTCACAACATAGGATGACTACTTTTCCATATGCTTTATAGACTTATATTCATGATTTGAGTTGCTAAAAGCGATATATGTAACGTGTGACCTCCATCATAGAAATGTGTGACTATACATATCTGAAAAGCCCTACTTCCGTTGCTTACTGCGATCCTTCTCGCAGCATCACTACTAGAATGACATCTCACCGCTAACACCCGCAGGATGCCGAGAGTCCTAGCATACAGCCTAACCTCATTAAGACGGGGCTGGGGCCGACAAGGCTGAGGGTGAATCCGCAACCCCTGACTCCATCCGACTCCATCTGACTCCATCATCCAATGATCCAACCCTCGTCCACCATGACACTCCACACCAAAAAGGGTCCGGTAGGCAAACCACCACCGAAATGGAAAATCTATCAACAGAAACTGAAAACCCTGGGCCGTCTCTTCCATCGCACTGGTACCAACAACGCCCACGAAACCACAGCAACTAACACGACCCCATTCCCCTTCCTCCGCCTCCCCCGGGAACTCCGCAACCAAATCTACCAAGACCTCCTCACCGTGACGGACAACGGCGCCCTCTGGATCCGCTACAGCCTAAGCCGTCAACGCTGGTGGGACGCCACACCACTCTGTCAATTGCCCGGCCCACGAACTCCTCGACCCCGACTAACCCTCGGCCTCCTCCTCACCTGCAAAACCATCCACACGGAAGCCCGCGAGATCCTGCTCTCCCGCAACAAAATCTGGCTCGACGCACCCCCCGCCAAATGTCTCTCCTTCCTCACCACCCTCCCACCCACCATCAGCAGCAAAATCCACCACCTCAAGCTCTGGATGGACGTCTACCTGAACTGCGGCATGTCAACGGGGAACTTACCGCACCTCACCCCGGATGAAATCACCCACCATACCACTCGTGTGCAGGACGAACTCCTACCCCCCTGGGAAGCCCTCTTCCCGTGGATCCACGACAACCTCCCCCTCCTTCATACATTGCATATCCGCTTCGGCCCCAATCGCACCTGGCACACACGTAACCTGCACTATGTATCCCCCCAATGGCACCAATTCTACCAAACCGGCTGGATGCAGCACGTGCGAGAAACCACGACCCAAATCCAAACCCTCCTCGTAGAATCGGACCTGCAATGGTGCGATCAACTCGACGACGCAGAGCGGGTGGACTTCCAAGACCTGCGACGCGAGTTGCACCGACATTCCGGGTTCAGGGAGGTAAATGTAACATGGGATCATTATTTCTTTTTGTCGAGTGCGTGTGAGCAGTTTCCGAAGACAAGTTTGTGTGTTTTGTTGCAGCGAAGTGAAGAGGGAGGGGAAGGGGAGGGGGAGGGGGAGGGGGTACTAGGGCCATTGCCCGAGTATCAGCGGGTTTATACCCTCGATGATATGGTTTGTGTGATGGGGTGCTCGTTTGGGGAGCCATTCCCGCCACGGTCGCCGAATAATGGTCGTTGACTTACTTTAGTATCGTGGTTGGGTTGTTGGGGTTTAGGGATAGGTCCTGGGTGGATGGCGTTAATAGGTGCCGGTGCCAAAAGCAATACATTTTCATTTTCGGAAATGAAAAACATGAAATGAAAATGTGAGAGTAGCATTCGAGAGGAAAAAGTCCTTGGCTGGGGCTACAGAGTATATAGAGAGTATATAGATCCGACCCGGATGCGGCGGATACGGGTTTCAACTTGGTCCCCAACTATCTCTCCATAAGCAAAAAAACAATTAACAAGAATAAAAAGGAAAAAAAAACTTACAACAGAAGGGATTCGCTGGTGGTCACCCACCCAACTACTAACCTCCCGGCGTGTGGCTTAAGTACGGCTGAGCGGACGGGAAACCCTGTTTTCCACACCCTGTGGTCGTATGTACTGGCCATCACGTAGGTGGAGAATGATATAGTAAACACGAGAGCGTCGCATCAACCATCCCCGTCTTACTTTCGCTTTTTCTCCCTATTGGGCCTACCCCACCCCCTATCACTCCCCATTACCTTCCTCTCACTCACACGAATGCCAACATTGCATACGCTCCCCACCCAGTCCCTCCACATCATCCCGCTCCGCAAGGGGATCGGAGACAGATCTCTAGCTTACAAGGGGTCTAAACCGGAGGGTGTACCCTGGGGCGGGGGGCTCACATAGCTACACAGCTACGAGTAGCGCGGATGGACATCGGGACGTGATTGGAGATGATGTCCAGGATTGGTTTAATGGATCATTTCGGAGCTGCGGCCGAAGGATGAGACCGAGCGGTGGGCCGAGTGTGTCGCCGACTTGTGAGAATATATGGGGTGTAGGGTATACATTCTATCAGTCCCTCTCCAGCTCCTGTGGCGACGATTCCGGAACACTAATCAGAACGCTAGGCACTGGGCTAATAGGCTAGGACTTTCGTCCGAAACACCGGAATATCAAACGGGCAGCCCCTTGGCCACGGCCTATCGTCGCTTCTACCGAGCCAGGACGAAATCGACCGGGGGGGGGGGGAAAGGGGGGCATACAACACCGGGGAACCCCGGCAGTCAAACTCATTCCACTACTAACCGATGCGCATTCAGAAGATAGCTGGAAAGAGGAATCTTGGGGGTCAAATGTATACATGCTATCAACTTTATCAAATGGATAGCCGCCTCCCTCCCCATCCAGACGTTGACATCGAGGTCGGGACCCAAGGCACCTACAACGGCGATTTTAGGCTATTCTCTTCGGAGGGCATGTGGCGATCTCCCCGTACAACTCTCCAATGCACTTTGTGGTATCCGTGCCACTAAGCCCAATTAGCAAGGATTCAAAATCAACACACATGTCCGCGATGACGCGTGGGCCGAACAGGTCCGGATCGTGGCGGAAGGAGATGGTCATGACCGACTCCTGCACGCTGCACTCGCTCAGAATCGGCAACTGGGGAGCCCCCATAGGGATCGCACGCATCTGCTCGGCGATGGGAGATGCTTCATAGGTAGGCCCATCCTCGAAGGCTTGAACTACCAGCGGGAACGCATTGGCACAGGCGGTCCTACAGTCCGGTCCCATCCGTGCGATGTTGCTCCAGCCGGTATGCTCCCAGGGAATCATGTCCTGGAGTCGGGTTTGCACCTCGCGGAGAAGGACCTCCAGCGGGGTCGTGGGGTCGACGTGAATCCGTAGGGGAACCATGGTAATCATGGGCGCAATGACCGCCTCCACCCCGGCGATCGCCTCGTTCCGTCCGGTCAGCGTCAGACTAAGCACGGCGTCGGGACTCCCGGACCGCTGGGCTACGAGCAAGCCCATCGCGGTGTAGATCATCGTTGGCAGGGTGATACCGCGGTCGTTCGACAGGGTGGGTGTGACCAGCTGGTGTTCGTAGAACGCACTGGCACACACTTGCTTCTCGGAGGGCCAAGGTGTCAGTGGCTGGCAGTGCATCTCCGAGAGCTGGGAGGCCCAGAAATCGCGGGCGGATAGCGGATTGATCTGTGAGAGATGCTTGATGTACTTCCCGAGAGGCTCGATGATGCAGGTCTCGGAGGTCGCCCCGTAGATCTGGCTGAGGCGCCCGAGAATCAGCCGAATGGACCAGCCGTCATAAATGGCGTGATGAGCGGACCAGACAAGGTGCGTTGGAACCCCGGCCCAGTCCTGTATAATGGCCATCCGTTGCATCTCGCCGCCAGGGAGGAATGGGCATCGCTGGTCGGACTTCAGATACTCCTCCAGATCCCGGGACAATGCCGCGGCGAATGTCGCGCGGTGAACCACCTGTAGGTAGCGTGCACCGTCCTTGACGATTCTGGTGCGAAAGATTTCATGGGACTCAAACAACATCTCCCATGCACGCAGCAATTGTTCCAGCTGAACAGAGGGCCGCAGCTGAACGACAAACTGCGTGCAGAACCAGCCCGGACTCGACTCGGCCGCGACCATGTAATCATGCTGAAGCGTTGATGTGGGTAGAATGTCGAGGATGTCTCGACTCTCGATGCCGGTGGCGGATATCACTGTCTCCCTGACCGACGTCTCCCCCAGGTCCTGGACCAGCTCGAATGGGCAGTAAGACGACCAAGATGGTAAGTCATCCCGGCGGGTGGCGGCGGCGGCCTGGACGGCCATGTCGGCGAGGGTGGGATGCGCAAAGATGGTCTGGACGGAGAGGCCGAGGCCGGCCTCTCTGGCGCGCGAAACCAAGCGCATGGCAGCCAATGAGTTACCGCCCACCGCAAAGAAGTTGTCGTCGGGCCCAAGATGGCACCCCTCCAGGTGGATGCATGATTTCCAAAGCTCCCCAAGCTGGTGCTCGTGGTCCGACAAGTGCTGGGAGGCTCCCGCCCCATCGGAGCCCGTAGCGGCGATGACCGCCTCCCCTTGGTCTCGTAAGGCTCGGCGATTGACTTTGCCAGAGGCGGAGAGTGGCATGCTTCCAAGGAAAACGTACTTGGCTGGTTGCATGTGTGAGGGCAGGACGCCGGATAGACCGGACCTGACCTGGGCCACAAACGAGGGCTGTTCCGCTTCCAGCAGGGGTGCCGCCGTGGCAGGATCGCGCGGCGCAATGAAGGCGACCAGAATACTAGTATCAAAGACCGGCAGCTGCTCCACAACCGCTAGCAGCTGTGATGGGATTGCCAGCTGGATTTGATTTTCAATCTCGCCGAGTTCGACCCGCTGTCCATTGATTTTGATTTGCGTGTCTTTGCGGCAGATATATTCGTACGAGCGGGCATTCGCTTGTCTGACCAAGTCACCCGTCCGGTAGAGCCTGACCATGCCACCGAGCTGCCCGGCAGGGTGCCATATGGGATTGCTGATGAAGCTGGTCTTGGTCTTGGTTTCGTCGTGGAGATATCCTTGGGCAACAATGGGTCCCTCGATCAATAGCTCCCCGATCGCCCCGGGGGGCATGAGATGATCCGGATCTGTAGGATCGACAATCCAGAGTCGTGAGCCCATTCCATAACCAAAATCCCGGGGCGATCGGGAGCTTGGATCGATGGGGTTACTGATCGCGCACCAAATGGTGCATTCGGTCACACCGTAGATGTTGAGCAGGCGAACCTGCCCGGCCCACTGGCGAATGTCGGTCAGCTGAAGAGGCTCACCACCAAGGCTCAGGGTGGCCAGTGTCGGCAGGGGCTTTCCAGCCAAGGTCCGCGCCACCGCGGGTGTCAGGCACGCCTGATCCACCGCCATATTGCGGATGAAGTCATCTAGAGAATCCAGCCTCTGTTGCTCAGAGGGGATGCATACACACGCCCCGAAGAAGAACGCCCCGAAAATGTCACCGAGGCTAACATCAAAGGTGTATGAAGCGAATTGCAGGATGCGTGAATCGGCACTGTATCCCATGCGGGCACCAATAGCCAAAGTGCTAGTGACCAGGTTGGCATGAGTCTGGATGACACCCTTGGGATATCCCGTGGTTCCCGAGGTGAACATGACAAACGCGGCGTTCCCGGGGGCTACGGTGGGCAGCTTTCTGGGCCGGACAGCTTGACCATCGATCGTGGCGTGGTTCACGAGAACCACATCAACGGGGCAACCGTCAAATATATTGGCGCATTGGGCGCTGGAGAGGCAGATAACAGCCTCCACGTGGCCGACGACATAGTGCGCTCTTTCCACAGGGTATTGATCATTGAGAGGGACGCACACTCCGCCTGCCTTTAGGACTGCAAGCATGGCAACGCAAGTCCACTTGGACTTCTCAAAGCAGATGACCACATGAGAACCTGGACCGACGCCCTTTTCCAACAACAGCTGGGCTAGGCTGTCCGAGAGACGATCGATGTCTCGATAGTCGAAGGTGCCGTCCCAAGCACGCACGGCGGTTCTGGTAGGATGTGTATTCACCTGGTCACAAAACATCCCATGTATCGTGCGTGACACCTCGGCAGGAAGGGGTTCATTCGCGATGAGAAGGTCCTGATGCTCGCTGGCTGTGGCGTGATGTAGCGTGGAGATCTTGGTCGAAGCAGGGGTCGAACAGATTGCGCGACAAACAGAGTTGAAGTGGTCAAGCATCCATTGGGCCCTTGTGTCGTTGATAACCTCGCTGTCATAGAACATCCTGGCTTGAACGCTGGAGGCTTGGACCTGGCATTCGACTTCGAGGGCGTACATTTGAAAGGTCTCGTTGTTGTCCGCCACAAGTGGGGTTCCGAGTACCTTCGAGATGCTCTGCTCCGTGGATGCGTCATTGACGAGGAACATGTGTTGAAAGTCGCATGCACGGCGAGCATCCTCGCTCAGCTGGCTGATTTGCTGTAGACCAAGGTGACCATGTGCGGTAACGCTGGCGGAGTCGTCGTGAATCACTTGCAGAAGCTCACCGAGAGTCTGCTGTTTCCGAAGGGCTACTCGCACCGGTACCGTGACGATCGTCGGCCCCGCCGCCTGAGCCAGGTAGGGAGAGGTTGGATCTCGACCGTGGAGGGTGGTTCCGAAGACCACCTGGTCAAGATTGGCGTATGCACCCACGGTCAGTGCCCAGGCGGCTCTCAGAACGTTGGCGGTCGTCGTGATAGTCCCTCCCAGATCAGCCGACATGTTGGTTGCAAGGGTCTTTCGTGTTTTAGGTCGGTATGCTGCCCTGGGGGGGTGAGGAAATGTTGGATCGTGGGTCCCCACCAAATATGTTTTCCAGAAGCCTTTGGTCTGTGAGTTATCACGTTCATAAACCCCTGCGATATACCTCCGATATTCGCACGCCACCAAAGGGGGAGGACTCGAAACGGGCTGGCTATACTCCCAGTCCAGCAGGCGGAAGATTAGATTCAACGAAAAGGCGTCATAGAGAGCATGGTGTACAGCCCAGGTCAACACCTGGTCGGTCATGGTGAATCGGCAGAGTGGCGTTGTCATAGCTTGGTTGGTAAACTGCTGGGCGATGGCCACCGCGCCAGCGTCGGGAACATCCTCGGACCAGGCAAAGAAATTCTTCAAGACAACCTGCATCAACCCCCTAGTCTTCGAGTGGAACACCACAGTCCGCAGCGCCGGGACCTTCCGCACGACATTCTCCCAAGCACGCTTGAGTCTGTTGGTGTCCAATTCGGCAGACAGCGGGAATGAAAGACGAGCAGTGTATGCTCCGGGCTCCTTGATGGACAATGCTACCAAACCCTCTTGTAGTGGGGTGCAAGGATACATGTCCTCGATGTTTTCCGATGTGATGTGGCACTGAGAAATCACTTCGTGTTTGAGCATGTCTACCTCCTGGTGCGAAACACCCAAAATGCCAAATGGCACCACCGAGCTGGGTACATTGCGGACGACTTCGTCGCTTGGGCTAGCGCCTTGCTCCGCAGCCGTGGCCATCTGAAGCAAAATTGGGTTCCGGAAGATTTGGTCGACGCTCAGGAAGATATCGTGGCGGCGTGCGTTGCTGACCAGCTGCATTGCGCGAATTGAATCCCCACCGAGACGGAAAAAGTGGTCATCCCGCCCGGGAGCATTGGGGAGCTTGAGAATAGTCTGCCACAGAGAACTGAGACACCGTTCGATCTCGCCTTCGGGAGATCGACGATGCTCAGTGGGAATGTTGGAAGTGTCCCCAAAGAATGAAAGAGATAGGCCTTCTGCCCACCTTTGTAAAGTCCGACGGTCCAACTTTGCAGACGTGGACAGGGGAAGCCTATAGACCGGGATATATATCGACGGAAGCATATACTGCGGCAGGATATCCGACAGCCGGGGTTCGATGCTCTGAACTAGATGACGGAGAGCTTGGATTGCAACAGTCGACGTCACTACCCCAGGAACCCCCGAATCACCCGGTGAAGAGGGACTCCTGATAAAGGCCCCCAGGCTTTGTGCAGCAGAAGGACCGCCGGGAGTGACCACTTCGACAGCGACCTCTGTGTCAGGAGGGAGAAATCGGCGGAGGCTGACCTCTACCTCAGAAAGCTCAATCCGCTGGCCTCTTAGCTTGACCTGGCGATCTTTACGCCCAAGAAAGCAAAGGGACCCATCTTCACTGTAACGGACGAGGTCACCAGTACAGTACACCCGTTGGCTTTGTCGGGACAAGGTCTGGGGCAACCATGGCGGATTGTGCAAGAACGCAGCCTTCGTTTTTTGTGGGTCTTTGAAGTAGCATCGCGCCAATGTTGGGCCCTGGAGGACAAGCTCGCCCGGTGCGCCAATGGGCACCAGCTTGTGCGGATCGTGTGGCTGGACAATCCAGGGAATAGTACCGAGTCCCCAGCCTATGTTCTGAGAGGAGTCTCCTCGCGACATTTCCTTGCCCATACACCAAATCGTGCACTCTGCAGGCCCGTAGATGTTCACCAGACCTACCTTGTCTGCCCATCGCTGGACCAGAATCTCATCCATTGGTTCGCCCCCGACAACCAGACGTCGCAACGCAGGCACGTCCTTGGGATCCAACTGTAGGGCCACAGTACTCGTAAGACAAGCATGGTTGACACGCATCCTTTGCATGGCACCAGGTAGATCATTGATTCTTTCACCTTCGGATGGAACGCACACGCAGCCACCCAAGGCGAGTGTCACAAGCATGTCCCCGATACTCACATCGAAGGTATAGGCTGCAAATTGCAGAACTCGAGAACCCTTGCTGATTTTCATGGCGCGTCCATGTGCCAAAGCACTCGAACTGACAGCTGAGTGGTCGACCACGATGCCCTTGGGAACGCCCGTGCTGCCGGAGGTGAACACGATATAGGCGGCATGTTTCGAGGAGGACATCGGCATCAGATGCTTCGCATCTAGGCCCTGAGGCCGACCTACATGAAGCAGTCCTTTATCAATGACCAGACATTGGACTCTCGAAGACCCAAGGGTCTCTTGAAGACCGTCGGAGCAAAGCACAACCTTGGCGGCAACATCGTGGATGATGGCATCTCTGCGGGAATTGGCATTTTTGGGATCGAGCGGGACGAAGGCCGCCCCGGCGCAGAGAATCCCCAGGATCGCCACCTGGGTCCACTTGCACTTCTCAAAACAGACAGGGACGAACTCTCCCGGTCCAATACCATGGGTCTGCCGAAGATGCCCGGCCAACTGCAGAGACAAGCTCACGAGCTCGGCGTATGTGAGGTCGCCATCCCAAGAGCATACCGCCGGTGCAGTAGGCTGTCGCCGGGCTTGCTCATTGACCATGTCATGTATGCAACTATCGGCATACTCAAGTGACTGCCTGTTCCAATCATGGATCTGCTCTTGATCCACCGCGCTGAGGCGCTTCAGGTCGGCCACTTGCGTCAATGGAGAACCCGTGGACAGGTGCTGAATAGCTTCATCAAAGTATGTCAACACCCGCTGTAATTGGGTGTTTGGAATGACGTTCTCATCATATGAGACAGTCACATCTGCCCCTGACTGGTGCATGAGGCATTCGATGTTGAGGGCATTCGTGTAGAAGCCGTCTGAGGACGTTCCCGAAACTTGCGACATGATCGGGCGGTCGGGCTCGTCCGGACCTTGCGGATTGAGATCTGGAAACTGTAGGATGAGAAGAGATTGCATATCACAAACGGAGTGCGCGCTGTCGCTGAGGCGCTTGATATTCTGTAGGCCAATGTGCTCAAACGGAATCATGGCAGTTGCGGAAGCTTGGACGTGCTGGAGGAACTGCTCGACAGTCCACTCATCCCGCACTCGGATGCGGGTAGGAACGGTTGCAATGGTCGGTCCTCGCACTGACTCAATGCCCTGCAAGGGCAGATTTCGACCGCTGACTGTGAGTCCAAAGACAACATCATCCTGACCCACCAACTGGGCGACTGTCAAGGCCCATGCAGCGCGGAAGAGATTAGAGATGGTGACCTCCGTGCAGATGGTGTGAGAAAAGCGGATGTGCCGGTCTATCAGTCCTGTCGGACGTGGTTGGTAGTCTGAGGTCGGCAATGATGGGAACTCGCATTTCTGGGCTCCCTCCAGCGTCTCGCGCCAGAAATTCTGAGCATCTCCGAGGTCCCCCATCGTCGAGAGTCGAACGAATTGGTTGAATGGCACGCCAGAATTATGGATCTTTCTGCCTCTGTATGTTGCCTCGACGTCTCTCAGAATGTTCTGGAAGGTCAACCCGTCATATACGGCATGGTGGGCTATCCACACCACACGGTTCTGGCAGATATTCACTTGAGACATTGGTGTGCCCCCCGGCCCGATCCGAAAGTTCTGCAAAAGCTCAGCTGCATCCTCCGTGCCCACGCGCCTGACCACACACTCGTCTTGAATGATAGCCTGCATGAAGCGCCCATCGTTTGTAGTGACAAACCTGGTGCGCATGATGGGCGTCCGGTTAACGACATCGACCCACGCTTTCTCCAGCAGGTCCAGGTCCACATGGTCCGACAGCGATAGTGTGAACTGGCCTACATACGTACCCGGTTGCCTGAGCGACAAGGCGAGCAATCCCTCTTGTAGGGCGGTGCAGGGATATAAATCCTCCAGTGCATCGACAGCGAGGTCGCATTGTGCGAGAGCATTGGCCTTGAGTTGACTGATATCGTCCGTGGTATCGAGGAGGCTAAATGGTGCCGGCGTGGCCGAGATCTGGTGGATTGTACCGTCCGATTGACGCCTGCGCATCTGCGCCGCCAGGTGGCAAAGGACTGGATGCTTGAAGGCTAATTCGACAGTGAGGTGCAAGTCGCGCCGAGAGCCGGCTGAAACTAACTGCATGGCCTTGATCGAGTCGCCTCCAAGGCGGAAAAAATGGTCACCGCGTCGGATATCGGACGCTGGAATCCGAAGGACGTCCGCCCAGAGCTCTTGTAGTTGGAGCTCCCAACGGTCTTGAGGCGGTCCACCGTCTCGCTCGGAAGACACGAGATTCGAGAGGTCTGCCCGGGAAAGCTTTTGTGCCCAAGCTTGTAACACACTCCTATCCAGTTTTGCAGAGGCGGACAGTGGCAATGCCGTGATTGGGATGTATAGCGAGGGCACCATATAGGGAGGTAGTAGCCCGGGTAGTCTCAGGTCCAATTCCTCGACGAGACTATTGAGCTTGTGCATTACCGGCTTGCTGGTAATGATCCCAGCGCTGAGGGCCTTCGACACGCCCTCTCCAAGATCCGGCAGAACGACGAAGGCAGTCAATTGGGCCGAAGGCCCAGCGCTCTCCGAACGAATCACGTCCACAGCGACGTCAGCACCGGGGGGGAGACACTGGCGGAGGCGGTACTCGACTTCAGGAAGCTCGATACGCTGACCTCTAAGTTTGACCTGACGGTCCTTGCGTCCGTGGACCTCAATGGTCCCGTCACTACAATACCGTCCAAGATCTCCCGTTCGGTAGACCGTGCCGGTACATCCTACCGTCCGCATCCACCGCAAGTTGCACAGGAAACTGCTGGCAGTCTTATCGCTTTCCTTCCAGTAGCCGCGGGCAATGTTTGGGCCTCCGACAAGCAACTCACCAACCGCGCCAATCGGCAGAAGGAGCTGTGGATCTTGGGGGTCGGTAACATAGATGGAGCAGCCTACGGGCAGGCCGACATTCCGTCGGTCAGCGCTCTCTGCAATGCCCGCTGCGCAATTGGTCCATATCGAACATTCGGCTGGCCCGTAGCTGTTGACAAGCTGAACCTTACTGGACCAGGTCTGCAGGTTGTGCTCCGTGGCGCCTTCTCCCCCGAGAACCAATGTCTTGAGCGTCGGAAGCGCGCTCGGTTGGAGGAAGGAAGCCATCGTGGGGGTCTGGAAGGACCAGTTGACCTGGTGATCATTCATAAATCTACATAGATTGTTGAGGCGGTCCTTGGCAGAAGGGATGCACACGCATCCGCCAACTGCCAAGGTCGTGAAGATCTCGGCCATGCTGACATCATACGTGTAAGCGGAAAATTGGAGCACTCTCGAAGCAGGGGTCAGGCCCAGTCTCGGCGCATGCGCCAGGATGCTGCTGCAGAACGCGCCGTGGGTGATCTCGATGCCTTTTGGCCTTCTGGTACTGCCGGAGGTGAACAGAATGAAAGCCAAATCTGAAGGCAGCACATCCTCACCGGGACATTCGGGCAGCCCCGGCTGGGTCTCTTGAGACAGAGCGTCTTCGATGCAGACCACGCGGTGATGGAAAGGCTCCGCCTTGTGCAAGTTGTTCCGATTAGTCAAAATAATGGTCGAGCCCATCCGACTCACTATTTCCCGCATGCGCTCTGGGGGGTGGGTGGGATCCAACGCAAAGAAAGCCCCGCCGACTTTGAGTATAGACAACATGGCCACCACTGCGCACCAGCTCTTGTCGAAGCATAGACCGACCAGCGAGCCCCGTCCAATTCCATCCATTTGGAGACGACCGGCAAAACGGATGGAGAACTTCTCAACTTCCTCGTAGGTAAGTTGGCTGTCGGATGTGTCAAGGGCGATCTTTCGGGGGGCTTGGAGGGCCGATTGTTCGAAGAGACCATGGACCGTCAACCGGGACGCCGGCGGGACATGGCTATTCCAGTGCTTTAGGGTGGCAATATCATCCTCATGGGGTCCGAGAAGGGAGTCCCAGGAAAGGTGACTACCCACAGATCTGGACAGTAGGCTTATTGTGTCGTCTAGATATCCGAGAAGATGGGATACAGAAGGGGTGGAGAGAAATGTAGTGTCGTACGTCGCAGCCACGGTGATCGTGCCACCTGCTCCAAGCCTACACTCTAGCGTGAGAGGATAGGTATAGACATCCTGTTCTTGCGAGTAACCATGGAAGAGATCGAGTGTTTGGTGACCCTGCGAATACTCCACAGGTTGCACAACAAGGAGCGACCGTGCCGCACACGCATTCTGTGCATCGTCACTGACTTTTTGAATGTTCTGGAGACCGTGATGCTCATAAGGCATCATCGTTATCGTCTCCTCTTGCACTGTGTGCAGAAAGTCAGCCACCGTAACGTTTGGATCAAGTCGAACGCGAACTGGTATCGTGGCGATTGTCGGGCCGCGCACGGAATCAATGCCTGTCAGTTCGACGTTCCGACCACTCATCGTGGAGGCGAAGACGATATCCTTCAAGCCAGTGAAGCGTCCGATGACCACCGCCCAGGCGGCCCGCACCAAGGTAGCGACGGTGACGTCCGATGTCTCCCTGCGTGGAATCGCCAATGTTCTCTCCGTGCGGACCTTGGCGCTGCTTGCGCCGGATTCTCCTAGGGGTGCGGCAGGGAAGTCGCAGAGCTGAGCCCCCTGGAGATACTGCCCCCAAAATGCCTGCGCTGCATCACGGTCCATGGCTCGAAGACGTCTGATAAATGCCCCAAAGGACCTCACCGGGGCGATGGTATATCCGTAGTAGCGGTTGTTGACCTCGGCCAAGTACTGTTGAAGGGACCAACCGTCGTATGCGGCATGATGCAGCACCCATGTGAGGGTTGGAACCCTGCCCTCACGGGCCCGGGCGAGCAGCATCAGGTTATTTTGGCTCCCTAACGCAAAGCGGAATTGAGCAGCACGACCGTCTACCTCGTCTCCATGGCATGTTTCCACGAGCGACTCCTGACTCTTGGTGACTAACTGTAGAACCCCGTCGGACTTGGCATTCACAAAGACGCTGCGCAATATCGGATTGTTTCGGAGCATTTGGTGCCACGCATCCTGGAGCCGCCCTAGGTCAGTGTTGGGCGGGAGGTCAAAAGTCACTCGCGCCACATAGGAGCCTTGTTGCTTCAGGGACATCGAGATGAGACCCTCCTGAAGAGGGGTGCAGAAGCTTGCATCTTCCACCTCGTCTGCCGGGATACCATAACCCGGGGCGAGCTCTTCCTTCACCAGTGTGACTGTATCCGCTTCCAGGAGGCAGAAGGGGGCCGGGTCCGGCTCATCAACGTCCTCGCCGCTGCTGGCAGGCCCGACTATACGTTCCAGTCGGAGGGCCATGGTTGAAAGCAAGGGGTATTTGAAGATAGAATCAACCGAGAGGAGTCGCCCTTGCCGTCTAGCGGCTGCAGACAATTTCATTGCTCTGATCGAGTCACCGCCGCGCCGGAAGAAATGATCATTCCGTCCGATGTTGTCGTGCGACTCTAGGACGGCTGACCACAGAGATCCAAGGAGAGTCTCCAACTCTCCGTCCGGTGCGTCGTAGTCTCTCGTCCCCGGTGCTAGGTCCTGGAGAGCAGAAGCGGGGAGATTCTCGATTGTGGCTTTCAACTTTCGGCGATCGAGTTTCCCGGACGCGGAGAGAGGGAAGCCTTCCATCGGGATGTACAATGTAGGGAGCATATAGGAAGGAAGTGTCGACGCCAGGGACTCGTCAATTCCAGTTAGCAGGTTGTGAAAGGTGTCGAGCGTTGCTGGATCTTCGACCACGGCACACAAGCTGTCCCGAGCCGCAGCCTCGCTCGCCTTGACCAAGGCAACCAGCTGTGGGTTGTTGGTACCCCCCTGAAGCTGGATCAAATCAACGACCGCCTCATTGTTCCGCGGCAGACACTGGCGGAGATGATGCTCAATCTCCGCCAGCTCAACCCGCTGACCCCTCAGTTTCACTTGGCGATCCCGTCGCCCGACAAACACAATCGATCCATCGGTAGCATAACGGACCAAATCACCGGTGCGATACACACGCCGCGTCCCATTACCACGACTGCTGCTGTTCGCTCGTAGCCATGGTGGGTTGATGATGAACGAATCCGCCGTCTTGACCGGGTCTTGGAAATAGCCTCGCGCTAGCGTGGGACCCTCGAGCACGAGCTCCCCGATGGCGCCAATAGGTGCAAGCTTGTCCGGATGGTCGATCTCTGTGATCCAGGTCAGGGCACCCAGCCCGTGGCCAATATCGCTTGCAGAGTCCCCGGGCGTAAGAGCCAGTTTCCCCATACACCAGACGGTACACTCTGCGGGGCCGTAGATATTGATCAGGTCAAGCTTCGTAGCCCACCTATCAATTAAAGCTTCGTTCATAGGCTCGCCGCCAATGACAAGCCGGCGTAGGGATGGCACGGTTTGCGGATCTAGTTGCATGGCCACGGTACTCGTGATGCAGGCGTGGTTCACGCCGAGTGCTCTGATCCCTCCACTAAGGTCGTCCAACCGCTGCTCCTCAGACGGCACGCATACACAGCCTCCGAGGGCTAAGGTCACCAAGATATCGCCAATGCTGACATCAAAGGTATATGCAGCAAACTGGAGGACTCGCGTTTTGGAATCAATCTTGATCGCCCTGCCATGGGCCATGGTGCTGGAACTCAGGGCCACATGGTCGACGATAATGCCTTTGGGCTTACCGGTACTACCGGACGTGAAGACAATGTACGCTGGGTCGTTAGCTAGGACGCTCGATGGCTTCAGGAGCTCGAGTGATTTGAACCACGTTTCTTCGCTTTCTTCACTATAGGAGGAGAATATGTCCGGGGTGACCACGAGTGCTCGAGCCTGATTCTCCTTAACCGCATTCCTCGTCTCTGGGCGGCAGAGAATGAGCTGTGCGCCCAGGTCCGCGACAATGACAGCCAGTCGGGCGGAAGGTTGCTTGGGATCAAGAAGGACAAAGGTGGCGCCGGTCATGAGCACAGCTAGAATGGCAACCTGCGTCCATACTGACTTCTCAAAGCAAATTGGGACAATGTGCCCTTTGCCAAGGCTATCTTGCTGTAACATTTGCGCCAGCGATATGGCGCAGATCATTAATTGCCCATACGACAAGGCGCCGTCCCACGCCGCAACCGCAGGCGCCAATGGCTGCCTGCGTGCTTGGTCTTTGATAATTTCATGAATGGGTACTGTGACCGGAACAGGCGCATTCTTATTCCAAGATAAGATTTGTTCGAAGTCCATGGTGCTGATTTGCTTCAGGTCACCAAGCCGCACAGTGTCTCCTGATTGCGTGACGGATTGAAGGGCCGCATCAAAGCTCGCCAAGACCCGCTGCACTTCGGAATCCGACATCAAATCGGGGTCGAATTTTGCGCGGACGGTAATGAGGGTTTCATGGAAGGTGCACTCGATATTCAGAGGATATGTGAAGACGTCTTCCATCTGAAACGAAGTACTTCGCATCAACCCGCCGTGGCCGCGGCCCGGTTCGCTATCCGCTGGGAATTGCAGCAGTAGCAATGACCGTATATCGCAAGCCAATCGCGCACTGGGACTCAGCTCGCGGATGTTCTGTAGGCCAAAATGCTCAAAGGGAATCATGGCCACGGCTTGCTCTTGGGTCTTGGACAAAAAGTCCTCGAGGATAGCCTCGCGAGGCACCGCCACACGTACGGGCACCGTGGCAATGGTTGGCCCACGTACCAGGTCAATATCCCTCATTGGGAGGCTCCGGCCACTCGTCGTCACACCAAAAACAACGCTTTCGCTGCCACTATATTGCGACAAGACCAGCGCCCATGCTGCCCGCGCTAGATTCGCAGTGGTCACGTCGCAGTTGACACGGGGTCTGAAAGTGATTTGCCGTGACTGTGTCGCGGTAGCCCTTGCAGCGTGCGACATGGGCTGCACCGGGAATGGGCAGGTCTCAGCACCCTCAAGCTGGTTGATCCAGAATTGACGTGTCGCCGCCACGTTGGTTGACCGAGTATCCCGGATGAAGGCTGCAAAGCTTCGTAAAGGGGATGGGCGCTGCCGATAATAGAGAGCCTCTACGTCGCTGATTATGTGCCGCACTGAAACCGCATCATAGGTCGCATGGTGAGACGACCAAATGACTGTAGCACCTCTGCCGTTGCCGATGGGGCATAGGTGAACTGAATTAGTCCGGGCGCCGAGCGCGACATGAAAGCCCTGGCTAGTCTTGGAGGGATCGAGATGGTCAAGAACCGTTACTGCGTCCGGTTCATCATGAAGAACCACTTGGAGAAAACCTCCAGATGGACCACTAATAAATCTGGTGCGGAGAATGCTCGTTCTTTGGAAGACTTCTTGCCATGCTCGCTGCAGCCAGTCGATGTCAATCGTTGGGGTTTCGAATGTGAAATGCGCAGTATATGCGTCGGGATTTCTCAGCGATAAGGCCATCATGCCCTCCTGGAGAGGCGTGCATGGATAGATATCTTCGATAGACTCGGCGGAGACGTTACACTGCCCAGAGGCGTCTACCTTCAGCTGTTCGATGCTCATTCTCATGTGGGAGAGGCTATCAGATGTATCCACGAGACTGAATGATATCGGGTCGGAGAGTTTATCCTCTCCACTCTCGGTCAGAGGATCAACATGGGCAGCCAACTGCCAAAGCACGGGATATTTGAAGATGGACTCGACTGTCGTGGCGATTCCAGCGTGCCTCCCCATTGTCACCAGCTGCATCGCCTTGATGGAATCGCCCCCTAGACGGAAAAAGTGGGCATTGCGGGGAATATGCTCGGCAGATGTGCCAAGAACCCGACTCCACAGATTCTGCAGCCCTATTTCCCTCTCGCCCATAGGTCTAGGCCCCTCCACCCCTGAGCTGGAAGCAAGCCTCGTGAGATCGGCAGCCGACAAGGTCTCGACCCATGACTGCAAGGTCTGACGATCGAGCTTCGCAGATCTGGTCAACGGCAGTGCTGACACCGGAAGATATATTGATGGGATCATATAGGCGGGTAGTAAGCCGCCGAGCTGTTGCGCTAGTTCCGTCGTCAGTAGGCGAAATTGGCGAACAATCTTCTCCGATCTAAGGACGCCAGGGGTAGCAAGGACGCCATAGTCATCTTCAAGCACGATCACAATAAACAACACGAGCTGTAAAGCGCTGCCGGAGCCTCCGGTGCGAGCAACCTCAACGGCCAACTCGGTACCCTGGGGAAGAAGGCTACGCACGGCAAGCTCAATCTCGGCCAGTTCGATCCGCTGTCCACGTAGCTTGATCTGCTGATCCTTCCGACCAACAATATGTAGCGCCCCATCAGCGTCGTATCGAACCAGATCGCCCGTGCGGTACACACGTCGTGGCACGTTGCTGTCGGAACCCAAGCGTGGCAACCAGGCCGGATCCTCTAGGAAAGCTGCTGCGGTGCGCTTCGGATCGTTGAGGTATCCCCTTGCCAGGGTCATGCCACAAACAACAAGTTCGCCCACAGCTCCTATCGGTACCAGACGGTTCGGATCCTCAACATCTACAATCCAAAGCGAAGCCCCGAGACCCCAGCCAAGTTTTTCCGGAGGGGTCAGAGTCGTGACCCGATCTAGCAGGGTACATAAAACCGCAGTTTCCGTCGGTCCATACGCGTTGATGAGTCTCACCCGTGACGACCACTTTTCGATGACTAGCGCGGACATCTTTTCGCCACCGGTGAAAACCGTTTCAATGGTCGGGCAATCATCCGGATTTAGCATTTGCAGTACACTGGGGGTTAACAGCATGGTGTTGAGGGCATGCTCCCGAACAAACATGAGGAGCTGGTTGTTCCGCTCCACATCTGTGGGGATATAGACCGCTCCACCTACTGTTAGGGTAGAGAATATTTCCAAAACACATGCGTCGAATGTGTATGATGCATACTGCAGCATACAGGTGGCCGCCGTCATCCCGCTCGCGCCCGCGAGACTGGTCATGCTTTTGCTGATACTGCAGTGCTCAATGACCACGCCCTTGGGTGTTCCTGTCGTTCCAGACGTGAAAATGACATAGGCAGGATCAGAAAGGCCACAGCCTGGCAAAAGGCCGGCGTCTGCGGGCCTGCTAGGGCACGGATGTGAGGGAGAAAACAAAAGATGAGGCTGATCGGCTATGGAGGCCCGGGCATTGACAATCTGAATCGTTTCATCGTCCACCAGCAGTGACACCTCACTCTGGAGCTGCCCGAGCATAGATTTGCGGCGCTCCTTCGGAAGGTCTGGACTGATCAGGGCAAAGGCTGCCCCTGACTTCCACGCAGCCAGCATGGCCACGACGGCCAACGCCGACTTATGACACACGATAGGCAGGAAGGATCCCAATCTCCCGGAGTACTGGAGAAGCCCTGCCGCCAGACGATCTGACATGTTGTCAAGCTCGGCATACGACAGTCTGCGTGCGGAAGAGCACAGAGCCAATCTGTCACCTGCCAAGCGCGCAGTTGTCTGGATCTTTGCGAGCAGTGTTGCGGTCGCTGGCTCGCACGCGGATGCATATGGCTCCGCGTTCCACTGCAGGATCTGAGCCGTGTCATTATCGGAAAGAATGTCAATATCTTGCAATGTTTTGGTAGTTTGCCAGTGGGCCACCGTCTCCTGAATCGCAAAGGAGAACCTGCTGGCAAGGCTGTTGAATTGTGCTGCTGCCCCGGCACTGGTGGCATCCGGCAAGTGCGTTTGCAATGTGTAAGCTCCTCCCTCAATCCGACAGACAAATTGTGGTTGCGGCGCCCCCGACTCGACGAAAGGAAGGGGACGTTGACCGTGCGTCACAAGGAGGGTTAGAGAGCTTAACCGCGGGTTGATCTCCTTCAGGAGATGGGCAAAGAGTGAGCTGCTCAGTTGCGCTGTCTCCAGCATGATGCCCACAATTTCTTCATCTGCATCTGCAGCATTATCATCTGCCACGTCGATTTCTCCCACCACTTGAGTTCGACATGTGATGAGCTTGCCAGACTTGGATGCCCGTACTGCACCACCGTATGTGCGAGCTGCCAGCACTTTGTAAGCGTGCGACAGCTCCGACTGGCCCGTGAATGTCAGGCAAAAAACGCCCCAGGCGGCCACCACTTGATTGTAGGAGGGCAAGACGCTACAGTCATGCACGGTCATGGCGGGGGTATTCAGGTCCTCAGACGCCATTGTTCTGTTGTGTAGGTTTGCGAAAGGGGACTCGAGAGGAAGGAAGGGTTTGGTTTTCCAGTTACTTCGTCGGTCAGTGCTTCTTAAGAGGAGATGTCTCCTGTGGCCAAAATCCCGATTGTATTTCGGCCTGACGTGCTATCCCATCCCCAACTTCTCATGTCATGTCAATGGGTACTAGATGGACTCAACCAATGGGAGGCTCGTGCAATCTGCATGTTGCACAAAAAGGTGCGCACATTAAGTGGCGGAGATAAGGCGTTGCGCCATGTGAACATTGTCGGAAGCCGTCAGCCGTCCCTACTATTGCATCTTGCCCTTGCCTCTCCACCTTGCATTCCACATCCCTATTCGGTGCCTGCAGTCTTCCTGCGATGCAGCTGTACACAGCCAATAGACACCGTACGGACCCGGTCATGGATGCAGTGGTGTGGGGCGGGCCAGGACTGTGTGGACTGCAGGCCGCAGATAGTAGTTAGTCAACGAGCTGACAGCAAGAAATACCACGGACGATAAACCAAGTCAAGCATTGGTCAAGCATTGGTCAAGCCTTGATCAGTGGCAGAAGCCGCGCGGGGATGGAGTTGTGGGTGGATCGACGGCCCGGTCCCGGACTCCGACAGGCTGGCTTCCCTGGAGGAGTTAATGTTACATCCCTTGCCATCTCCGAGGAAAGACCACGTAATGCAAGACAATCCTTTTCCGATACGCGGTGCCGATTGGCCCCTTTCGCCGAACATCTCCAGTAGTCAGTAAGCCCTAGTCGCAAACCCGTTAGTGATCGAACTAAGCCACTAAATTACTTCCCTAGTTTAATTATCCTCTCCTGCAAGATCATGGACGACGGCGCACAAAACTCTTCGCCCCTTCCAATACTGCAAACTTCGTCTGATGCTCTCTGATACTACCAGCTGAATGGTGATACGACGTAGCCTTGGTTACAGTGGCAAAGCCGCGAAAGGCCAGGTTGAGCATCAGCACGCAATTGGTGAAAACCGTCACGGACTTCGCCTAATCGACATGCAGTGGAGATAATCCAGAGGTCTAGAACCGGCCTTGCCATCCTCGGCCGGTCTATAACACTCATGTTTTTTTCACTGAGTTGAGGGGGTTCCCCTCTCCGTTCCCCTCCCCGGTCCCCGTACTTCCCGAGGAAATTTTCCTTCGTCTGGTGCCCTAATCCCCTCCACACGCAATGGCCGAGAAGACGGAGGTGACACTCAACCTCACTGCAGCAGCCCCAGGCTCTGATAAGCCAGAGGAGGCCAGGGATGTACCGGATGCCACAGTACCCGCAACCGAAGGTCTTCAAGGGGGCTACCTCACGGGATGGCGACTGTCGGCTCTCTTGCTATGTCTGGGAGTGAGCACATTTTTGACTGGCCTGGTACGAACCCCTGCGAACAATGTCCTTCGAGTCAGTCACCCCAGAGCTTCGCTAATGTATGGCAATGGCAATCTCAGAATGAGAGTCTAGTCGCCACAGCCATCCCCAAGATCACCGTGCATTTCCACTCAGTGGACGATATCGGGTGGTATAGTACCGCTTAGTACGTGAGCCTGAAAGGTGATCCCCTGGCCTTGATGCTCAGCTTACAAGGATACTCAACTCCCTCTTCTATCAGTTTCCTATCTTCATCTTGTACGATCCTTCTTTTCGGCAGGTTGTACAACCAATATCCAGCCAAGCCAATCTTAGCCGGATCGATCGCTTTGTTCGAGATCGGCTGCCTCGTGAGCGGAACTGCGACTTCGTCCGCAGCTTTTATCATCGGCCGGCTTCTGTCTGGCTTCGGTTGCGCAGGGATGAACACGGGCTGCTTAACGTGAGTTGTCCAGCATACCAGGCCACGAGAACAATATATCCGATGAACCGTCCTCGCTGATTAAGGCTGCAGAGTTCTAGCTCATGCCGTCCCTCTTGAGCGCCGCCCCATCTTTTCCGCCATAATCGATGGCGGCTATAGTGTTGCTTCGTCCTGCGGGCCATTGCTCGGCGGAGCGATTACCACTCGACTGTCGTGGCGATGGTGCTTTCTCATCAACACTCCCCCGGGGGCCCTGTGCATTTTGGCCATCCTTATCGTCTATCAGGATCGGTACCTCCCTGCCGGTGCATCGGAGCGGTTGGTGGACCAGATTGCCCGCCTTGACTTGGGGGCCACCTTGCTTTTTGCATCGTCCGTCACCTGTCTGGTTTTGCTGCTGCAATGGGGGGGCAGCACCTTCCCATGGTCGAGCCCGAAAGTGATTGCCTTGTTCGTCTTGTTTGGCGTCTTTCTGGCCACTCTGATCGGCCATCAACTCTGGCGGGGGGAGGCTGCGATGGTCCCGCGCCGCGTGGGCCGGCAGAGGGAGATGGTCGGGGCAGCTGTATATGCCTTTTTTGTCGGAGGCACGGCCAATATTCTCGAGTACTACGTAAGTCACTCCCATCCTCTTACCTATCCCGCGTTCGGTTGGTGTTCAGTGGCTGAAGGGCGAGGGCTTTCCCCCCTCCCTATCCGTAGATTCCCCTGTGGTTTCAAGAGGTCTGGACCGTGAGCGCACTGCGATCCGGCATCTATACCATTCCCATGGTCGCCGGGTTCGTCGTGTTCAGTCTTGTCGCCGGGTTTGGCGTCTCGTCTACCGGATACTATCTGCCGTTCATGTACTTGGGCAGCTGTGCGCTCATTGCCGGATCCGCGCTACTGACAACCATCCACCCGGCTTCGCAGTTGGCCTCCTTGCTGGGCTTCGAGATCCTGATCGGTGTCGGCGGTGGCTCGGGGATCCAACAGGCGTACTTGGTGGCTCAGGCCATCTTGACCACGCAAGACGTGGCTATTGGACTGGCTGTCATCGTCATGGCACAGACCTTGGGCGGGACGGTTTTGCTGTCCATCGCCACCAGTGTGGTTCAGGAAGGATTGGTAACCGCCACCAGCCGCGGTGACTCGCCATCCATCAGTGGTGCCATCATTCCGGCATTTTACCTCGCCATCGCGACCAGTGTTGGCTCCTTGGCGTCTCTGGCGCTGCTGAGAATGCGGTCCATCAAAGGCGATGCGAGCGCAGCCAGGTAGCTTTAAGGCATGTATCTTAGTAGTCGGCCTTTTTTTTTTTTTTTTTTTTTTCTTTCTTTTTTTCTCTAGTAAGATATGTATCGCGGAAAAATGGCATTCGGGGATCATCAATAGATTACTCGAAGGCTTACTGTTCCCAACGATTCCGTACAAATTAGCAACTCGCTCTCCCGTGGCATGAGTCATCCATGTTAGGGCTAGTTAATTAGTTGGACAGACAACCAGATAGCCCGGAGTTTCCGTCACTTAAACCCCTCTCACCCCCCGCCCCTGGTGCTTGACCTCCCCATCCCCCTCGTGTCAAATTGAGATACTTCAGTGGCATCCCTTTTAGTTTAACCCACCCTAACCTTCTTACCATGGAACACTTCCGACATACCGCTCACATCGGAACCCATACCCTAAGCTACGCATTGCGAGGCATTCCCCGACAGCCAGGCGCTCCGCTAGTGATAGTACTTACTGGGATCACCAGTAGCGCCCTGGAATGGAGTGCGGTGTGTCGGCATCTCGAGCAAGAAGCGTCCCTGCTCTTGTACGAACGGTCCGGCTACGGACAGAGCGAGGCATCCGTCACCGCCGAGCCGGACTCCCTCACCATTGTGGACGAGCTGTCCCGCCTGCTAGCCGCGGCCGCCCTCCCACCCCCGTACCTGGTGGTCGGGCATTCGTGGGGCGGGATGCTCGCGCGCGAGTTCCTCGCCGCCCGCGGCCCCGAGGCGATCTGCGGGATGGTGCTCGTCGACGCGGTCCAGGAACGCATGCTCTTCGAGACGTGGCCCGATCCCAGCATCGCGGCGGTCACCGCGGGGCTGGATTACATGGAGGTCGTGGGCCTAACACACGATTACCGGCTGACGGACTCCGAGTGGGCGGAGCTGATGGCGGAGGAAGCCAGCCCACACCATGAGCGACAGGCCGTCCGCGAGCTGCCCTGTCTGCAGATCAGTCGCGCGGTCCTGGCCCAGAAGCAGCAACTACGTCCCCCCAGCCAAGACCTGCTGCACGGCAAGCCGCTCAGTGTGCTCCGGGGCAATTCTCAACGCGACCAGCAGCGCATGTACGACCGGGGGGTCGCCCAGGGATTGGGGACGGAGGCCCAGCGAGCGACCTTTCGCAACTATCTAGCAAGGTGGGACGACAGCGAGGAGGCCTTCCAGCGCGAACTCCTGAATTTATCGAGTACCGCGCGCTTCTCGACGACCACCCAGAGTGGCCATAATATTCAGATTACGGAGCCGGAACGAGTCGCGGATGAAATCCGCTGGGTCCTACGGAGGATTCCGTCCGGCGCCGTCTGAACATCGATATATAGTATATACTATATGTGTATGTATTCGACAGCCCGCACGGTCGCGTGGCAGATAGCCTGTCAATGGCTAGGTTATACTTAGATGTAGGGCCATAATAAATTCATCGATAGTATCATGTTTTCGTTGTTCAAATTCTTTATCGCGTGGCATGCCTGATACACGTCTAGGATCACTCTTGAAGTTGTCTTTGGAGTTGCCTCTGAAAAAAAAAAAAACAAGTATCTTGAGATAAAAGAAAGGGAAAAAAAAACATCGGGAGAGAAAAGAAAGCCAGCAAGCGAGAAAGAAAGAAAGCAATGGTCAAGTGGATCGGGTGCCCTTCTTCCACTTCGCATAAATTGTACTAAGTGGTTTCTCACCCACACTCATCCAGTGCTTTGGCAGCGCTCACCCATAAAGCAGCAACCTTCAAAAAGCTCATCTCCCAGTTGCCTCGTTCAAGAGGTGGCTCAAGTACGGCTGAGCGGACGGGAAGCCCTGTTTTCCACACCCTGTGGTCGTATGTGCTAGATACTGCCTAGAATTGGAATATGTAGGATGTTATAGTATTGAATAAGCGTGTTTGTCAACCCCGTATGCAGCCTTGTACGGGGCTATACATGAGGCCACTTTATATGAACATCGGCCCTACATGGGGTCTTATGGGAAATATAAGGCCTTTCAGAAGGTCTTTGAGACGACCCTTGAACGCCAAATAACATCGCATAAGATATCTAATAAAATTGCTGAAGAGCTTGCATAGACTAACAAGATTCTACCGTCTTCCTAACGCATATCACACAGTCCGTGAATAGGCCCATTGTAGCGTCGTTCTATCCTGGCCGGTATTGCTGTGCTCTGACTATCATTCCTTGCAATCTGCTGTAGCAGGCAAGGCGTAACTTCCCTTTCAACAAGGGACAGGACAACAAGGCGCAACTTCCCTTTCAATAGGTACTGCACGGCGGCTATTTCAACGGGCCTTCGATCCCCTCTCTGCGTCTCTTTGATAGCTAGCTTCAGATACAACATCAATTTGACACGTTACCTGAACTGTTTCCTAGTATCTTAAGACGCCGATCCCGAAGTCGGCCGCTACAGGGCCCTGGACGCGGCATCGGGATATTGACAATGGATCATCCTTGGTACAACTCTACAATAAAGCAGCCTACTGGTCTACCATTCCATGAGGTCATCTATGTCGACACTCTGATGGAAATGATGATGCTATATGGACATGAGTTCCAGCAGAGCTTTACCTACAAAAGCGCCCTTCTTTCTCCAATGCGCGCTCAACTGGGCCTTCTCAATTAACCACACTTCCCTGCAACCCCATGTCTGTCTTATCGCCAATCATTCCCCCCACGCGGGTGCCCCACGCAGCCTGGATTTTCATCATCCCTGAACTACTAGAATCCATACTCCTAAACCTGGACATGCACACCCTGCTGATCTCCACCCGAATTTGTCATCTCTGGAACAACCTCATCAGAACCTCTCCGAGGCTCCAAACAGCACTATTCCTCCTTCCCCAGTCGGCCGCGACAGCGCCAGACCAGCCAAGGACCAAGAACACGCTCCTCCTCGACATCATATGGCCGCAATTCATCGCCCGAAGGTTAACAACGCGTCCGCGCCCGGCATATATCGGTGCATGGTTTCCAGACATAAGCTCTACCGAAAAAGAAGAGGCATACCTCCGCCCGGAAGCCAGTTGGCGACGAATGTTCCTTCACCAGCCCCCAACCTCACGGGCAAGTTTCATCGAGGGCCCCGATATCAGGAAAGGCCCACTACACAGCTACATAAAATGTGGGTGCCATGAAGGTCCGATCCGCTTGCAGGATCTGGAATGCCTGATTGACTCCGGAGCCATTGTTCCGGAAAGTCCTTATCCGTTCGTGTTTGGGACCCGTGGACATGACTTCTGGTTGCAGGAACATGCATTTCCGGGCAATTCACGGAAGGGGATTGACAAGCAGTTGGGCATGTCTGAGTTTATCGTCTTATCCATCGAAGGGACTTTTGATGAGTGGGTTGAGAAAAATAATAACCCGCGACTACGACGAAGCAAGGTCCAACGTCTGTGGAGTAAGGCGACAAAACGAGAACAAAATAGGGTGGAGTGTGTTTCGCGACGATTCCGTTGGGAAAAGGAGTTCCGTTGGCATCGGGAACATGATATGTTGGACTTATTCGCGGAACGATTCGGACTGACGTACGTCTCTGAAGACGATTCATCGGATGATTCGTCTGATGAGGACTTAGATAACTCCGGGGATGAAAGTGTTCTCGTTTGAGCCTTGAGGCGACCAGAGCGGTGCTGAAAACTTGTCTCATCGCCGTCTTGTCTACTCCACCCAGACCTTGCGGCATTGACTGCACGATCATCGTTCTTGCCTTTCATATCTGCTCTCGCCATCGCATGCCTTTTCAGCCTGGCGGATATAGTATTATGTATCTGGCTTCATGCTTCCTGCTGATGCAGTCAGCTTGCTATGTTTGTTCATGCAATGGATAAACATGAAAAAGCACATCGGCCTTACAACGCTCAGATTGCCTTCCGTGCACTCAAGGGTTCAAGATAATGATCTTTGCGTAACATTCAGGGGCCATTTGAATCCCTCTCTACATTGATGCTTTTATGGTTGGATGATGCTCCTTTGCATGGTATTTTTTTCTTAGTGTGTTTATATGTGTGTGGTCCTATCTGGGAGTGTCAAGACATAGTTGTAGAGAGCATTGCAAAAGAGTCACTGCGGCAATGAACTAAGTGTCTTCGAAGGCTCCCCTCTGATTCTCCTCCTCTACGAGATGGCAACTTGCAGAGGTTGTCATCATGTCAACCTGGCCAAGAAAGGCTTGCAGGAAGGGCAGCGCTCGTGCTTGCAAGTAAGACGCCGGGATAGCCTGCGGCAGCACACCCGTTCGTTGTTCGACCACCCCAAGCACATATGACACTGCCACCATTTGCCTGCCATTCTAATGACTAGTGGCCACAGTAATGGCCCCAAGGTTGAGAAGTCCCAAGGAACCTTGTTCTTTTCCCATTCGACTTGTTGCTTTGCTTGCCGCCTTGCCTCTTGCTTTGCCTCTTTCTCTGCCTGTTCCTTGGCTTTCTGCTTCGCCAGCCTTTTGGCGCGCCTTCTTTGGTTGGTTCGACCCATGGTTGATTGGTTAATAGTATCTAGGTAAGGGTCGGAGTGGAGTGGGAGATGAAGTATTTGAGTGAGCGGGAGGTGGACTTGGAAGTAGATGTGGGTGTCGCAAGAGATGGGAGTGTTTAAGAGAGAGTGAGGAACTGTTGGGGAGAAAGAGAGAGAGCATATCGACAATGAGCCGTTTTATAGACATAGTGGCAACCAAGGAAGACCGCATTTATCGGAGAGACACCAAAAATCGGATAGTCTCACTGAAGAGAGCAAACGTGCTACTGTGCTATGGAATGAAGCGCACTTGGGAGGGTAGGTGTTGGTACTGCATCCCAAGGCTTTCGCCAATGGGGAATGGAGCTGAAATATCGAAATTCCAACCAAGGAACAAGTGAAACAGGCTGGGCCGAGAAAAGAGGAACAGATGCCAGTGGACAAATACATTTACAAACCTCTCTTTGACCGCCAGTCCTGATGTCTCGGACTCTAGCAGCTGTTACACTAAAGTTATTCCCAGAGCCGACATCTAGACATTCAGATGACGCTTGACTCTTAGGCGAAGGGTCCAGACTATGGCTGGATCTGAGCGGGAGCAGAATGGCGAGGATTCACCTGACTCTTGGGGTGATGGGAAAGTCAAGGCTCCCAGGAGCCGCTACAATGGTCAGCAAAAGTTGGGAGATAGGGGTATCTTCGTACAGAGTTTGCTCTGCGATGCTCTTTCATCACTGCTGCAAACGTGAACAGCGTATCCTGAGCCCAATAGACTACCGTTAGGTATTCACGGTCGCTAGCCGAGATCCGTTCTTCAACCCGATAGTAGTAGTATGGTAATGATGCGGGCCCAGGCTCATCGTCGTCCGGTGGCTGGGTTGGAGTAATCCCGGCGGCGCTGGGGCTCCCCCAAAGACAATCGCGCGCGTTGTAGGAGGCACCGTTCGTCCGCGCTTCGCTGTTGGAGCCAGCCGTGTCGCTCGTCATCTTTTTGGGCGCTTGGAAGGAGGCAACTCGATCAGAGCTAGGGCTCTATTAGCTTGTCTCGTTGCGAGGGTTCGATGGAATGAACGCAAGGCTCTCTCACCGTCTGGCTCCCCGCGGTCCCGTCGTTTAATATGGGGCGTTTTCCCGGGGAGAATGCATAAAACGTCCGTTTTTATTATTTTGCTCACGCTTAGAATAGGATCGATGCGGACGGCATGTCGAGGCTAGGAGCTCGTCAATTCCCGTGGATGGGGTTCGTCGTAAGATGTCGTGATGTCACTAATGTGTATGTATACGAGTAGATGGAAAAAGGGAGTGCATCAGGCCCAGACCTGAGCGGGGAAGACCATGAAGCTCTATAAAGGACACTCTCCAGACTCATACACTCCGGCCTTTGTCGAAGTGCCCCCGGGATCGATGAAAATAGTTCCAAGTGGTTCGCTGGGTACGGTAGGTACTGTACAAAGCACCGTTGACCGGGATGAACCGAACTAGCAGTGCACAGAAGAATCGGAAAACAAAGGCAAAAGCATTATAGAAGCAGAATATACTGTATACTGTACAGTACATATGCGAGGATCGACAATCCATTTTTCTGCTTGTCTGTCCGCCGATAGCCGGAGTGGAAAGAAGTTTGGTTCTGTCAGCCGTGTATTCGCCTTTAAGGATGTACTGGTGTGGTGTGGCCATGTATGTACAGTATGGTCCGATTCTGACAGGGGCAGCAGTACGGTATTATTAACTTATGGTTCAGACGTGGTGCGAGACACAGAGGCCCACGAAAGACCCAAAACAAGGAAATGATCACGTGATGGTCAGCACCGGTTGGCATCGCCCCCTCGTCCCTGCTTTTCGGTCACTTCATCCTGTGAGGATAGAAAGATGAAATTCAGCCGCCAATGTGCCACAGGACCAGTCTACTAGGCTGGGTGACGCCCCTGTCTAGCTTGCTTAGTTGGGAAAAGAATCAAATCGCTGGCACGGGTTGCCTTCACCCGGCCAATTAGTGCTGTAGAGTGGCCTGTGGCGTGCTTAGCGCTTTTATAGTGCTTATGTCGAGATAATAAATCACTAAGTGTCACAAGAAGCAAGGATTAAACAAGGTGACAGGAAATTTGGAATTGGGATCTCGCATACTTTAAAGATAGCAAGTCCTGTTTGCCTCCCCGGGCTACGCTTTACCTCTTAATTTGTCGCCTTGTCAACCCGAACCCCCCAGGCGTGCCCTAAGCCTGGACTCTCACGATCCCATCCCATCATGAACTATTGTCCCCAAAGACCACCAAACCGCAGCCCCAGCGCGCTCAAACTCACCGTCACGCCTCATTTCACCGCCGACGCAGCCGACCGACTATCCGTCCACCTCACCCTCCAAAACCCTCAGTGCGCGGCCCACCACCCGCTCTTCCTCTTCGAGACCTCCTACGGCAACGTCCCGGCCCACCCATACACCGAGCGCGACATCACCGCATCCGACGCAGCGGGCCAGCTATTTCTGTTCTTCCACGACCCGACCGACCCGACCAATACAGACCAGGAATGGCGCGTCGACCGCGACACAGTCGGCGACGTCCAGCTGCGATTCCGCGTGACCCCGCGGGCCGTAGACCTCACGACGCCGATCGGCCCGCGGGTCGACCTGCGCCGCGACCAGGGGGGGTTGATCGGCAACGGGCGCTGGTTCCTGCCCCGCCCGGCGGACGAGCGCGTCTACCGGCATGTTGTGGCGTGGGACCTCTCGCACGCGCCCCCGCGGACCCGCGCCGTGTGGTCATTCGGGGAGGGACCCGACCCGGTGGTGAGGGCTGGACCGCCGACGGTGCTCATCGATTCGGTGTATATGGTTGGACCGATCAAAAGTTATCCATGTAACGGGAACATCGTTGCTGCGGCTCCGCGCGCGCAAGTGTTCTGGTTCGGCCAGCTGCCGGAGAATCTGCAGCGGCTGCATTCGTACAGCATCCTGCTGTATCCCAAACTGGCGGCGTTCTTCCGGAACCCCGATGCGGTTTCGTATCACATCTTCATCCGACGAGTGCTTCGCGGGTTTGGCGGCCATGGCTGTCAGGAGAGTTATGTGCTGGAGTACGATGCGTCCAGCGAGGAGGAGACGGAGGAGGATCTGGTGGCGCTGTTCTCGCACGAGATGGTTCACAGCTTTGTCATGATGGGGCCGGAGGCGGATGGGTACGGGAATGGGTGGTTTATTGAAGGTAAGGGGCTCAAGGTGGATCATCAGATTAGGATCCTGTGCAGAATGCGTGCAGCACCGTACTCACGTGTGGGGTGATAGGGCTCGCACAGTTCTACTCCGCCTACCTGCCCTATCGATTCGGTCTCCGCGGGGCGGAGTATCTGCGCCACCGCATCAATGCATACCTAGGCGCCTACGGAACCAGCCCGCGCATCGGCATGGATGCGCGCGACTCGCAGACGGAATTCTACGACGACTGGTATGCAGAGCTGATCCCGTATATGCGGGGCTGCGCCTACCTGCTGCAGGTGGACAGCCGTCTGCGGAAGATGACGGGACGGTTCGGGCTGGACGCGGACAGCCCGCTGGATGAGGTTGTGATTGACATGGCTAGACGTTGGCGTAGCGGAGAGCGACTTCAGGCGAGCGACTGGCTGGACTATTTGCGACCATTTCTGGGTGCGGGGGTCGCACACGAGTTGCAGGATATGCTGCGCGGTAGGGTTCTCAACTTGGGCGGCACCATTGTGATCCACGAGGAATGGGGGCTCAGCCCTAGCGAGCAAGAGATATTGGAGTTTGGATTCAGTTTAGCGAGTGTCAATCAGCGTGTGATCTGCGGGGTTGTGCCGGGATCGAGGGCTGCCAACGCTGGCCTGGAGGACGGGTTGCCGCTGGTATCGACGTCTCGGGCGGGTCGTTGTTCCACGTCTCTGTCGGCCACGATGGATGTGGTGGTTGTGCAAGGCGGCGACAGGGTGCAGATCTTATACTGGCCACGGTCGTTCGACAAGGCGAGGGTCTGGCAATTGGAGTAATCGTGAGCTGACCTTGGGCCTAGGTAGTCGAGAATTATCGGTCATTATTCGCTTCTTCAATCCTGAGCTGGGCTCCGTAATTGCCATGGAGTGCAATGCTGAAGGGTTATGGATGGTAGAACATTACTGGATCTAGATGATTTTACATCAGGTATACATGACATTTATCCTGTGCAAGGGCAGGTCGGCAAGCTCGACTCGCGGGGTGGGTGGACGGTAGTGACGAGGTATAAACCAACCCCCCTGCAGTTCAAAGCTACAAGGGTCCTGTCTTCACTAATGAAGTACTTAGCAAATATCCGCTTCGCTGGGCATGGACTTTTCTTGTAACGAAACCTGATAAAACCAGTATCCGTCATGGGGTCCTTACTCAGCTTCAGCTAACCAATCTCGAACATTTCTCCCTACTCGCGTATGCTGGATGGCATCATTCTAGCAGCAGCAAGCATCACTAGGGTCAGAGCAATCCGCGGAGTGGAACGACTCGCTCTCATCATCCTCGTCTTCATCCTGCAGCCATTTGTCTCGGAATATGCTTTCAGGCGGTAAGCCTTCACAGTTGCGCATCACCCAGCCGAAGACCTCGCAAGATGCCGCGATGGACGCATCCTGGTCTATGAGCGGCCGAACAGGGATTTTGATCTTGTTACCGGGTTCCAGCGGCTCGGGATCTTGTACGGGCAAACATCGCGCGTCCACACCTCCGTCATCTGAACCACGGTCGGGTTCGAGACCGGCATCATCCGTCCATAGGCCATCCTGTCGAAGCCAGGACCAACAGCGGTACACGAGCCGGTGGCGGGGGCAGTGACGATGAACTCGGACCCTGATGGCCGAGGTCTCGAAGGTGGTCGTCCCCACAGGCTCCCAGGGGCTGAAGGGGGGACTCTCGTAGTGCAGGTCATCCTCAACCGCGGGGGGGAGGTAGAGCAGGCGCCAGGCATCGGGGCGCGTGATTTGGCCTTCTGAGCCGGAAGGCTCTGCGTATGGGCCCGTGCCGGACAGGTCCAAAAATGACTGTGGACAGCCAGTCCACGCCGAACCGCTGGGATCGAGAGGGGGTGTGCCACTGCGAACAAGTTCCAGTACAAACGAGGCTAATCCACCGAAGACCGTTCCCAGCCAGAGCGCACATAGTCGCAAGGACCTCGATATACCCCGGCGAGGATGTGAAATCAAGCGCCGCGGGCAGCTCATGCAGGACAGGATGTAGCCAAGGGCTGACCTTGTTGCAGGGTACACTGGGCTCCCAGAAGACCCCACATATGCTGGAGATCACCACATGGAAGTCGCAGCTCAAGGCCATGTAATATGAGATGTCTTTGTATAACTCGTCCGCGTTCGGTGTCTGAGCGTCTGGTACTCTTATGTGACTTTGTGCGTGGATGTCGGGCAATGTAGCCGCCATGCCATAGCAGTTGTGCGTGGGCAAGGTTACGCGAAAAGCTGGCCGGAGACGCCATGGTGTCGGCAAAAGTCGACGGGATACCCTAAAGCCTGCCTGGCAGATGGCGGAACAACTGAGGACCCCGTTCCTAGGGGCTTCCCGACCTTGATCTTCGGGAACGCGAGGCGGATCACCATCCACAGTCGTCGACCATGGAGATAGAAACCGACTACAGCCACTGTGCATGATAGTGGAACGCCATACAGGGCTCGGGGAGAGGATTGCAGCCCACGATCTCGCAGCGTTCTCATCAACGTTGCCAACATCTATCGCATTGCAAGTATCGTCCAAGGAGGTTACCTCGGCTCCAGAGTCGGTGTACGCCAGCGTAGACCCTCCCTGCATCCTCTCGACCAGTTCGGCGGAGAAGATGTACAGCCAAGCGAGGACAAGCACGGTAATCATGTTGCACTGGACGCCTGGTTTGTCGATGTCACGCTCAGCCACAGAGAAGTCATCATTCCCAAAACGGAGAGGCGTGGGGCGTTGTACGCCGATTGGGACGGCAGCGGCCCGCGTCTTTTGCTTTCCACCCACTCCACAGTCACCGCCGTCTGCTACTTTCCAGGTGGTTTGTGCTCGCAGATACAATCTTCCATTGGACGAGAACGTTGCCAGCGCTGCCTGCCGATCGTGGACATGGTTGTGAGGAATCGACGGCACACGTTTTAACAACTCTCTAACCCGGAGAGCTCGTGGGGCTATATCACCCTCTAGGTTTTCGACGGCCGTTTCAGCTAAAGTATGCCAGTACAGCCGGGCCTCGTGTAGAGACTCATCCAGGGCGCCGGGAGTTGTCTCTAGACACTGTCTGCTTTGCGCTGGTGGCGGTATTAGTGCTATGGCACTAGGGCCCGGGATGCAATGGATTACTAGGTACCTTGTAGATATCACTTGATTGCCGTGTTTCGTGTCCTTCTCGCATGGCGAATTCGCTCTAGAAGTCGCTCCTTCACGCATGCTTGTATGATATCAAGGATTCCAAAAAAAGGAAGCGTTTTGGGGGAACCTGGGAGGCGTTGGGAATACGAAGAAGAGTAGTATGACGTGTCATGCAAGGGAAGGGCACCAAGAGAGCTGTAGCTGAGGTGGATGAGATGCCTGGCCCGAGCAGATCCAGGGGATGTAGGGACTGTACCGTACTGTAGCGTGTGGTACATCAAATACCTTGGCTGTGTGGTATTCGTCCCCAACACGCAGTGTAACAGCGTCGCAGGCCGACGGAAAGGACAACGCTTAGTATAGAAGGTACCACATTGTGGTGTCCAAGTAGGACCAGACCTCTCGGCTCAGCACCTATGTAGGTGTCTGATTGGCGATGACAAGTGTCTCCTTCCTTCGTCAGTGGCCGAGTTAGACGGATGCATACCAGGTACTTATTTGGGAGGAGCTTTACACATGTATCCATGCTTTCTCTGATATTTTCGACAGTGATATTCTATATATTCCGAGTACAGTTCATACTAGCATTGGCAACCCTATATGGTGAAGGTAATTATTGCCCTCGGAATTTGACCTCGACAGGTCCAGTATCAAACTGGATGATCATAGGCACTTTAAAACCCCCACTGCTCACACCAATGCCTCATCAGCTCCGGGGTGACAGGCTGCACGCCGCGCATCGTAGGACTCAACGCCTCCGTGCGGGCCGTCTCGAAGCCGTTCGCCCGGGCGGAGGTCTCCCGCGCCGCCTCGCGGTAGGTACTCAGCAGCTTGACGCCGGGATTGGCCTCCGCCTCGTCAGCCGCCATCGACCCCAGACTCGTCTCCAACGCATCCACCCACTCCTCGAACGGAACCACCTTCTGGATGCGGTCACCGTAGAACTGGCACAGCCCCGGCACCAGCCCGGCCCAATCGACCGCGTGCGGATTGATAGCGTGGAAGTAACGCGCGCCCTGCTCTTCCCCAGTTTCCCTAGCTCCATCCACATCAGCAACAGACTGAGACCCCTCCTTCTCCTCCTCCCCCACCCCCGAAACCTCCAAAATCACCGCCGCTACATCCTCCACACACATCCACCCGCCCGCCGCAACCAGCCCACCCAGTGTCTCCGGCAAGAGCCCCAGGTACAACGAACTCCGAATTAAGCTGGGCACCCACTCGCGCACATTCCACATCCCTTTTTCCCCGCGGGGCCCACCGACCTGTCCGACGCGGATGATCTTGCACGGCACGCCGGAGATCTGACGCGCTGTCTCCAGAATCCGACTGGCGACGAGCTTGGATTGGCCGTAGCCTCCGACTGCGTAGTCCCATTCCTCGAAGCCCTGTTCCGGGATAGCTGTAGGGGAGGGCCAGTTGGCGAGGGTGCTCACGCTGGAGACGAAGCTGATTGGGATGTGGTTTGGAGATGCAAGGCTGAAGTCGATCAGGTGGCGCACGCCGCGGATGCTGGGTTCGAAGGAGGAGAGCGCGAGGTTGAAGTTGACAGGCCAGGCGTTGTGGATGATCTGGTCGACATTTTGGGTGAGGCCGGTGTAGAGGGCGGAGGGGAGGGCGAGGGTTGGGTGCGTGAGGTCGGCGGTGTGGAATTCCACGCGCGAGAAGTCAGTGGGGAGGGAGAGAGTGCTGTGGGTGGTGTGTTGGCGGGTCGCGGCGTTGGGGTCGCGGTTGAGGCAGATGATCTTGCGGATGCTGGGGTTGTGGAGGGCGGTGGAGAGGAGGTAGGGACCTAGGGTTCCGGTTGTGCCGGTTATGAGGAGGGTCTGTGGGGGGGTGGAGGAGAGGGGTTTGCTGGGGTGGAGAGCGGGGAGGGTCGCGGTGTATTTTTCTAGGAGGGTGGTGTAGAGAGTTTCGTCTGTGGGGGAGGGCTGGAGAGTGGATGAGGGCGTGGTGGTGGTAAGGGAGTAGGCGTAGGTGGCGAGCTGGGTGATCGTCGGGTGGGTGTAGATGGTTTGAGCGTCGATGATGGCGCCGTCGGGGAGATTGCTCGCCTTCTCCAGGCTTGCGCGGAGTGACCGGGCCAGTTGGATGGCTTGCAGGGAGTCTGCGCCAGCGGAGAAGAAGTCCTGGTCGGCGCAGAGAGTGGGCAACTTGAGCACGCTATGCACCAGCTTGCGCAGCGAGTCCTCGAACTTCTCGCTGGACCTCAGGTCGAGATCCATCGCCACCACAGATGCGTCGCTGCTCGCCGCGAAGATGCGCTCGATGTCTTCGGCGTATACCTTCACGACCATCGCACGCTGGATGGTGCCCTTGCCGGCCCGCGGGAACGGCCGTTCCGCATCCGAGAGGAAGATGTAGTCCCGCGAGATGCGGCCATGGGCGACCGTCTCGATATTGACTTTCTCCACAATGGGCCACACGTCATCAAGGAGTTGCTGTTTTTCCTGTTCGCTCGTCGGATGCTGCGCCGGCTCGATGATTAGCGCAGCGTGGAAGTAGGTGCTGCCGACGACCTGCGCGCCCCGCACGCCTGGGTGGCCCATTACGGCGCCTTCGATGGTCGTGGGGTTGAGTTTCTCGCCGTTAGAGAAGATGATGATGTCGTCCGCTCGGCCGACGTAGGTCCAGTGGTTTGGTAGGGTGGGATGAGGGCGATACAGGTCTTTCGTACTGAACTCCTGCAGCTCCGGGAAAGCGTAGAAGCAGCCCTGCAGACCGGGGTGGTTTTTGTCCTGGCGCACGATCACTTGCTCGTATGTGTCCTCACCGAATGGGCGCCATTCGATGCCCATCAGCTTGGTGGGGACGATGAACCAGGGCCACAGGGTGGCGTCGGGTTGGTTGTAGTAAGGCATGTAGATATACCTGAGAAATTCCAATGAGCCATAGTCTGCAGCGCCATCAGGATTTCACTTACTCGGTTGAGCCAATAGCGTTGACCAATTTTACACCATGACTTAACAGATGGTTCGCCGGATCTGGAGCGACGGGACCTGAATGCCGAGCATCCGGTTAGCAACTGTCTTTAAAGGCGGAAGGCTGCACTCACCCCCTGCAAATCCCACCGCATGGAGTTTCTTCAGCTCCTCGATCGCGATCTCCGACCGCGACATCTGCTCCAGGACTGCCGGCGGCATCAGCGTAAACCCCGCATCTGTGTTCTGCAGCCAATCCACCACATTATCGCCGGTGATGGGCACGGACGGATCTCGAAACGCAATCGGCGCATCGTAGTAGAATGCCATTAGAATCGTCGGCGCAATGCCGGCAGTGTGGAACAAAGGAAAGATATTAAGGTAACGCTTATTGGGAAACTTGGCCCAGGTCGCCAGCCAAGGCAAATTGCCCTCGTACTCCGGCACATAACGGTGGAGGTCGTTCAGGGCGAGCGTGCCTTGATGGATGACGACAGGCTTCGGCAGCCCGGTGCTGCCGCTCGTGTGCAGCACCACGAAAGGATCCCATTCGGCCTCCTCAAAGGTCTTGGTGTAGGGGAACGGCGCGACTTCCGTGCTCACCCATTCGTCCCACGGCGCGACGGCCACACGGTTCATTCCGGGCCGTCTCTCGACCCACGGTTGCACCATCGAGGCGTATTGTGCTTCGTGGAAGAGGAGATCGCAATCGGTTTTCTCGAAGAGATTCAACTGTGCTTCGACCGAGTTACGCGGCGAGATGAAGAGCGCCTGGTAGCCGGCTTTGACGGCGCCGGTTGCGAAGATCGGATACCGCGGGTCCTCCAGACCGATGTAGGCGACGGTGGGAAACGTCCCAGGGGTCGGTGTGCCACCCTCCTTGATAAGCATGTGCGCTACGTAGTTGACGGCGTTGGCGACCTGTGCCCAGCTGACGCGCTTCCATCCCGCCTGGGGATTGCCGTTGCTGCGGGGAACGGACAGACACTCTGCATCAGGAGTTACGCTGGCCGTCGCGTCGATAACGTGCGGGATGAGACGTTTGCCGCACTCGCCTCCTAGGAGTGGCGTGGCGGCGGAGTCCGTGTAGGTGCCAAAGACGTTCATTGTGAATGAAACCCTCGTGTATGCTGGGTTTCTCGATTATTTTTCGTTTCATCGGGGAGGGAGGGCCGAATGTAAATAGTCGTATAGTCCCGGCGACTCCGTGTTTGGTGGGGCAGAAGCGTTGCAAGCGTTATCGATGATAAGCTGCCACCTCAGGTGGCTTAGGGTTCAGCTGCGCCATCACAGTTCGGCTGCTGCTGGCGGTTGCCGAGATTTGCCTGTTGGAGGAAGGCGGGCTTTGTTGCTCCAATCGACTATTGATGTGGCGTTGCGCCGTTTTGAGAAGCTGAGCAATAGCGCGGGATTAGGTTACGAGTTCACACCAGTTCACAGGATTGCGGGAAAGATTAGCCGAGACACAAATCATCGGGCTGTTCAGATTTATCTTTGTTCTTGCCAAGCAACTCCGTAAAGCGTGACAAAACCACATTTCTGCTGCCTGTCGAGAAAATTGGGTATGTACAGTACATAGTATCCCGCGCCTGGGATTCCTCTTCCAACACTGTCGGGGGAGGGTCTTGACAAAAGGTACTTTTTTAACGCTCGGTCCTTTAACGCTAGGTCAGGAAAACACGACCTCCGCGTAGTCAAGAAATGTTCAATACCGCAGCCATACGGTTCGTCACGCTGACCCAATCCAGTGGGATGGAACAATGGGGGATCTGGAAGGTCGAGAACAAAATACCGAGGCCCGGGCCGCCGTTGAGATTTTCGTCGACTCCCCAGATGTCAGGAAGTGGGCCCCGGCGACAAATTCCGCAAGTCAAATCAGGCGTAAAGATAGTCACAGGGTGCTAGACCCCTCAATCCTTTTCAATCTCGCTACTGATCCCCAGTGGTCGTGCATCCGATCGAGTGCGGACAACATGTGCGCGGACCTCTCTCGATCCTCTTCATTAGCGCAGGAACTCACAGATCGCATTTGCTCTAAGATCCGGTCGGTTTCGGTTTCGATCCGCTCTTCCACCCCTTCTTCCAAACAGCTTTTCAACTCGCTCTCCGTCATTGACTGTCCGGGCTGGTGCGAAGTCAGTCGGAGCGACGCCACCAGGTCGGCCCGAACTCGGACCCTCAGTTGGGCGCGAATTAGATGTTCCAGCCGGGCGGCCATCAGCGGCGCGCTGAATGGGCCTTCCTGGTGGGGCCAGGCATAATGAGCCTGAAGAGCCTCCCACCGGACGGAGAGGTCCTGGCAGCCGTCGCCCACAAAGAATATCGTCGGCAGCACGCCCATATCGACCAGCAGAGTAGGCCGCTGTGGAAAGCGGGCGAGAAAACGTTGAATCCGATTGAGCAGATCGCGATACTGCGGTGTGAACCGCTGCAAAGCCGTCGGGTTCTCGTGGAGGGGGCCCGTCTGCAAGCCGAGACCGACGGCCATCAGCCAGATTTCGAGCACCTCAGCCCCACGCTCATCCTTCGGGCTGAGCTTACTGGCGTCTTGCTCCGCGCGGAAGATGCGCCAAAAATGCCTGGCGCGGTGGTATTGCGTGGTCAGGCTTGCTTGCTCCGCCAAGACTGGCGCGGCGGCAGCAGATTGGAGCTCTGCTGGCGACATCCGCCAGCACTGCCGGAGGAATTTGAAAAAGCGGTTGTAGAGGGGCTCCAGCATGTGGCGGGCGGAAGCAACGGTGTATGGACCTTGGGGATGCGAGGCCCATGACAGCCATGTAGGGTCTACAGCCGGTTGGACTGCCGCTTTTGCTGCTCGAGTTGCGTCCTCTGCGCTCCTGCTGCCGTGACCGCCGTTACTGCCTTCACCAATCAGCAAGCGATCACTGCCAATCTGGGTATCGAGATGTCGGAAGGCATGCAGCCAAAAGCGAAGAAACGGCTGACCGTCACTGCTGGTTGAGTGCCTAGCTTCATCCAGAATCCGCAGGCCAGCACGAATATGCTGCACGGCGGTCCCAAACTCCTGCCTTACCACGTCCATGATGGTGAACAACAGACAGCAGAGCAATGTTGCCTCCCGCATCTGTGGGTCGTGTGGATTCCGTCGACGCAGGCAGGCAAAGGACCTCGTCGACTGTGCGACCGCCATACACTCCCAGACCGTGGACCCGCCCATAAACCCAGGCTCGATGTGTTGGTGCACGGCGCCTAAGGCGACGACAGCATGCCAGACCGCGGGTTCGCGGCGCACCATCTGCAGGACAAATTGCTCCCATATCAGCGAGTCGAAGTAGCTGAGCACATCAGGAATCGTGCGGGCTTGCACAAAGCCAAAGCAGCGGCGCTCATCGGAGGTACTAGCCCACGGGACGGTGACTGCGACCGGAGGTGACAGTGCCAAGCGCTCCGAATAGCGCGTTTGTTTGTTGGGGAGAGGCAGCCGATGGGTATCATAGCCGTCGCATTGCCGTCCAGTCGAGGTGCAATTTTGGCACTTGCCTGGGGTCTCGTCACACTTGACATGTCGGGCTCTGTCATTAAGTGTCAGCCTAGTCGTTGTTTGGTCGACTATCGAGCGCGGGTGAAGTGCGTACCGGCACGTGCGGCAACCCGTTTTCGACCGCTTGAGTCGTGCGCGACGGTTTCTTCTCCGGTTCATTACAAAGTCTTAGAGAGAATATGGATAGAGGAGGCTGGGGAAGAGACATTGCGTAAGATTTTGAAGAGCGGAGGAAAGAAGCCATTGCTAAATCAGGCAAAGCAGCAGTCACTGGAAGGGACTAGACAGGGATCTTTGATGATCTGCAGCCTTTGGTTGCCGAGGCATAACTCTGTGCAGTAGCAAAGCTCACCAACTCCGATCTGGAGGTTTTGACGGAGGCCCTAGAAATTGAAGGAAATATGAGTGGTGACTGGCGGTCTAGGTATACGAGAAGGTTGAATGGGGATGGAGAATGACTGCGTGTTTGTGTAGTTTTCCAGTGGGTGTTATCAGTCGCTCACGTGACGCGCCGACGGACTCTGATCTAACTCGGGAATCCCGAACTTGCTTTTCTGTTCCTTTGGTTTGTTTTCGTTCGCCTAACTGCCAAGGCAAAAATAGCTAAGCCTATGACTAGGGAGCTCTCAATTCTCCTGCTTTGCCCTCCCCGTTGAGCTCCGTCTTTGGGCTTCCCAACTCGCCTTGTCGCTGAGACGCTGTAGACAATACATTTGGCTGTCTGGTCCGAGCAAGGCGCTATAGTGGAGATAGGGGCTCTCTTGGTAAGGTCAACCAAAATAGAGACATCGCCTCTAATAGAGATTGATATACACCAATGCTTCTTCCTTATGATATTTTCTACCACTCCAAATTACTTTCTCTAGATGGGTGCTAATAATTCATGATGATCATTTAATCGTGATCCTGCTATGTGGTTCACAATGTCTCTTTTTATCAAGGCTGCTGGTAGGGTATGTTTAAGTTTTGCATCGGTTGAGCATTATGTGGTTATAGATGTGCCAGGTCAATTATCGTTGGAAGCGGGAGCGTCTCTGAAACTTGGGTTAAGTTAGTAGTGGAGATCCAGTTGCCCGGTTGAACGGTTGCCGCATCATTAATGTTTCCTGATGTTCAGCGAGTACCTAGTAGTTTGAAGTGTTTGAACCGTTGTTGTGGTTGGTGTTATCAATCGCCGGAAATCTACCTCTTTACTATTCGCCTGTCCCATAGTATAAAGTACATAAAACTTTATCTGACCACTGGAATGCTTCAACTAGTCCACATGTACGTACTCGCACGACAAATTATGGCACGGGTCGAGCGATCAGCATGCGCTGGGTTTGCAGAAGGCAACTTACTCCGATACCGTTCTTAGATGACGCAGCTCAAATACTTCAGTGCGGGGTCTAAGTGGACGGGAATATTCTTTACGCGCGTGGGCCCACTGATCGTAGGCCTCATGACTTAATGCAGGAAAGCTTCCGCAAACCAGGCGCGGCAGAGAGGGCGGATGCTGCAACAGACCCTACCTTATCCAGCTTAGAGTACAGCCATTACCCAGTGCATGCCGGAGGGTACCTCGGACTTAATCTTCGCAGGGATGAGTATAAATATGGACAAGGCTATTCCTGCAGGTACAATGGACTGGGAAGCATATCCTGGTCTGCGATGATCATTCCTGCTTGCTTCTTGCCTTTCAGTGCCTCAACGATCGATGCCGTCGTTCAAACAGTCCGCCCTCGCGGCCCTGGCCGGTTTTGGCCTCTCTGCCAGCGCCAGCGCCAGCGCTTCCAGTCAATGGCCCACCCAGTTCACGCATACTTCGCTGGGTAATTTCAGCCTGCCCATTCCCTCGTTGGTGACTTTCGGCACGGGGGTCATCGGTGGTCTCTTTCGTCCCCTTGCCAGTGCTGATCCAGCCAAGGCTCGGATCGGCATCCTGGTCATGCACGCCGAGCAGGATTACACCACCTTCTACCCCTGCAGTGAGCTGCCCGTTCGTGGATACACCACCCTCTGCTTGAACAATGCCCAGAGCAAAACGGGTCTCATGAATGACCTCGACTTTGAGACGATGATGACGGATGTCGGAACAGGTGTGCAATTCCTGCGCAACCTTACCGACATTGACCAAGTGATCATCTGGGGTCACTCCGGTGGCGGTGCGATGATGGCCGCATATCAGAACGTGGCCGAGAACGGAGCCTCTGCCTGCAACGGAACCGAAAAGCTGTACCCCTGCTCCAGCGCGATGGATGGGCTGCCCGCTGCCGACGGAGTGCTGCTTATCGATGCCAACTTTGGCCTCTCCACCATGACTCTGCTGTCTCTCAACCCTGCCATCACCAATGAGACTACCGGAGCCGATATCAACTCTAAGCTGAACTTGTACAGCGCGGCCAACGGCTGGACGGAGAACGGTGCCAACTACACCACCACCTTCGTTCGGGAGTTCTTGGCTAACGTTGCCGCGCGGTGGAACCGCATCCTGACCTCTGCGACTGAGCGCAATGAGCTCATTGCGGCCGGTAACGGAGACTACAGCGATGACGAAGGATTGGTCATTCCCGACGCCAACTACCTCGGCTTCAACAACAAGCTCATCACCCAAGACGTACGCTATCTGGCTCACACCATCTATAAGTGGCCCCTCCTACACAAGGACGGCAGCAACACCACTCAGGTTGTTCCGTCCGTTCGTGTCGCGTCGGCCGGCATTCCCAGCATGGTCGACTCCTTCTACGACGGAGCGCTCAAGACCACCATTACCCGGTTCCTGTCCACCTTTGCCATTCGTGTCGATGCCGATAACTTCCGTGTTACTGCGGATAACATCACTGGTGTCGACTGGACCTCGTCACAGACTGCTCCCATTGGTAGCGTTCCTGGCATCTCCAAGCCCCTGCTGACCATGGGTAACACGGGTCACTACGAGTACCTCAACGCGGAGAAGATCTACTTGGCTGCTACCACCGCGGACAAGTCGATTGCCTTTACCGAGGGAGCCCAGCACACCATTGACACCTGTACCGCCTGCGAGAGCTACCCGGGGCAGTACGGCGACACTGTCAAGACTGCTTTCAACTTCATGGACAAGTGGCTGAGCCAGCCGGGCCGTTTCATCTCTGCCTGAGGAATGTCATCATGTTGACCGGGTAATCATGGATCGATTCGTTAGCTGGATCCTATACGCTGATACTAATGTTCTAAAATGCATGTGAGTGATATGAGAGTAATACGAGTCGCAATTTCTATAGACCTTTGGCATCTCGCCTGGAAAGGACAGATCTTCAGAGAATATAAAATGTTAGTGTTCCATGATAGAGTCTTCAATTAAACTCCCAGCTTGAACCATGCTGTCCCTCCCAGATAGGTCCCGTTAGTTCTATCCTGTCTTGAAATTAAACCGAATCAACCAAGAGCAAACTCACATTGCGAACAGAAGGAATAGCGGGAAAGCCCGATTGCTGTGTTCTAGACAGGCCCGTTATCATTGGTCATGCCGGGAAGAGGCTTTTTGATGAAATTGTGTTCAGTCACTTTGCGCTCTGAAATGTCAGGTCTAGGTGAAGTAGGCCATATATGGTATAGTGGTAGCACGTCGTTGGCTGCGCTTCGGGTAACAGTAAGGCTTGCCCGGGGGCCCTTACTGAATCCCAAAGGTTCCTTATCCAGTTGCGACTACCTATCTTTAAATGTAGACTTAGGATGGATTACGTCTACTAAGAAAGGCGGGAGGAAAAAGCAGTCCTATTTAAAGTCTATAATATATCCTGTATAGCTACTTTAGTTTTAGATAGTTTTGGGTTTACTTCTGTCTTGGCTTCCAAAATAAAGGTAACTATTTTATGTATCTAGATAGAGTAATAATTTGATTTGGTTTAAGTCATAGTTAAGAACAGCCAGGGTGATAAAACAACAGATTAATTCTATGTGAAAAAGGAAGGTTTATAGCTAGTATACTTCGATATACGGGCTTTTTATCTTAATAGAATCTGTCAATCAGTCAATCAATTAATCAAGCAATCAATGTAACCCCACCCACAAACGGCAAAAAAGCTAATGAGCAAGAGAGATTACACAGCCCTCGCTGTCAGCTACATCTCCCCTGGAAAGAGTCCATTGATATCCATTACGAGCCCCCGGATGCCATTTTTTAATCTTTCCAACATAATGACCAATCGAGAAGAACGGCAGAGCACGATGTACCGCACTAGGATCACGAAGATTCATCATCCGTGCAAACCTATGACGCAGGAGAGATTGAAACCATCGCCGATCGACAGAGTATGCCGACGCATTACGCTGACATGGAATCCGATCCCCAACAATACACATCGCTACACCCTCTGCCGCTGCATCTTACGCAGATCTAGCCCCTCAAAGTTCGTCCCGGAGCTGACGATCCTCATCTCTGGCATATGCCCCCGGCACAACAATCATGGGAGAATGCACAAGGGCTACGGAGATCAGAATTACCATCAAGACCCGTACTTCGACCAGTTCGGTGGCTACAACGCCTTCCGTCTGAGGGTGTTTGTGGATTTCCCCGGCATTTATCTAAATGTCCTGGGCCGGCATGCGTTCATAGCGGAAGATGAGATGGATACCCTCGTCGCCGACTTCGAAAGAGTTGATTTCCAGCCTGGAAGCCCGGCTGTTGCCGCTAGAGTGGAATATCTTTATGAAGTATATAACGAACACCACGAACATGGTGTCGAGCTACCGGAGCATGTCGTGGAGCTTCTACGTGATCGAACCCCTGCCAACGAGACAAGCAAGTATCCTGGCATTCCGGTTGAAAGAGACCACTTCACGGAATGGGCTGCAAGCCCCAGGATGCGGGAGGTGGAAGTGATTCTGCGTGGTAAATGGGCAGGATTGCCGCATTGGGCGGTTAAGCCATAGATGGATGTCCAGTGAAAAACGTGTCCATAGACAATGACTTTTTTGTGTCCGGATCAGCCCTGGACCTGGCAAGCTCACCACCGGTTGAACGCAACAAGATTGAATAATAGCGCTGACTAGGTTATCTTATCCAATATCAGAATTCGAGGTGAATATTCCAGAGTGCATTTGTTGAAGAATCCAGGTTCTCTCGAACCTGCGTGCAATATGCTAGATAGTATACTATGCCACTCTTTCCAAAATTCCCAAATCAATGCTGCCGCGCAACGTCAACATCCCAGTGCGGACGTTATGTTGCTTTCAGGAGACACCGGCCCCCGACTGCCCTTCCCCGCAGAAACTATCAACCATAATATACCCGCAACAACCAGCATGCGAGCAACACGAGTCACGCCCCCGCCGACTCTTGAGTCCAAGATTCCTCTCGTCGATTGCTACGAGTGCTTTCTCGATTGCTATCAACAAATCCTCCAACAGGAAAACACCTCTCGTCCCAATCTCCCGGTCCGAACTTCTTGTCTATTGCCGTCCCGATTGTGCAGTAGCTGCGGACACAGTGCAAGGCAGCAGAAGTAGACGATCCTCAAGCCGTCACCGCGGGTCAACAGCCTCGCCGAGATGAACACCTCTGTCGGGTCGTACCAGATGGTCGGGGCTTTGGTGCACTGTTCCATTGTCCGGGGCCAGATCAGTCTACTGCTCGATTGCAAACCAGCCAGGGAGAGAGGAGAATGTGATGTGGTCTCACCTGCCGTATTAGCCGGTCGGTAATGGATCACGCTCGAGGCATCGCGGAGTCCGGGGGTGTCGTTGACGATCGGACTGGCGAGAGCCAAACAAGTAAGCGCAGAGATAACAAGGGTGGACAGAATGAGGTTCATTATCAGATGATAGAATGTATGGATCTGGCGGAGCGGTTGGCCATCAGTCGGGCAGATGGATATATCAGTCTATCAGTCTCCTGTCTGGCCAAGGATGCTACAGGCAGCAGGGTACGAGGCGGGGAGAAACCGGTTGCTAGATGGACCTAACGTCGCAATAGAAGATTACCGGTAGGCGGCATAGTCGATTCCAACATCTCCAGGTGTGCGATGGTCTCACGATCAGCCATCGACCTTTCGTGAAGCGTGTTCGGCGCAGAATGCGGTGAGTGATCGGAGGTGTCATATGCACCGGAAGGATGCATTCGATAGATCGGTCCGGTTTGCTGCAATGATCGCCCCTCTATTGCCGATACGATCTCCACGCTGGGAAGGCTCAAAGATTAGGGCAGAAACTGCACAGCCAGTCGAATGAGGTAATAAGAACTGCATGATAGAGACATAAGATCTATACAACGCAATGTAGTAAGTTACTGCTATAATGCTAGGGTAAATATTACAGCCCGTGGCCGTGGGCTGACTCATTGATGAATATATACAGGTGCTGAATTCAACAGCAAGGGGCAAGTAGGATTTCGGCGTCAGTGATAACATGACCATGTCTGAGATATCAAGTACAATGCCGGTTGTGACGATCGGTTTGAATTACTGAACAACTTGGACAGAAGAAATTTGGGGGATTGTGGTGTTAGGTTGTTGAGTTAGTGGACTTGTTGGATTAATAAAGACTTACAATGCTTGGAACTGAGCAGTGAATGTGTCCAACAATTTGAGCCGCCATTGCTCCAGCGTCAGAAAGATGCTCATGGATTGAAGACTTTTTTTCTCATCGGAACTATATGTGACTGTTTCGGTCCAACGTGTGACTTTCCACCATCCCCTCTTTTTCGGAAAAATAGGCATTGCCAAATCACATCCATCTGAGATCAGGGCTAAATCATGCCCTGAGAAAATAGAGTACCGGACCCATGTGGTGTACAAAAGGCAAGGAAATGCGGCTGATGAATATTTCCGCGACTGAGACTACTTGTGGTAATGGAGACCAACAAGTTTCTTTCTCCTTTGTCCCTATATGGAGAATTGGACCGAGATTCATGATTCATTTTCCACTACCCGAATACATCCGCAAGGCCCAATCGGGAGCCGCTGCCCGAGTCATTCACCTGGTACCGGACCACTGCCGTGCTGGTTGGACTTGCTGCTGGAAATCGGTGTCCATGTGATTGTGGTTTCAGACTAGGCAAAGTCATGCATAACAAAGTCGAGAATCTCAGGGCTAATCAGTGGAAGAAAGGGGGTTTTACCCAAAGGGCACGTTTGACTGGCCTCTGTTTCGCACATTATCCTCTTCCTCGCCCAAAACATTTATTTGATCCACTCCAAGGCCTTGCTCCGTTGGCTTATTGAACTTTGGTCAGATCAGACCATGCTAGCGCATTGTTCGTGGTCATACAAATTTATCAAAGTCGATCCACTACTTCAGTCCAAATATATCGCATGCGAATTGCATATCACAGGGGGGGCAAGCACTAGAAGCATAAGCCCTCCACGCCCAACAGCTTCAATCCATTTCCTCCCCCGCACTCACACTGGCCTGCTAATACTCTTCCAAACACACCTTATGATTCAATAAATCCAGCGTTTATATACTTATTTACGATAGAGCGCTGCCCCCTTCTCCATACAATGACGGGGAATCTCATTCGAAACGCAGTGCTAAATGGTACTCGTCTTAGAAGATAGATAGACCTACCCGAGTATAAGAATTAGACTACAAGCCCGAGTGAAATTTCCACAAGGACACTGAAGTTACTTGATTTGGGCAGTGAGTTGTACACCCCATGAAGTCGAGGATTTCTTGTTTACTCCTGTGATCACCCTCTTGCGCTGGAAATCAATATGCGATAGCCTGTGGGCTTTGGGATGTGCATTTCTTGTGTCGCTTTCAAGAAGGACCGCTTGTTCCAGAGACTCATCCGGAATCAGGACAAGGAAAATGAAGGGAGAAGGGGAAGTTTATACTGGTATAACAGAATGTCTGTACGCTGCAGTAGAATGAGCGGTAGAGTGCCGGTACCCTTGCCTGCAGTGCAGGTGCTGATCCATTTGCGGCGCTGACAGCGAAATGGAATTATCAGACTGGATAAGGGTCATCCGGGGTGTCAAATGCAAGGCGGTTATTCAACAACATTCACTACATGCAATGATCGGCCCTTCTATTGCCACCACCATGAGCACTGGCGGCATGGAGATTCATCCGCGCCCGGTATTTCGGTGACTGTAATTGCTTTCCTTTCTACAGGGCTTCGCTTATTTAGGCAATCTGAGAATGAGGATCAGCGACCTCTCCAAGGTTTCTCCCCCTAAGCCCCAATCGTAGTTTCAGGAGGTTCAACTGCCAATCGTGTGATTCAGGCATCCTTGATCATATCACGCGTTCCTACTGAATTTTACCATATCCCTGCCACTCACAGGCCTGAAGAGTGAGATGCACCGACACATGCATGCCGTCGTATATCCTATCATTCTCCCACAGATGCTCATTATCGTGAAGAAGGTGAAAACTTACTGTACAGTCGATTATATTGGACGAATCGATATCCGTTTACCTCGTGTTTCCAAGATCATGGGATGTCGTACTGAAGCGTGCTGAGTCTTGGCAATTGCCAGTGTTATGGTACTCCTCGATAGCCTGATACGAGGTACTCTAGCATCTGAACGCAGTGAACGAACCTGCCTAGTGTTTACTACTGATGTGTCCCTCTGTACTGCTCCTTGACCTTCCTCAATCATTGATCCTATCGTACAATAATGCTACAGACTCAACCAATCTTCACCAAGAACGATCTTTTCAAGCGATGATTCGTTTGAATTCGGGCACTACTTTTCCGCGGACTCGCCTTTCATACTAAACACTCCTTACTCGCCAATCACTGCGGACAAATCAATCTGCTCTACACGATCTACTTTGTGATGGCCCGATTTACTATTGACGTACATTGCCCACTGCGCCACCACGTTGACCCAAATTAGATGCTGCCTCAAAGAGCGAGAGCTCGTGTATCCGTGGTCAGGATCCTCATACTGTCAAGATAATTTAATCTATACTAGCGACATGTCTTGGTATCGTGGACTGATCTGTGACCATCGGCAGTCCGATGTCTCCATACGAAGAGTCTAAAACGACCGTTCAACAGCGAAGGACCTAGCTGTAGTCCATGTTGATCTCTTTCAACACGAGCCTGGGGATTAGACCAAGTCAGTTGTGTGAGCTTAGCTCCAAAAGCTATAAGAAAAGCACTTCGCTCCGGCAAGCCATCCTCATATCAACTATTCTTTTACCTTCTATAGTTTACATAACAGTTATCCTCTTCAACAAATCCATTATTCTGCGGAAATGAAGTCCATAATCCTTCTTCTTGCGGCTCTTCTGCCCATGGCCATGTCTTCTGCCGTACCTGCAGACGCGGACGCGAAAGTCGAACTGAGTCAGAAGCAAGAGCTTTCCGGCCACAATTCCCTGCGGTGCCAGGTCGGAAGCAGCACTCAATTCAAGAACATCTCTTGTGGTGGGGCTCCGGTTGCAGGCTCCTACACCAACGGGCAGGCCATCTTTCTGAGGTGCAAGATTAGTAGAGGCGGCGGCACGTAAGTCCACCCGTGCTCTGCCGTGATGCAATAGAGCTCGCATGCGTGGGGCTCTGCATTGCTCTTTGATTGACGATTATCATCTTACGATACTATCAGTACATGGTACAAGACCAAACAAGGGACTTGGGTTCTAAATGCGAAATGTAAGAGTAAGGGCCCCCGCCTCATGTTCTTTCGTCTATGAAATTCTTATTTGAGGCTGTCTGCTCCTGCGGTGAATATACTCGTGATTCTCGAACAGGCGGCAACATAAACAATTTGCCTGGATGTGATATCCAGGGCACTCTCGCTCACGTATCAAATCTGTCTTCGATGAGATGGATAGTCCTTGAAAATTTATGTCTTTGTTAAATCAAAGGTGCTTCACTGATCAGTCCTTCCTTCAAACAATGATTGTTGCAGAACGTGGCCATGTTCAAGATCATAGTTTCTATCGAACCGTGTATTTCTGCTTTTCTCTACGTAACTAGGTGTTTCCTACAATCAAAAGTGTTTGAACGATGCTATTAGACTATGAGAGATGATTGTAGAAGATCCTCGCGGTGCTGCCTAAACTGGGATACAAACAGATACTTGTGGTAGTATGGTGGTACAGCGTGGTGACCGGGCTATCGACTAACGAAACACACCCGTGTGCCCCAATTCCGGTAGCGGTGCGTATGGTCCGCACTAATCGACCATTAGACATTTAAGGAAGAGACAAAACCCAATGCCCAAAGCATCAAATCTGGCAGTACCTGCCTCGACAAGCGCCGATACATGTATAGCTTTTTCTGATTCCTGGGTTGTCGAGACTAAAGTGCTGTCGGCACCTCGTAAGCGAACCGTTCCTCCCCAGCCCACATCGGGAACGAGTTAGCTTGCCCTTGATAGTTCTCCGCGGGGAGCAGACTATCCAACTGGGATTCGACACAGCCACGCTTCGCCAGAGGTCGATGCTCGAATCGGTCCTCAATCCACTGCAACCATGTGTGCTTCGCCGCATTGATGGCGGAGAAATGCCCGCCCTGTGAAACAGCCAGCAGCTCCAGATCCCCTGTGTGTAAATTGCAAGTAGCTCGCACCGTCGTTCTGGTCGTATTGTACATGACCGATGAGTCTTCCGTCCCTTGAACGATGAGAAGCGGCCCCTTGAACGGCAGCCTTCCCGGGTTGGCCAGCTTCGAGAATCCGTCGGCGTACCAGGTCTCGTTCCATCCGGGCAGCAAGAACTCTGCTTCGGAGCCCGCGCCCAGCAGAGCAAAGGTCACCATCTGCGAGCCTTCGACCTGGTTCAGAAGATCTATTCTGTTGACACCCAGCGGGGTAAACCAGTCACTGACGTTGAAGGTCGGGAAGACCGAGTCCAGCTCCTTGGCAATCCACGCGATGAACCCTGGAATCGTGACTGATAAGGATGCCGTTGGAGGAGCCACAACTACCCCACCGAGATAGCCTGGTGTCACATCGGTGAACTGAGAGTCGTTGCGGGCCAGAATCTCTGACAGCCCCCAGGCGACAGCACCGCCCTGGCTATGGCCAACCGATACGTAGTCGCTTGACAAGAGCGTGGGAAAGGACTCTTGGGCTGCTCGCAATGCGTTGAGGGCATCGTGTGCACCGGCTTCGCGGATATTGTACTGGTGCGGGATGTGACTTCCATCCCAGGAGGCGTCGACGCCCAAGCCAGCGTAGTCAGGAGCGACGACGGCGTACCCGGCCTCCGCCAGCGCAAATGGAACAAAGTCCCCGTAGAAGAGCCGGCGGTGCGTCGAGGGGGCGCCGTTGGCGTACCAGCCGGAGGTTCCGTGCGTCCAGAGTACCACGGGGGCGGATGATGCCGTCGTAGCGTTGGTCAGAGCACGAATTGGTCGTGGATTGAATGGCCATAGGATATAGGCAGAAGTAGGGATCAAGCTCCCGTTTAGATTGGTGGTGCTGTAGATAATGCGGGACATGGCCGTCTTGGCGGGAATGGAGAATGGCGACGGGTCGGTGAATTCTTGGAGCTTGAGGGTCTTGCCGGGCTCGGTGGGCCATTGATCTTTGGGAAGGCCCTGGATGTTAAAGAAGTCATCCTCGTGTGCTCCGCCGTTAGCCAGCTGAGAACGGTCGAACTTGGTGATTGTGTTGATGATTGCTTCCAGATCGCTGGTCAAATCGGCTTGCTTGACCTGGTCGGCGCTGAGCTCGAAAGAGGAATTCCATCCTGTCGATTGTGTTGCTGCAACTGTGACCGCTTGGCCTGTAGCTAACTTGGCTCCCAGTAGAAATAGGATGATGCTTTGATATGTGACCATATTGACTATGTTTGTCTGTGGTACTATGGGGTCGATTATGGGGTGTGCTGAGCAACTGTCTGATGATTTTCATAACGGCTATAGACATGATGGCTTGTTTTATATTCGAGCCCGTCACAGCTTTGCTGAGACCTATCTTATGCTGAGCGTGTCAGGTGATGTAGGCAACTCCAATACTGAGGAGCTTCGTATAACCTATTTGCAAGGCTCCGAGCAGATTCTACGCGACCATGGATAATGCGCTTAGGGCTTGGAGTCGGGGGATGCAGGGCGGACCGATGCAGCGTATTAGTAATACGCTTCCCACGTTCTCCGCCAAAGACCCTGTTGGCTGGGAGGCTGGGTGAGGCTCAAAATCATGCTTTGATGACCGGATACGTCATTGCTAAATGATGACTTGTATCTACACTTATTAACAGGAGCTGAGGTTGATGATTTGAAATACATAGTGACCGTGCTGTGTGATTTTGACATCCTGTGCGGGTTGAAAAGGCTGTAAACGTGTTTCCCCACCTTACACGGTCATTCGCAAAGTCCGAATGAATCTCAGCATCGCAGGGCATTGCCATCGAATCATAAGGTGCCAAGTCAAATGTTTGTCCTTGTTTCTAGGAAATGGTAATCCCTGTAAGTTGTCAATCACCGGCCTGCAAATAGACTTCTTGCAAGATCGTCACAATCAAACCTTGTTGCACTGTTCGCATAGATTGTGTAAATACATAATCGCTTTGAAAAACAATTCACTTTCGCTTGAACATGACAACTTTTAAAAACGATTATGAAGCTGGCAACATGGCCTTTTTGACCAGAAAGCGATGCTTGTGTCCGTAACCTACCCAAACCTCTTCAACAAGTCCTCAACCGTCTCGACCAAAGTATCCTCCAAATTGCGATAGCGCAAGCCTAACACCTTTTCTGCCTTACTCCCATCCGCAATATACGTCTCATCCAGAGCCCCACCCTCCCGGTACGGAACCTTGTCCTTCAGCTGTGGAAACCGCTTGCGTATAATCTCACACGCCTCCTGATACAGGAACCGGCCCCCAGCGACCAGAAAGCGCTCCCCGCCCGCTTCGGGCCGAGTGAACGCTTGGTAATGGGCCTCCGCCACATCGTGGACGTTGGCAAATGCCATGAAATCATGCTGGGGCACCTCAGCCCGAGACCCATTCACTAGATTCCAGATCGTCTCGGCGGACTCATTCAGCCGGTTGTGTCCTTTGTTTGGGTCTCCGAGCGCGGGGCCGAACACCCAGGGCGGGCATATGGTGGCCGCGCTGAAGGTGAGCGGCTTGTCGGCGCTTTCGACCCACTCCCACAGCTTCCGTTCAGCAAGAGCCTTGGAAGCGCAGTACGCGACGCTCACGTCCGGGGTCAGCTTAGCCTCCTCGTAGCTGCACGGGTTCCAGTCCGCCTCCGTGTACCGGTAACCTCGACGGAGGCCCTGGTTGAGATCGAGCATTGCGGCGAACGAGGAGGTGACGACGACACGGTGGACGGTGCGTCCGTGAGCGGAGACGGAATCGAGGACGTTCAGCGTCCCCTGGATGGCTGGTTGGAGGAGGTCGGTCTCGTTGTCCGATACCGTGAGGGAGAACGGGCTGGCGGTGTGAATGACACCGGAGACATTCTGGACGACTTTGTCGAAGGCGCCAGGGGCAGTCATGTCCGGTACGATCGCGAAGGAGAGGCGATCCACGTATTCAGGCGGGTAGCGGGATTTGACCGTCTCCGCGGACGAAGGGGAGCGCACGGTGCCACAGATATTGTAGCCCGCATCGAGGAATCTTTGGATGACGTGCGAGGCGACGAAGCCGGAGGCGCCGGTGACGAGGATTGTTTCGGGCATTGTTTTTATGTAGAAAAGCTTGTAGAAAAGCTTGCCTAGGCATAAACTTGTTTGTATGGAGTGGGAGTAATGCCGGGCGGATGGTCCCAAGCGAAGTCGAGCGAGGTCTTCCGATATGGCTAATCTGAGAGGCCTATCGCATTGATATATGAGTGCATGACAAGGGATACGGGCTATACGGCCTGGGTGTTACGGATACGAGTTTGACTGCTCAAACAAAGAATACTGACGTGGACTACCGTATCCTGCTTTGTGGATTTCTGGTTACTGTCTCCTTCCGCTTAGGGCTAATCTCCCCGCCCGTTCCCGGCGTTTCCGTCGATACGAGATGCGGGTGGGACCAGATCTCGAGGAGATCTTCTGGAACCGGAGATCAGGGCATTCAACAGCGAATGATATCTGGGATTCAGTACGCATTATCCATGGTTAGATGTTGATTGGTGCCTCGAACATGTCCCGTGACATCTAAGAGCTCCAGGTCTGTATATGAGCGTTCATGTCCCGCGGTCTGTGGTGACTCGAAAGTATTCAGCTTACCCATGACTGCTGCAGGAGGCGCAAGTGATCACGGACGATCAGTTGATGACCCGTCTGGGTTCTTGGATTCCCGGTGTCCAGCGACACATGACATGTGAGTCCGCACTGAAGGTACGTGGCGCAGAGGACGGCTTACTTGCCGCTTACAATAGGGCTGGAGTTCCGTGCGGTATAAGGTCAAGTCAATAGAATCATATCGATAGCCCTCAATTTGACGACGGGTGAGATGGACCAAAAACGATGCCGATTTAATAGCAAAGTGGTGTGGTGACTGAGGCCGCAAATCGGATCTCGGCTTGACTCGCATACTTATCGGATGGCCGAGCAGAAACAGCACAATCCCGGTTATGACCTCATCACCAACTCGGAGTCCGCCTACAGCTGCGTATAAAGTGTTCACCAAGTCCCCACCCTTCCTGGTATACGTCAGGAACTAAATCTGTCGGTCTATCACGACCCAGCATGCCAAATCCCCTCACGTTGACTGAAATTGACCAACTCGAGATCCATGTCATCGTCAATGACGAGCTGGACCCAATTTCTCCAAGCCCGAATTCAGCTGTGCAAGTTGCTAGCCGGTTTATGGGCATCCGGCTCCCTCCACTGCCGCCCGGCACTAAGCGGGGTGGCGCGCAGTTGGAAATGCGCATGGACAACATCTGTTGTGCGGCACATGGGATCTCTTTGCTCTTGGTGGGTGGGATTCAAATTTTGCGCCTCCCAGTCGGGAACTTAGGAGGAACCCAGCAACCACTAATGTGGACGAAAAGATCGCTACAAAAGGTGACAAAAAAAACACTACTTTCTCTTTGACGACGCCGGGGCAGAGGGCGAACTTTGGGAGAGGAATTCCGGTCGCCTTCGCGCGCCGAGGTGGGCCTCATCGAGCACGTTGCTCTGTCGCATTATCATCGCGATCAGTCTGGTATGTGCCGGGGCTGGAGTTCCCCCAGCTAAAAGGGTAGTCATTGACTTTGGCTCAGGTGGCCTAACCAAGGCCATTGAACTCATAAAAAACACGATGAGGGAGGCAATAATGTCGTGGTGGACGTGCATCCGGATCGTCCGGCCTACCGCGGCGTCCAGGCTGATCGGTCAATCTCCCTAAGGCGGACCCTTCTTTCGAGCAGCTGGAAGCTGCCGGAGCGACTTTGCTCAAAAGCGACCGACCGCACACCGCACTGGACGATTTCTTCCTGGTATCCGGGGAGATCCCGCGCGAGACCAGCTACGAAGATGGAATCTACGGCGGTCTGCGATTCAATGAAGCGACCATGAAGTGGAAGGAGGATACGCTGATCATGGAAGAGCGCTATGTTATGTGCAATCTCAAAGGTATGTCTCAAGCTCGCCATCTTGTCACATCGACTCTCGGGACTGTTCTGACTGGGGATGATGGGGCCGTGATGCAGGCAAGGAGCTCGTGGTCTTCACCTGTTGCGGGCACGCTGGAATCGTGAATAGCTGCCGCGACGCAGTCAACCTCGTACAATGGAACCCCATTGTACTGTGTGGTGGGCGGATATCACTTGGCTGATGCAGACGATGCCAAATTGAATGCCACCATGAATGATTTGAAGAAGTTGCAGCCAAAGGTACTGCTGGCGGGTCATTGCACGGGCTGGCGGTTCAAGTGTCTCATTGCGCGTGATCTTCCCAATTGTTTGGTCCCATGTTTTTCGGGCCGTAAGTATACTTTGTAGGAGTAGTGAATCAATGTCACGAACGGTAGGGCTTGACGACTGGGCTGCGCTGCTGAGATTGAGAGAAGGGACGCTGAGGGCCAGGCGATATAATCAAGCGTGTTTGCTCTATTTGGGGCTTATTTGAGAACATATTGTACACCCGACTTTAACAAAATCTTTGCGTATAGCTCATGCAGCCACACCACAGCCCCCGGCATCGGAAGCCTATCCGTTCGTCCAGCTCCTTGGAAGAAGAGCGACTTGAACCCGAACTCGGCTACATCGTTCTCCTTGTCTACTCGAGCGGCAACCTCGATTAACGCGTCCAAGGGACGCAGACCGCGATTGCAGGTTTTGTCCCCTCCTCGGATGAGGATTGAAGTTGACGACCGATCGATAACCTCGAATTCGGAGACAATGTCGGTGCCTACCTTGTAATCGGACCGCAGAAGATCGGAAGAAGACCAAAGCTGGGTTATATTCGTGTTGGGTTTATCCATCCATGTACGGAGGATTCGTTGTAGAGCAAACCCTGAACGATACATGGCGGAAAGGGTTAGAAACATGAAGCTTTTCTGCGTCAAGATTAATTTCCTTACCAGATCCGGCCCATATGCCCCCACAGTATTTCTCAATAAGTTTATTCCGATCCTCAAGGAGTGCAGGATCGATCTGTTGCAATGGCACCCTGATGACGTGCAAGTCGTGGATTGTGGGATTGTTGTTCGGGTTGTAGCTCTTGTAGTACTCGGAAGTGAAAATAGGGTCCGTGGCCGTTAGGGGGATTGCGTCAATGTCAGCGGTTGTGAGGTATATCCCCAATGCTAGGCCAATGCTACCGGAGATGGTGGTGCCTGCCAGCACTTTTCGTCTAAGAGACATGGGCGGTGTATACAGGTTTGTGGATTCTAGGGGAGATGGGCGTTCAATTATGAACTCAAGACCCCAACTCCCAGGAGAATTTAGCGGTGCGTACGGCATCTACGCAGTAGGTGGTGACCTGTACCCGCCGAGACCCATCTAACTCGGACTTCCGAACAAATGGGGTTGTTATCCGTGCCACGCCAGGCAAATGCGGGCTTGGCTTCCATATCCTTCCGTAAGCTTCCGGAAATAAAAATCCGATGTAAGGACAACCCATGAAAGGAGCTATGAAGTCAAATGCCTCGCTTCGGTAATCGTGCTACTCCATGACTTACTGTTCTCGGTGGCCTGTTTCCGAATGGCATGGACAGGTCTACAGCACTTTTTTTTTCAAATAGGGGAGCCTGGAATCATTAGCAGGATACTAATGTATAATGCGCAAGGCCATCAAGATACAAGACATTGCCAGTGGAATTGGGACCTGCGCACTGTGCAGATACATAATACTTTTGACGACGCCTTTAACCTGAATATTGATTCCTTTTCAACGGAAAGCACCATGGTTGTTGTAGACAATAAGGCACTTCTTAGTCCTCATCTCAGCTCCTCGAGATTATGGATGACCACATGTTACGGGGATAGCACCCCCAATCTGAGTCATTCTGCACCCCAATAGCCCCCTTGGATCTTGCACACGGGTCATACCATCTCCGTAATACCTGCAATCTGGCGAAATGCGGCCCCCAAATCTATACGTGTGTATTATCAACTGCCACTGAAGCGGAAGATAAAGTATTGGTGCAGCACATACCTTTGTCGCGTCATGGTAGTCCTTAAAGCCATTTTGCAGCGCGTGGACCTCCGCATCTTCCCCCAGGACGCTGAAGGGGGCCTGGATAGCGAGATCGCGAGCTAGCCTTTCCTTGGTGGGACCGGCATCTGCAGGGCATCCGGTGGCAAGGAGGAGGATATGCTTAGTACCACTAGGTCTCGGCCAGGCAGAACTAGACATACCGCCGACTGGGTCACTCTAGATCGAAGAGAAACCATGCACAGTCAGCTTGTATCTCAAGGCAAGTATGATACATAGGGTGAGGTCTTGCCGAGCTCATGAGTTCGAAGATCAAATAGGTGCAATCGCCTAGTGAGGAATCGATCTCGCGAAACTCTTCGAACCACTTGATAGCCTTGATTACGGTGTCTTTCTGGATTTCCTTGAACAGTGATGGCTGTCAAAACTGCTTCATAGTGCCTTGAACTATACCGACTTTGTCTGTAAAAAAGGCTTTCATATCAGTGACTATTATCGGCTAGGGTTTTCCGATGGCTATCGCTCACCTTGCAGATTTGCAACCCCGGAAATAGTTATGACTTGGTCTGATCGATGGCTCCGGGGAAATCCAACGCCCACTGAAAGTGGGCTCGGCCGTACTCTTCCCCATTGGCGTCGAAGGCATGGATGACCAGCATGTTCTCGTCCGTGCCAATCGACTGGAGCAGGCGTCCCTGCACCACGTACAGGAACATGGTGGTCCTGAGACTCACCGGCCGGAAGAGGAAGTTCTCGATGCCATTCCCTACTTCTTTCCACCCTTCTCTGGGCACCAGAATGGAAACGGCCCGGTTGTTCTGCGGGTAGGGAAAACTCGGAGCTTGACCCGAACTAGCGCTACAATCCGGTATGAAGATTAAAACAGACCATCATTAAAGCGGTCTCACATAGTAGACAGACTCCACCACCACGCAGTGCCCAAAATCCGGTTCCATCGAGTCCCACACCACCGATCCATCATACTTGACAATCTTGGTGTCGAGCATATTAACCTCGTCAGAGATGCAGCCATACTAGCTGGAAAGCCACGAGTAGCCGCCACTGACGATGGTCCCGGCTACGCCAACACCAGAAATCCGGGCGCCCACAACTGTTCGTTTGGCGTGGAACATAATTAGCATCCTTGTTCCTGTTCTTGTATCAATACGGATACTGAACAAAGAGTAGAAAATAATCTCATACTTCCATAGCCCGACGCTACGTCAGCGAGCTTCCGATAGACATCCGGCCATGTCTGTCCAGCACCAACAGTCACCAACCCCCGCCTGTGCATCAAAGTGGAAGTCGTCAAAGCACGATATATTCACCACGACATCTTCGGCTGAGGCAGAGCTTAACCCTTGGCCATAGTTAGAAAGTTCTAGCGTAGTTCCGGCCAGGTAGGTAAGGGCTCTGCTAAGTGACTCGGCCAAGGTGGGTCGGAGTACTAGGTGGGGCCTCAACTGCTTCTGTGCTGCCCAGGTCTGGGGTGGGCAGGTGTCACCACCTACGCCTCGCAGACGTAGACAGGGCACGAGACCCAGCTGTTTACCCTTTCAATTCGGAAGTCCGAGCGAGACTCGCACCCGCCCGACCCGACGTCGGCTTCCGGGACCCGATCAATCTCGGTCGGCAATGCGACCGAGATATGGAAGCCGTTTTTTTGTTCGATCTACTTAAGAGTCTCACTACTAAATGAAAAAAAAAGGGCTACTTGACTCTATTGGTTCTATCTACTACCAACTCCTGTCCCCCATCCCCGCCCATCATACCATGTCGAACGTCCTGGTTACCGGAAGCTCTCGCGGGCTTGGCCTCGAGCTAGTCAAGCAAATAGCGGCTCACCCGGATCTGAAAGGAGGAGTAGTCGTAGCAAGTGCCCGGAAGTGCAGCCCGCAGCTGCAGGAGGTCATCTCTTCAAGTGGCGGGGCTGTTGCTTTTGTCGCGCTCGATATCGTGGACGAGGGGTCTATCGCAAAGTCGGCAGAGGAAGTCAAATCGGCGCTCGGAGGAGGTAGTCTGGACTTTCTGATCAACTGTGCAGGTGTACACTCTGAGACGCATGGCAAAGTTACTCTTATGTATGCAGCATCTTCCCTCCGCCCAACATTGGCATAACAGAAAAGCACGGACGGATTTGATTAACATCAACCAGGTCGGATCTCGACTGGCAATTGTCGGTCAACGTCAGTGGCACGCATCACGTGCTCCGACAGTATCTGCCTCTCATGCAGTTGAGCGAAGTCAAGAAGGTGGTGAACATGTAAGTCGATACAAGAGCGCCGTTGGTCTTGTGCAATTCTGTGGATTGAATAGGCGGAAGGCTCACCGTTTGTTCTCACAGCTCTAGTACATTTGGATCCATGGCGCACGCTCGAGATGTTGCATATGCCCCGTGCCCGGCATACAAGATCAGCAAAGCCGCCTTGAATGCGTTGACAGTGCAATATGCTCTCTCGTATGAGGATGAGGGTTTTGTCTTCCTCTCGGTCAGCCCTGGAGTATGTTACCCCTGTCGTTGGTCATTGGAGATGGTCCCCATGCTAACTATTGGGTACTAGTGGTTGAAAAGTGATATGGGCGGACAGGACGCCGATCTCACCGTGCCTCAGGGCGCAGAGGCGGTGCTCAGGACGGTCATTGCAGCTAATGGCCAGAACAATGGTAGTTTCAAGAATATTTATGTGCCTGGATGGGACAAGTATGATGGCCAAAATGTGGCCTGGTAGATGTCAGTGACACTGTGGTGGGATTCGACGGACATATAAGCCCGGCTACGCCGGAACTGCTCATCAGAGTGCCACAAGTGACGGATCAAACACAGTCACTATACATGAGTGCCTTTAGGTGCAGAAAGCTAGACTTCCAACAGTAGAATATTGTCGATTGCCCTCATATGGACTTTTCAAGAGAACCCATCGCATTGAAAGTATATAACTGAACGACTACCAGGAGTTAACTTCGTGACGGCGGGAACTGGTTCAGGCATCAAGGCACCGAGGCGGTCGGGAGTGCCGGATCGTTTAGATTTTCGCGGCCTGCTTCAACAGGTCCGTGCTTCCCTTTGTGGTAGAACTTCAATGCCAACAATCACTCTTTTGCAGAACCAAAGATAGCAGACTATTTGGTAAAAATGGCAGACTATATAACATCTACTACAAGCATACTCCCAGCCGTAGGTCATTTTCTTTACCTGATTGATCCATCTGAAGTGTGTTGGGAAGAGGCTGACCCATTATCAATAGTGTGATCTATGCCATGCCAGAAAGGTTCTCCCTGGCTCACCGTCCACCAGTTTCATATCTCAGATTCCAACGATATCTGACTACAGAGATGATAACTAGGTCAAGTGTGATAGGCAAGCGCCATGCGCCAACTGTGCAGATGCCGGTGCAGTTTGCCGACGCCTGCGTAGTCGACGAACATCTAGGAAGAGATCTTATCAAAGGTCTGCTATCATTCTTTGCCTATCACCTAAGGACGTACTAAACATCTTGCCGCTAACCTAAATGCTAGCCTCCTAAGCCGTCAAGAGACCATAGTAGATTTTGAGAGACAGGCGCCCAGGAGGCACAGTAACCGCCGCCCGGCGGCCACAACCACGTCCCTAACGCAAACTATTCCCAGACCCCGTTCAAGCCCTGGCCCAGCAGTGAGAGAGACTACTCTCCCCAGACAGCGCGGTGTTCATAGCTCGACCCCAACTGCTTCCTCGATCACAACCGACGAGGAATCGAATTATCATGCAATCCACGCGAAGGGCGTTATTCAGATAGACCTCCAGAATCATCAGGCTATCAGCATCGAGCAGCAAGCGTTGCTCAAGTCGGCGCTGCAGCTGACGAGCAGCATTGCCGGTAGCCAGGCAGTCTCAGCCATAGAAGAAGAGTCTAGTGAGCCAGACTCTTCTTCCCCGGTTCCGGAAACCCCTCCGCGTGAGCTTCTGTTTATGCTTCTACCAGGTGCTCATAGTAAAACAGCTCATACCTGTCGTTGGAGCTAACGAAATGTAGGCGCGCCAGAATCTGTGAAAATCCAGTGGCCGCATCCCTTGTCTGATAACGCATATGCGAGGATGGCCGCAACTTTGTTACGAGACCGTTCTGAGCTTGAGGCTACTAAGTTCCACCAATATTGCGTCTGCATCTATGTGAGAGCAATTTTACATCTGTATCAAGTCTCACGATCACTGGACGATGCGTTCCTAAGAAGTGAGTTATCGAAGTCCAGATTAACTTATGTAGTCGCAGCCATGCGCAGCACCGAGCAATTCAACATTTTGAAGCCACCCGATCTGTTAACCATTCAGTCTTTGCTCTCGAGTGTATGTTTCTATCTGCATAAAATACGAATTATACAATTGATTTAGCTTTGACCCTCTAGGCATTGCTCATGCAGCACATGGGGAGACCCTACCAGTGTTGGCTCTTTGTCTCTTATGCCGCGCGACAAATCACCGCGCTCAACTATCACAAGATCCGCAGACTGCCAGCGACCTCAGAAAAGGAGCAAGACATTCAAGACGTTGTCTACTGGTGTTATTACCTCGATCAAACATTGAGTTCACTTCTCTGCCGGCCCCCTTCGCTCCCTGATCTTGCGGTGTCCCCGACCGATCTTGTTGTCTCAGCGCCATCATCTCCATACGATAGCATGATGCGAATTGTACTCGACCTGGCTCAGGTTCAGGGTCAGCTACGGACTATCTCTTGTGGTAGCAGGAATGAACGCAACGAGCTAGCTCTAGAGATATGCCTTAGCCTCGAGGCCAGAATGCAGGCCATGTTGCCGCGTTTGCAAGCGGTATGTCTTCTACTGTTGACTTCCTAAAGACCATGCTCTGAGACAGTATCTTTCCCTTGCAGAACCGCGACTCACAGCCCAAAGCCGTCCAATATGACTGGGTCGCCGCGGACTTTACCTACTACGCGATCTTCGTCGAGCTTCACCGCACCCGTCTGAAAAGCGCTTTCAGCGCGACGGTCCATCGTGAATGCCTTGGTTTCGCTCGCAAGGCGCTGCGAGCATTCCACTTCCTCCAGCAGCACCCATCTGAGCTGCCGGGATTTGATGATCCATATCCGTCGTTTTTGACCTGGTTCGTCCTTACCCTCCTTCCCCGGTCAACCATGCATCCCGCTTTGCTGGTTCTTTGCAGATGCTTGCAACTGACCTTCAGGCTGACAGGACCTTATTCCTCTACCCCCTCAGCGCCTTCTTCGTCGTCTTTTGCCACATCATTGGGACAATCGACCGGGATGACTTTGACCTCATGGGCCAGATCATCCAGCACTTGGCGCCATTCAAGCGGGATCGCCATTTAGGCAAGCTTGTCAATTTGCTCCAGTCCCTGCAGCGTCTTTGCGAGCCCTTATTCCAGACACCCAGTGATGGTGGTGGGGGCGCTGCAGCCGCGCCAGGGTACGGCGATGCCCCAGCTGTCGCGGCGGACGTTGGCCCTATTGACGCTGACAACCGGGCTTTGATCGACACTCCCTTGCCACCAGTATTTCCCAGAGACGGTGATGATATGTGGCCTATGCCTGCCACTGGCACGGACCCCTCTGCTGACTGGCTGATGTGGGAGCTCTTCAACAGTCAGGTTTCGGCGGGGTGGTTGAGTCAGGATAATGATCCTTTCGATGTTGGTTTCATGGGATGAATGGTACGGCGATAATTTTGTATTGGCAGGATTCTTTTCTTCGTGATATTTAGCCGGCAGTAGCTTCGATGACAATGAGATTTTGGCAAACCACCAGTAATCCTTCCTAAGAATAAAAGTGTTTAGGATGGACACAATAAATTCCGTGGACGTGGCTCGATCCCCAGCCTAGGAGTTGACGTACCCTATTTGATCAGAATGCAGAGCGGTTTGGTTCCCTGAAACCATATGATGAAGTAAAGTCACTTTTGGGATCATAACAAATACCGAAAGTCCACTGCAACTTCTTCCAGTCTAGTGCGACAGGTAGAGGACAAGTTTAAATTGCGAGGAAGTACTAATACATTCGTTCTCTTCCTAAACAATCCCATTGCTCGGCAAGTGAGTCATAAATCATCGTACCTCTTCTTCATGGAATCTCATGTCCTGACTCCCACAGAAAAATAAATGTAGATACAATCACGCATGATAAACATGTCGTTCCGAACAGCACACCCCAATTTAGGATAGCCGCCTCCATCCCTCCCTCAATGCACAATAGTCATGCTAGCTACGTTTGGTCAGGACATCCCTATCATTAAAGCTTTACCCAATAGCTAGAAAAACGAAGATGGATCCTGAAGGAATAAGTCAAACGAAAAGTCATCCTCGGTGAACCCTGCATTGTCGTTGTACTGGGCGACATAACAGAATTAGCTATGGGAGATGAGAGATGAGGGAAAGGGGTTGTGTTCGTACTAATGAATCCTGACCAACCGAGACATTGTGGAGCATCGTCAATGGAGAACGTCCTTCTGAGCTAGCTTCTGGTTCGCTGCAACAACTCAATTAGCGAACTCGCAGGGATGCCATGACAGGAAGCCTTACACTGGTTGGATAGGCGAGTCACACGCGAGTAAAGAAGCCCGCGCAGTATGTAGTAAAGTGCAGACTTGGATTGCTCGATTCGCAGCTTCCGTGTCATTGCTGGACCTTGTCGCGAGGGATATCTTGGTCTTAACCAGACCAATGATCATGCTGAGAAGATAGTACTCGTTCAAGCCATGCAGGGTTCTGCTTATCCTTGTTTCCAAGATCGCTAGCACATTCTCAACCGCGCCAAGTAGATAATGTGCGACTCCCAACGACGTGGCTATTCCGATAGCTTCCGCTGAGAACAATGTCAACTTATCACTACTTGTACACCATATTGTGAAAGAAAGACCGAGCTTTACTGGAAGGAAGCATGGCGGGTTGGCTCACCACAAGGACCATGAGAAAGATAAATCTCATGGCAGATGTTCAAGGTCGCTATCATCAACCCTGTCTGACAAGTATGTTTCGGAACAATTTCATCGTCAACGAGCCTTTGGTAGCAGTCCAGTATTGCTGTGCTCGCATCCAAACGCGCTCTGCGACAGATCACTGATTGGAATGAGTCTGGCGACTGGCAACCGAACTTGGCATACAGCAAGAGCGAATACTGACACAGATAAACCTTCAGCAACGTGCCCAAGTACACAGCGAGCCTCTCCTGGCGTGGATCTGCTGCCCGATTATTCCAGTCCGGGATATCACGAATTGCGTTGTGCAACGCTTCCGCGAGTTCCTGGACCTGCTTATACTCCATCGCCACATCGTTGCCATTCACATACGAGCATATGGCAAGTCTTGTCGGTAGTGATTTCAACAAGATAACCTGGAACGAGGTATCGCTCATCGTCTCCATAGGCAAGGCAGCACCCCCATCCTCAAGGGATTTGTGTATCTTGTCGTCGTTGATATGCAAAGGACGTTCCGTCAGAAAGTCATTGGGTCGGAGAGAGGGTGGCATTCCTCGTTCTACGGCGGCCTGTACATCCAGCTCCACGATTGTTGTCCATAGCCTCCGCCGAATCTCCTGATCGTAGGGTGAGATGTGAGATGCAGGGTTGACCTCCCAGTGGTACCCCGCTGCCATTGCCAGTCGCATCAACGCGCCAGTGCTGGTCCAGAATGAGCTTCCTTGGATGTAGTTCGCTCGCTTCGCAATTAGCAACAAGCATTGACATGCAATTGCACATGGAGAATGTGGCATGACATCTGGGGAGGAAGTGAGCCACGATTCAGCGACGTCGATCCACCTGATGGCTTGCATGTAGATTGATGTTTTGGACTCATTTTGGAGGTAGGTTTCGGGATAAAAGCTGGCACCGGTCGCAAGGACCAAAAGAAGCTGAGCAATAAAGAAGGGGGTTGTTGACATGGAACCGCTCCAGTGGCAATTATACTCGGTCATGAAAGCCGACCGATCCAGCACGCGATGTGTGGTTTCGAAACGATCAAGATAGGTCTGTACTAGCGCATCTGCCACAGATTTACTTGGTATCATGACCTTCAGAACGGCTGCGCTCACCGGAACGCTGGCGTGCTTTTCAAAGGTGGTGCTTTCATGAACTGGCGGAAAGACCTCATCTCTCGCGACGTTTATCCCAGGGTACCGAGTTTTCACACCAGCAATGTATGATCGAAGTTCGGGAAACTATGCCCTTGCGAATTACTTCGCCTGGTTCCCATCTACTTGGAAAGCGGGTACTGAATACTCACCTGCTGATAGAAGTTCATGTGATAGCTGTACCCATAAAACTGAACGAGGCCGCCTCTGCGTCGGAGATGAGTTATTTCGTTAATTCTAGCAGGTGCGGGCGGCGTTGCTGGCTGTAGGCCATTCTCTGACGACAGTACTCTAGGCGCCGGTGTAGCGTCCCGATGGTTAGATCGGACAGGGCTGGCCATCACATCTTTCTGATGAGCCGAGCCTCCGCGATACGTGCATTGCTCGGCAATCCCAGCCCTAACACACCGGCTGCAAGATGGGGACTGCTTGCCACACTTGACCTTCCGCTCATAGCACTGAACGCAAGCCAGTGGTGGTCGTCTTTTCCTGGCCCCTGGCTTTGGTGTCCGCTTCGGTGTTTTCTGAAAGCGATCCATCGTTCGATGTGGGATATCTTGCGCGGACGACAGGTTCGGACAATTGAGGAGATTGCCGCCTACGAGGTGGGGTGAACGGGGCTATTTATCCGTTACGGCGACTAGCAATCTCGGCAATTTATGAACGAATATGAACGAAGTACGCTTCCCGTTTCTCGGCCATTCTTCAGCACGGAGGGGGGCGCAACATGACTACTAAACTATCTCGTGGGGTTCCCAATAAAGGATAAGAATATTATGTTGAGCCTGCTTGGTACAGTCTCAAAAGACCTGAGAGGAAGATATATATTTTCGTTGATTGAAAGAAGCATTATTAGGCGATCGGTTTGGCTTATCTTACTGTCGTATCAATAAATATTGTTATTGTCCCGTAAAAAATATACGTTTCTCATAATTCCAACGTTTCCTGGAAAGATCTTATATTTCAATGGTCAGGCGGGGCTATTGTGCATGGAAGCATGAGGAGTAGCAAGATTCAATTTGTGATTACCCTGCTTCCTCGTCCTTAGTCCTAGAAGTACAGGTTCAAGGGCCTCAAATGAGTTCATTACGTCACAAACCGCAGAAAAGACACATTCACCTTGTTTACAAACGGTTGTCTTCGACTCTTTTCAGCAATTTTCCCCCCGCGAACCAAGCATCCATCGCCTCAGCCATTGCCTCCACATAAGCTCCAGGAGCATCATCTGCCATCGCTTTGACAAGAAGCTCCTGCGACATCTCGTTCGTAAAATCCGCCCGGCAGGAGTCGACCACTTTCGCCTCGTAATTGCGCACGGCCAGGTCCAGATCCCCGGGATGCGCGAGAATCGCTTCACAGAGGTCCACGGCATCCAACATCGCCAGATTTGCGCCTTCACCCGCAAACCAGGACATCACATGTAGAGCGTCGCCGATGAGCGTCATTCCGCGACGATGAGGATACCGCAGTCCCGAGGGCATGCGATACTGCGCACGGGGCGTCATACTCGCGTCGACATTCCGGACAACAGCTTGTAGACGAGGATCCCACGTCGCAAAGAACGTCTCAATCAAAAATTGTGTCATCTTCTTGTGATCACCCCAGTCGAAGGAGGGATTACTCCATGCCCATTTCTCCTCCACGCGGAGACAAGGGTAGACGCGTACGCTACCGTCTCCGTTGCGCTGGATGAAGATCCCGCTTCCCTCCGAAAGGCAGAAGAAAGTTCCTCGGCCCACAAACTTACTGAGCTCGGGAAACCGCTCATCAATGTTGGAAATGCGGCAGTCAATAACTGTCAAGCCAGTGTATTCAGGCCTCCAGCTGGTCAGCATCGGCCGGACTTTGGACCACGTTCCGTCCGCCCCGACCACCAGGTTGGTGAACTCTGGGGTCTCTCGGCCCTGGAACAAGAGCTTGACGCGACCATCAGCCAGGGGTACGATTTCTGAGACAGAGCGGTCCCAGCGGATGTTGTTGGGGTCCAAGGATTCGATTAGGATCTTGCGCAGCATGAACCGGTCAATTTCCGGGCGGCCGTCGGCGTTTGACGATGCTTGGTGGTAGAGCCAAGTTGCTGCGGTCTTGTCTCCGAAGCGATAGTCTTGGTCGTGGTAACGGGCGTGCTTTTGAAATTGGTCCCAGAGGCCCGCTTCCCGTAGGGCCCGTTGACCGGATTCCGGGTGAAGGTCGAGGGATCCACCCTGAAACCGCGAGCTGGAAGAGGTCTCGCGCTCGAAGATGGTGAAGGGGATTGCGTGCCTTTGCAACAGGGCTGCGAGAGTGAGGCCTGACGGACCCGCGCCGATTATCGCAATGTGCTGTGGCATTGTGCTATTGAGGAAGTACAAGAGTTTGCTGTGCTAGATGAAAGCTTGCGGAAGAAATATTTATTTCTGCTTCCGTTCAAGTTGTTGCTGGGAGCACAAATGGATCAATATTTATAGACGTCGAGGAGTAAGATGCTTGCAAAGCTCTATACAACCATGGCCTCGCCCAAAGCTCGGTTTATTCGAATAAGCCGACCAAATGTCCGAGGCCGGCTCGGCCATCTCGCAAACCCCCTGTGATCACCTGCAGCCAACTTGACCTGTTTGTCAAGCAATGTCGCGAGTGGTCTAATTCCTCTGATGCAGATTACCCAGAAGAATTGATGACCAGAGGTTCTGTATATCTGTGATACGAGGTGCATCTACTGTCATAACCCTCAGACTGGCCAAAGGCGTACATTGATGGCGAGCCTTGCTTCCTTCCCTAGAGACTATTCTATCGTCCTGGCATCTTGCTATCGGACATTTTGATGAGGGCTATGTACTCACACACCAGGACAGTATTTTGAAACAGAGACCAAGGATATGACAGATTTCTCGACTACAATAGAGTTAATGCTCACCCGGCACCAGATGCATGCATAAGCGCTTACATAAGATCTCCTCTTCCTCCCCTCCACCATACCAAACGTCTTGAACGCACTCCTCCCATCACATTCTCCTCTCGACTTTCATTATCGGGAGTTTCAGTGACCCGACCATGAGCACCTCCAGTCTGACGATAATTCTCGTTGAAGGCCCCCTCCAGACGCCCCTCGTCTAAGAAAGACTGACAATCGGTCTTCGCCACGCAGGGTATCCAGTAGTCCACCCCACCCTGCCAAGCTGCTCCGATGTCGAGACAGCGAATTTCCCTCACGCACTTCACAGGATGACGCGGATGCCATTACCGAAGTCGTCCAAGGCTTGGTCGAAGAAGAGAAGTTCGTGGCAGTTGCGATGCACTCCTACGGCGGTATCGTGGGTACCGAAGCTATCCCTGAGGACCTCACCCACGCTGCACGGCACGCTCAGGGACACAACGGCGGGGTGCTACACTTGTTTTACTTTGCTGGGGTTATCCTTTCCAAAGGGCAATCTGTGCTCGGGACATTCGGCGAGTCGCCCAATAACGATGTGCAGGTATGTTCTCTACCAAAGCTTCCTCTGGTTCCACACCCTCCCTTGGAAGCAGCCACTCCCCATTCTCCCTTTGTATGTAGTCCGTGAGTCTCTTCATTGACCTTAGATTTTATGAGGCAGCCCGACGGCAAGGTTAGACTCAAGAATGGCACCACAATAATCTACAGCGACCTCCCCGCCGAAGAGGGAGCGTTGTGGGAATCGCGCCGTGTCCCCCAGTCGTATGCGATGCAGACCACGTGCTCCACGCGGGCGGCGTACGAGTACTTTCCTTCGACCTACCTGGTGTGCGAGGGAGATTAGGCCGTTCCGCCGACCTTCCAAGAGGGGTTTGCGGGGTTGGCCCGGGCGGAAGTCGATCGGTGCAGCGCGGGCCACTCGCCGATGCCGAGCCAGCCGACTAAGTTGGTGAAGAAGATCGCTGCGCTGGCGGGTCGGGCTCGTAAGCGCTGGATTTGACATGTATGCAGATCTGGGGGCGCTCCAGGGCTGACGGAATTTAGTATCATTGGTTCAAGCCGGGATCTTGTAAGTTGGAGGAGAGGGGGGATCAGGGCTTAGGTTTCCAGGTGTGGGATTTGTATGCGCCATTGCCATATTGTCAAGATTATTCTCAGCCTGAAATTTGAATGTTCTATACATGTCAACTTGGAAGTCGATACAAGGGAGTTTAGTTCTAGTCTCCTTTTTTTCTCAATAACAGGGAGAGTGTAAATGGTTTTGCCAGTGTTACTGAACTCCCTCATATTGTGCTCTCCCCAAAAGCAGACGTAGTTCTGGAAAGCAAAGTAAACAAAACTTGACTCCATGATACTCTGCCAGCTGAAGAACCGGTGCCTAAAGGTTACAAGATGGGTGAGCTAAACATTTCAGAACAAGGCAGGATGACCGTAATTGCGGAAAGAGCCTAGACCAGGGCATGAAAGAGGTGATAGAGAAGCCATAGTGATAAAAGGTTGGGGATGAGGCTCAGGTTAGTGTCATCAAGCAGCTAGCTCGTACAATCACCAGGTAATAGTCACAATACAGTGAAAGGACAGTCATAACAGGCCAGTCGGGCGATATTACCTATTACTTACTACATTCACTTTCCACTGATAGAATTCTCCTCTCACTTGAACCTGAGAAGGAAGGCTATAAAATCACCAGCTAATCCGACATTTACCGCTCCCACTTCCTTCTCCTAACACACCTTTCCATCCTCAGAGTCCTTGGCCTACACTTTGCGGATTGTGAGCCAGCTTTCTTGAAGGCCTTCGTTCTCTTTGCCTCACAACCTCAGTAACAATGGGGCAGGACCAGAGCAGTCTTGACGGTGCGGCCTCGCACGCACTTCTTCTAAGCAACGCGCTCTTTCTACAGGCCAAAGCTGGGAAATACAGTGACTTCGCCCTCGAGTGTGACGGTACCACGTTCCCTGTCCACAAGATGGTCGTTTGCACACAGGTAAAAGCCTTCGCAGCCGCTTCCAAGGGAGGATTTAAGGTAAGGAGACATGAAGTGAGATCAAGAAATTTCGGCGACGGGAACTAACTGCGTGAAGGAGGCATCCTCAGGCGTCTACCGCATCGACGCATTTCAATCATCGACCGTAGGCTACATGGTGGAGTACTTGTACACAGGGGATTATACCACTGAGTACGATTGCAAGGACGATACCGGTTTGTGTTTCCGTTGCTATCTGATTGTTCTAGGATGCAAGCTAATCAGGGATGGTGGTCAGAAGAGTCTCCCTCCAAAGGCAAAACTACTTCACACCCAAGCCCTTCGACTCCGATTCTGTCCGAGGCTTTGATTGCACACATCCAGGTCGCTGAGATCGCAGAATACTATCAGGTGTCGAGGTTGAAGACTCTCGTTGAGAAGAAGGTCGACCAAACACTCCAGATGCCATGGTCGCCTGCAGGGTTTGCGAAAGTCGTGGAGCTGGCTTACAAGGTGCCGAATGCCGAGAGCTTACGTGACAAGATAGCGGGTGTCCTGGTGCAATATCTCGATGACTTCCTCCTCGACGATGCTCCTGAGAGCCCGTTTACCGATGATGTGTCTGCCCGCGTGCTGCGACTGATGCGCGAGGCGAGCAAGGCATCCGCAGAATCTATTCAGGCGCTGCATAGTGAGTGCAAGAGCCTCAAGGAGGAGCTTGCCCTTGAGCGTCAAAAGTAAGCGCAGCCTACGCAACATGCGGCGACGTCCGGGAATAGACTACTCTTTCCCTACGTTCTCGAGAACTACTCGACATAGCCCGTCGTGCTAATCATGAACGGCGTCTAATTAAGCCATGGTATGGGGCATGCAGACGACACGGCACAGAAGCATACACGGCTTTGTCTTGATCATGCTATGCAAAAGCCTCGGTGGGCTTAGTATTCCTCGGGGATCTTGCTAACAAAGGTTCTATTTCATCCGACGTGCCTTTTGCCAGTGTGGTGGTCCGTGTGTCTACACTCAAAGCTATGATCAAACTGAGTTGACGCGGCGTATGATTTGATCTGAAGACACTGGTGTCGAAATTGTACTGCATCATTCTATTTGGCCTGTCTTTTTTTGTTTTTTCTTTTGCTCGTTTTGCAGTAATTCAAGCTGGATTAACACGAACTATGCAAGAGACTGTAGGCCTACTTAGCCAGAACCTAACGGCAAGGACTGGGGCGGAGCCCAGCTGTGTAACTGGACATATCAGGCTACGTGGAGAATCATCGTAGGAGGGAAATTATCTTTCAAGCAGTATAGTAACATTCCCTCGACCATTCACTTTGTTCACACTCATTTTCATTTTTTATAGTTGATGACACCTGCGAGAGAGGTGGAAGATGCTTGGATTATGACTATCTGCGAGGAACTAGCTTAGGCCACTGATGTGGGCGGCGAGCAGGCAGCCTAAGGCAAGGCCCCCGGGCCCCCGTCAATAGTCCCTGCTATGCTGTCCCGGGCAAGGACGGGGTTATAATTTACTCGCAAAGCAGCACGTGCGTCCGCATTACCACAGACAGGTGAAACCTTTCAATCCAGACGCACAAATCCGAATCAAGAATCGTCCTCCACTATTCCGGTGCCAATCCCCAATTATTCTTTAGGGCTGCTGCACAGACTTCTCACATCAGATGTTCTCGCTGTCATCGATAAACCGCTAGCTTGATGCAACTGCGCCAACGATGTCAGAAAATTCCTTGTATCAAACACGCAACAATAGCCTTCAGTCCGTTGGTGGCAACGGGGCACTACATGTGCGCGGCCTAGATCTCACAAGATGGATGAGTGGCTTGAATGGACGTGTACGGGGAATCAATCATTCGATCCCAAAGCGCCCCGACCAGCGCTTGAACCAATAAATCAGGTAATCTTGCGCTAGACCAGCCCCTAGACCTTTGTCTATAAAAGCCTATCCAACGTGGACGGGCGCGCGAATATCATTCCCATCGTCGACGAAATGAGTGCCCCATTCCAATCACACCTCATCTCTCACGAGGTTAGCGTAATGCTCCAAGCTCTCTCCAATCATGCGAGCAATAGGCCAAGGACTATTACAGGAGATAAACATCTGCGCCCACAATTTTGGCACCGCAAATTTGAGAAAGCGGATCGTTTCCTGTGGGCGGCGGAGATCATCGTCCTCGATCTGGTAGTCGTCGCCGGCCGTCTCATCGTGGGACTCCAGACCGTCACGCACCGCTCGGATGATCCATTGGATTATCTGTCGTTCGTAGTCTACCAACACAGATTAGTATTGCCATCTGAACAAGCAAATATATCTGCGGTTGGAAAGAGGGACCTACCGGTGAGGGGCACGCTGCCGCAATTCTGAGCCACTACATGTAGCCATTTACTGGTGAAAACCGCAAACTCCAGTCCACAGAAGACATGATACAAGCTCCACGAGAACGACTGGCGCGTTGAGAAGTACGCGACACCCATGTGGACGGAAATGCGAAGCGCGTGGATCGAGTGCAGGAGGGCGTGGGGCAGATGGGGGCTCCGCTCCGGCAGCGGACACGCGTGGAGTTTCGCGGCGACCGTCTGCGGGTCACAGCTCTGCAGCTGTCGCCAAGGGCCCAGGTTGCACTGCAGCCGGACGTGAGCCATGCCCAGCAGCGCGGTGGAGGCGAAGGCCATGGAACCGTAGGTGTCATGTAGATCGTGGGCGGTGTCCGGGGACGCCTTCCAGGTGATTCGCCAGTTGTTGAGAGCCCGCTGGAGGCTGTCGGTTTCTGCGGCGGGGAGGGAGGGGCGGTCCCCGTCCTGGCAGAGGGAGTTTGCGAGGTAGATTCTTTGGAGGAGCGCATGAATGAGAACATAGTTGCCCATCGGGGAAAGTGATGGAGCCGGAACTCGGGGCTGGGTGGTGGCCAGCTGTGAGCGTAAGCGGTCTCTGAAGGAGATCATGGGTGGCACTGTGGCCCGGGCAGCGAGCCATTCCGATGGCGTCGCGGCTATCCATTCCCGGCACGAGGAGGGCAGAGGGAGATCAAGCTCATGGCTCAATACCATCGGAGGGGTGTCGTACAAGATCGTTTGTTTCATCAGAAGACAGTATGCGCTGAAAATGGTACGTATGTCTTCCTCGGCCGAGGCCCACTGCCGCCAATTGTCTCCGATCTGCGAGTGATTGTGTTGTGGCATAGGAACGCTACGAAGGAGCGAGGCAATCCATCCTTGACACTCCAGAGACTCGCGGATGAAATCAACGTCCTTTTGGGACAATGCAAAAGTCGCCACCAGTACTAATGCGCGCAGTCGGTCCATCGTATCACGCCTGGGTACACCGGCCTTTGCCGGGCTCGAGGGTGGTCCGCTGCGGGTCTGGCGGTCAGCCACAACTGACCTCGCTGCGTGGTACAACCGGCGAGCCATTTTTGTTTCGTATCGATAATGCGCGCCCATTGCTAGAAGCGCCAGGACAAACTCTGGGCTTCTTTCCGGTGAGGCGACACTGAGCGTGGGTATGTGAACGAGGGGGTGATGATTGCTATAGCCGTCTACGTAGCCCTTCACATACCGCCCGAGAGCGGATCTGGATGGGAGCTTGAAGTCGCCCAGTGACGTCTTGAACGGAACCAGTGATTGTGTGATCGCAGTTCGTTGAGCTTCGCTGACTACCCAGGGATCAAGCGTGGGCTTCAGCTCTTGAAAGTCGTCTAGTCAAAGTTAGTAACCTAGATTCGTCCTACAACAGACCTGCTGGAGTTATGCGCACCATTATCAATCGCACCATCGGGTACTCTTGGACAATTATCATGTGGGGTCACGTCCATCTGATCCGAGGGCATAGTATTCATTGGGACGATAGGCTGGACTTCTTGGTGATTGGTCCCCATGCCCGGGTTCATTGTGCTCCAGTCAAAATCCGAACTCACCATATCCATGAATCTTGAAAAGTCCAACACCGGATCATCATAGTCTTTTAGAATATCGTCGAAGTACAGTGAGGCATTCTCTGGAGCGTGCTGGTGTAGGGGATCAGCAGTTCCCGGGTAATTGGTAGGGAATGGAGGCTGCGTCTGTTCAGGCTGCGCAGAATGTCTATCCTGTAAGGCGGGACCCGTCGTAATCGACTCTGGAGTTATGTTGAGGGATTGCCCGCTTACTATGTGTTCCGATTAGCCAACCTCCTGGTTTTGGTGGAGGGGACCTACGTACCGTCGACCGACCAGTTACCGTCACGCATTCCATGGTTTAGTCGCTCATGCCTCCTTAGCAGATCCTTTCGTGTAAAAGCTCGGCCGCAGGGACAAGCAAAAGGCTTCTCTTTGGTATCTATGCCTAGGTTAGGCAAGCCCAAGGCATCCGTTCAATGTCTGAGATGGGGGCAGTACGGGTTCTCCGATGACGCTGCAGATGCTCTAATCGTGCAAACGAACGCAGGCACAAATTACAAATCAGCGACCGTTCCGCACGTTTCGTTGCTCCCGAAGACATGACTTGGCCGCTGCTGCGTGCGATGTAATGCGGGGCTGGTCTTTGGGGATCTCCAAGCGATGGGGGTTTGAGGGGGATAAGTTGTAGGGAGAAGATGCAGGTTCGGGGGGAGATTTGGGGTTCACAGATTGCGGGCGAAGGGGGTGGTCCGTTGGTTCGAGAATGCAGATTGGAGAAGCAGACGGATTTTCATCTCGCAGTAAAGTTGGGGTTCGGCATTGGGGAATTGAGATCCTGTAAGTTGGGGGTTGGGGTCTGATGAGTCAGCGACAGTCACGGATCGAATTTTACCACCATATCTTACACTAGACTAGGTGATTTGCATTAGTACCCAGGAATCTTGCTTTCCCCTCAGGATTCTGCTGAGACCCAAGTGTTCTAGCCTCAAGAGACGGTGAAAACATCAGAAAGAAGAGAGTTATCACATCCAGGACCCTGTAAGCCGGGAGCTGCTGCCTCAGGCATCAGGGCCGGACCTAGTTGTTCACTTTTTTCCTATTACTCTGGTCGATATATAATATCAAATAGACGATGTCAATTTGTCGCAAGTCTCACTTTCGAAATCATACATATATGAACATACCTCTGACATTAAACGAGAGCAGAGGAAACCTGAATGCTGAAGTTTCGCCGCCGTGTCGGCTTAAATTCCATTTTTATCACTAGTGTATACGATAAACTAACACAAAGCTTGGTCGGTCGGGCACGAGATTGGCACTTGTATTTCTTCAGGTACCAGACAGAAAGCAGAATTATAGCATCAACACTTCCAAGTGAATTCCAGTATCTGATATTCAATCCTGTCAAATTTCCTGGAGATATTCCACATCAAGCCCAAGCACGTGTTATACTCCCAGTTGAACACCCACACATTCACCTTCTTACCGCCTCATCAGTGGCCAACGATGACATATTTGACGACCCAGGGGGTGCCGCCAATAGTCTTGTTAATTACGAGCAATCACCTTCAAACATATCTTTACTTCAAATAAGCCTTGTCGGACAAAGTTTGGATTGTCAAGCGATGAGGTCATCATGAGATGATGATGGTTCGAGAGAATATCGCCCCGCATGGTTAGCTGAATTCGCCAAAGAGTTGCTGGCGGGTCGAGCCCCAACTGGTTACCCCAAACCTTGTCGATTCAACTGTGTTATATTAGTGACAACAAGGACTAAGGGATCGAATCATAGCTTTACTTCAAGTAGTTTGACCTCTCATATCTACTCGATGTAGTGTATTCCTTCTCCTCACAACAAACACGAACAATGGCATCGCTTGATCTACCACAGTCCGCCAATACCGTCGACGTCTTCCTGATCGACTCGTATGTTCCTTCCCCAGTGACTGCTCCGCTACCCCAAACCCAGCCCGCTTACAATATGCTACCAGAGGCGCCCGTCTGGACTTCCCAGCGCAGCAATTCATGACCCCAGCGATTCGAGGCTACGACCGCATGGCCGTGCCCTCATACTGCTTTCTCGTCACGCACCCATCGGGCCAGCGCATCTTGTTCGACCTGTCCATCCGGTCTGACTTCCAGAACCTGGCACCCGTCTTTGCCGAGCGCTGCACCAACACCGCAAGTAGTGGCTGGAAGATCTCCTCTCCGCACAACGTGTCAGACATCCTAGTCGCGAACGGGGTGCCTCTCGTCGACATCAACGCCATTATCTGGTCCCACCACCACTTCGACCACACCGGCGATCCGTCCTTGTTCCCCAGCTCGACTGAACTGGTCGTGGGGCCGGGGTTCACCAGGAACTTCACGCCGGGATGGCCCGAGCAGCCTGAATCGCCGGTGAAGTCGGCCGATTGGAACGGCCGTACATTACGAGAAATCCAGTTCGACCAGCAGCAGCTGAAGATCGGTCGCTTTCCCGCCGTGGACTGGTTCGGCGACGGAAGTTTCTACCTACTGCACACCCCGGGCCATACACCAGACCACATGGTCGGGTTAGCTCGAGTGCAGTCGGACTCCTTTGTCCTCATGGGTGCGGTGAGTGGTTTTCAGTCTGCGTTGTCCCTAGCCCGATCCGGCAACACAGCCCTAAAGCACAACTTGAAAAAGCCCAGTCACTGACGTAATTCCACGAGGGACGTAAAGGATTTCGCTCACCACCCCGGCGAGTTCCGACCCTCCAAGCACAGCCCTATGCCAGAGACGATCCGGCCATCTCCGCTGCCCTCCCACCCTCGATTCGGGAGTGTCTGCCCCGGTCATCTGTTCCACTCCTTGGGCCGGCACCCTGGGGCGAATGACGGCCCGTTCTTCGAACCAGCGCAAGAGTACACGCACGATTTTGACGAGTGTCTTCGCACGATCGATGGACTGACCGAGTTCGACGCCGACGAGCGGGTCTTGGTGCTCACGGCCCACGACCACAGTCTCTTGCCTGTCTTCACGGGCGCGGAGGATGGGGACGCCGGCTGGTGCTTCCCGCACCGGACACTGAATGGTTGGCGGGAGGCGGGGCTGGCGGAACGGGGGAGGTGGCGGTTTCTGAACGATTTTCAGGATGCCGTTGGGGAAGAGTGAGGGGACTGTTGTCAAGTCACGCCCGACGAAGGGTGGGTCGACGGGACGGGGCTGGGAAAAGGTTGTGAAAGTTGGGGTTTCGGAGATTTGTGTGTTTTGGGGATTTGGGGGTGGGGCGGATATAGTTTCGATAATCAAGCTGGGAATTTAATCTCTTTGTTTTTGTTGATCTAGATCTCTCTAAATCTTTACGTAAAGAATGCCAGTTGAAGAATGCTCAATTTACAATTCTCCCAAGATCTCTATCTCCCAAGAACAGGGTCATGTAAGACACATCCAGTCGGTTATTGAATTGTATGGAGACCACTGGGTTTCATCTACTAACCCGTTGTTGAATGTAGTTGAGAAATGACCCGTAGCCATCTGCATGGGCCACTCTTCCCACAATGGTAGTAGTCCCTTTGAGTCTGTCATCGCGTCGGGTATTGTTACCAAGTCCTGGTTCTGAACTGTATACTCGGAGTCAAGCATCGGCCATAGCTGTTCAGTCATTGAAATGTCGATCCCCGCGGGTGGTGGCGGTGAAATTGCACCGTCTTCACATTGACTCTGACTGGATATATCTAAATTGCATGTATCTGTCGCAGACGAATCTATCATTGTCTCGGTGCTAGACCGCTGGCAGGAGGCTTCTGACTTTCTGACTCCGCGGGCAATACGTGCAGTCGGCTCAGGATCTCGTGGGCGAGAGGTTGCTCTTGCCCACTTAGCGGAAGTACAAACGAGCCTCGGGGACAACCTCCACTGGTGTATCGATACAACTTCCGGAGCCCATCAATCAGGCGCTGGCGATCGCTCTCGAGCATTTCGACGTATCTATCCATATCAGCCACGGTCGTGTCAAATCCGCGACCATGCAGTGCCTTCAGTGCCTTGCCTTTTAGGCATGGCCCTGTCCTTGGCTCCTGTAGTCCTTTGAAATGTGCAGTTCGTACCGGAAGCCCTGCACCGGTGGCAAGGGTCTGCACCGTCACACTGCATGGGGTCTTAGTGCACAGCAGCTCAATCTGTGGTGTCGTCGTACTGTACCTTTGCCTTTTCTGTTCTACAGCGATTGCAGGCCCTTGAAACCCTCTTTTTGATTTTGTTGTCGATATGATTCTGTTTCGGCTTTGCGGAAACAATATGGCGGGGATTTCCTTTTTCCATCTTTTCTTTCGGTCGCGCTATGTAAACCGGTGATCACGGTGACGCGGAGAGAGCGCTTGCTTTGATCAGATATATATACCTCGAAGAGGTTCTGGAATGTGGTCGAAATGCTTGCGAACTCGGTGATTGATCATCATCGTCATCACGTAGGGTTTAAAGTTTAAAGTGTACAGGGCGCGACAGCGCTAGGGTAGGGCGCAGTGTACCCTGAATCAGTCAATGCGCTGCATATCACGGTACGGTCCCAATAATCCCTGGGTCATAAACACTTGGAGATTTTCACCTTGGAGCACCTAGTTACGCTGGGTTTCTTCTGGGCACATTCTCAGATTCTCTTCACCAGCAATGTTGCTTTGCGAGCACTCCCTCCAGACTATCTTCTGCTATGCTGCAGTCTCTATGATATTCCCCGAGGCTGCATCTTGCCCCACTAACGACAATTACAAGTTTTTGAAAGGCAAAGGAATGAGGAAATTCTGAAAATAAGCTGTCACAGAATCAGTTGAATAAGGTTATTGTGGCTTTTCCTGCACGTGGTTCTAGACCCTGGACGAGCAAAAAGAAAATCCCCAAAAGCCGATTCTCCAAATTCCTCACGCGAGTGGGGCTTCCCCGAATTCTGTCGGGGATCTCAGCCGATGAGCAATTTCGAGAACAAGCCATTCGAAGTGAACTGCGTCATACATCAAATCCAACACATACAAATACCGTACCCCGCTGTCTTCTTTACCTTCATCAACAGACCAGGGCACAAGTCGAGCGAATCTGTCTCTCAACTCCCTGATCTCAGTCAGGAAGGACAACACCACCAACAACCACCACAAACCAAGTCAACAATGTCAAACCTCACCTTCAACTGCGCCCTCATCACCGGCGGCGGCGGCGGCCTCGGCAAAGCCATCGCCAGCTACCTTCTGCGCAAGGGCAAGAAAGTCATCATCGCCGGACGCACCGAGCACACCCTGCGGCAAACCGCCCAAGAGATCGGGGCGACCGACTACTTCGTGCTGGACACGGGGGTTGTCTCGCAGATCCCGGCCTTCATCCGCAGCCTAACGGCCAAATACCCCGAGGTCGACTGCCTGATCAACAACGCGGGCGTGCAGCGCCCGTTGGATGTGCTCGAGGACGCGCCCTCCGACTTTCTGGCCAAGGCCGACCAGGAGATCGACATCAACATCCGCGGGCCCATGCACCTGACGCTAGGCCTGCTGGAGCATTTTCGGACACACCCGCACGGCGCGACGATCATGAATGTTTCATCTATCTTGGCGTTCGTGCCGTTCTCCGTCATCAACCCGGTGTACAATGGCACCAAGGCGTGGTTGCACTTCTGGTCGATGACGCTGCGCACGCAGCTGGAGAAAGGCGGGTATGAGGGCATCAGGGTCGTGGAAGTCGTGCCACCCTCCGTGGGGACGGATCTGCATCGCGACCGGTCGGATCCGGATGATAATAAGAAGCATAATAATCCGAGTGCGTTGACGGTGGAGGAGTTTATGGAGTTTTTTATCAGGGGGTTGGAGGGTGGGCAGAGTGTTATTGCGCCGGGGGCGAGTCAGAAGGTCGTTGATCAGTGGTATGCGCAGTTTGGGGGGATGTATGATAAGCTTGCTGGGGAGCATAAGAAATGATTGGGATGGCACGGATGTTTAGGAAACATAGAGGGGAGTTTTGGAATCTGGGTTAGAACAATGAAAGTAAATATTAGCGCTGCATTTCTGCAAACTGTTCTGCGGAGAAGCATAGGCGATAATGCTGCACGAGATAAGGTAGAGTGGAGCGCCAATATCTTCTCTGGTCATATTCTATGATTCCGTACTCCTCTAGTAAAGAAATCGGAGCTACATCATAATCTGAAATCCGAGTGTGAACCACATCCTTTCCCCCAAGAACTTTGGATGGTTTTACACTCCTCCAGCCGTTCCCTGTCTCCCCATCATGACGGGACCTTCGCTGACATCCCCGGTATCAAGCACCTTCATCCCGAGCCGAGCTTCATACGACGCCTGACTCTTTGCGGCCGAGGTCCGCAGCATCAGCCACCGCAAGTACGGGAGGGGGCGGACCACCTCATCCACACAGTCGATGAGCCACCCACCCAGCCCCTGTCCCTGGTACTCCGGTAGAACATATAAATCGGTGAGGTAGGCGAACGTGACGCCATCGGTTACCAGCCGGGCGAACCCGATCTGCTTCACATCGGCTGCATTCAAGTCTCCGACCGGTCGCTGTGGGTGGCCATTCTCGTCATCGCAGAGTCGTTGCGAGCGCAGGTCGTAGACGCCAAAACAGAATGAATTCTCAATGATCTTCTTTAGAGTATCCTGTGGAAACGGACTGGCCCAGTACATGTAATCCTGTACAAATGCGTGATTAATGGCCGTGGGCAAGAGGTATCTCTTATCGGTGGAGATGAGGAATTCACCTCGGGTCCAGTGGATGGGTTCTGTGGGTAACGACATGTTTGATCACGGAAATATTGCGCAACAAAGATATGATGTCAAATCTGGAGAATGAAGGTATGAGAGATGGGTTTGACACAGTAACATCATACTTTATAGCAAATAAGCTCGCCGGGGTTGGGGTGCGTTGAGTCATTCTAGTTGTCAGCGCTAGGTTGGAAGCGGTATGGATGGTGGCGTGGTCCCTGCTAACCGCATCAAGTTACCATCGCATCACCGCACCCCTGGTCGATGGTATCAGAAACACCAACCCAATCTGGACGATATTCAGAACTATCTATTGATCACTCTTCGGAATCTTTTCATATGCAGGGAAGGCCCATTTCACCATCCATTCTGTCTCGAGGATCTGCTTAGTCGTACATCGTTCCTCAGGCCTGAATGCGAGCATCGGCCGTAGCATGTCGAAGATAGCATCCCGTTCATCGTCGCCAAGAACGGGCATCCCTTCCTGTCGTCTGGGCTGCTGCACGCTGTCTTCAAACCGATCGCTCCAAGACCGGAACGGATTGCGGTTGATGGGCCTGCCATCTTCGGTGAACTTTTCCCGTCGCGTCTCCCACCTCCTCCACCACTCCAGCGGCAAGATGCCAAGGGTATCGACGTGCTCACGGGTCATGTCATCCTCCGTGGCAAGGAACCCTTCGAACAGCGGCCTCTGAGCTATGATAGACCATATCGTGCAGGCAAGAGTCCAGATGTCCGACGCATACGAGAGCGGCCTATGTGGTTCAAATCGACACTCCGGGGGACGAATGACAAGCGGTGTGCGAGATTCGTACCGGAGTTCTTTCGGGTCTGAGTATGAGAAGGATTCCCCGAAGTCTGTAAGCAGGATCCTGGCTTCGGGAAGTGTGATCTTCTCACTTGCTGCCCCAAGCCATATAGGCACAATCCCGTGGGATGGAACACCAGGAGGAAGCGGCTTTCCATCCAAATGGATGACAGGCTCGGGCTCCGGGGCCCCATATTCCTCATATAATTGCTCGGGTGAGAGCTGATCAAAGTGAGGAGTAAGTCTGAGGAGGATGTTACCCAGATGCAGGTCTCCATGCACAATCCCTTGCGTATGTAAGTAGTCCGCAGCAAGGATGAGCTGGGCAGCCAATGCACGAGCTACATCTAACTGGAATAGACGGATCCACGAACCATCTTTCAAACCAGCAAGACTAGCTCTTGCTGGTGTGGTGATATGGCAAGCATGAGTCCCATTTGGTCCATCAAGATCGAATGTATCGAGAATCCAAGGGATCATTCTCTGGCCTGGACTGTCTACTGCAGGATAGTGTAATCTGCTGAGAGCGGATATGATATCCACTTCTTGTGATTTTGAATCTGCCCTGGAAACCTTAATTGCGACGTATTTCTCAACTTGTTGATCACGAGCTAGCCAGATTGTTGAATAGGAACCATGCCCCAGCTTGTGGACCACTCTATAGCGAGATTTCAGGACATCTCCGATTCGCATTGGATGATAGCCCCCAGGTCGATATTCCTCAAGTCTCTCGACTCCCTCTTGAGGCTCGTATGAGATTTGGGGTTCATGATCGTCACCTGAAGCGTCACCTGAAGTTGTTGCTTTGATCGCAGTCATAGCAAAGGTGCGGCGAGGTTGGCGGCGGTGGAGTAGTGTTCGTGATTTAGGAAGAGCAGCGGCATCGGACTTGGAAGCGAAGATATGTGGACTCAACAACCGCATAGGCAAGGGTAGCAATTTCCTCATCGCCGTACCGTTTTTATGTCCTTTCTAAGAGGGAGGTAAAAATATAAAATTGAATTACATCGAAGTCTCGAGGTTTTGAACCGCGAACGCAAGCTGAATGCAGTGGCTATGATGGTGATGATGTTAGAAGACAAGGGTGAGTGGTAATCTAGGCACGGGGGAGGGGGCCCGGTAGAATAGAAAGTCCGGTTCCGACGCACGGCAAGTGTTTATATAGTTGTCATTGGTTGAAAGACTAAGCGCCATTTGCTGCAGCTATGCTGTCAGGTGTTGACGTAAATTATCGCATAATTGGCCTGCCTGAGTAGCTAGAATATCCGCTAAAATCTACTAAGAATTCTGTTGGCCTGTCGCCGTGGGCTATGCAACGGCGGGTATGCTTGTATACTTAAGAGGCTAGGTTGGATGCTCAGCGCATCGCACACAAGGTACTTTATCACTAGCCCATCATGATTGGACACCTTGGCCATGCTGTATGCCTGTTGAGACTCGCGGAACTGTCTATTGTTGAGCCGTTGAGCTTGAATTGGATGGCATTTACCCCGCCCGGCTTACTGTGTCAGCCCCCTGCTTTCAAGGTTGGCTCTTGCCAATACTTGTTTCTCATATTAAAAAGACCTGGTCCGGCAATGATATAGGAAGGGTCACTTCATATTTCTGCAACAGAATCCTCGAACATTGTTAATCCAGTGGTGGAGAATCACCCAGGAACCATCTTTCTTCTTCGCAAACATGTCAACGGTCAACATTGTCAAATACTACTTTTATAAGGGTATGGTCCCGAAGGAGCAAGAAAGGGTCCTTCAACTGGTGGCCCTAGCGTATCAGACAGCAAGAGACCGAAAGCTCTATCCAAAGGCAGTTCTTATCAGGTATGGAGAGAATCTGGAGGCCAGAAAATAGTTCATGTGACCTTCTATCTTCTCAGCTCGGGTATGAGTGCTGATCAATGCCTCATGAGTTATAGGTCAGAGGTTCATAATACGACCAGTATCAATGGCATACGACAGAAAGACCCCTTAGGCCCGCATGTGACTCTTTGCTACAAAGACGAGAATCAGCTCGCTCATGGGACTCATGTTGCTAGTCACGGCTATGTTCGTGGGAAGAACAACCTAGAATTTCTACGTGCAACACATGCGGGAGAGAAAGCAGATTCAACCACAAAGCAGAATGGAATGAAGGTAATATGGCCACCGGAGCGTGAGCTTGAAGCTGTACCAGAGATTGGCTATGGGCATTTCATCCATGATTAGGGCCTCGGTAACTTGTTCGAACCATCTTGTTTGATTGACTTTGTGTTTTGTGATTACTTGGGGGGAGTGCAGAACTTTGTTCATGGTCCTTGATTTTTTCCATATTTCAATGTGGGCGACTACAACAGCACAATTGGACCATATAAGTCACAAATCACCGCCAACAAAATCGAGAGATCAACCGGGTCCGTATGATGGAAGCTTGAATCAACCCCGCTCCAACTGTGCGAGTTGACTGTATGCAGGGTAGCTTTTGAGACACTGTGCTGAACAAGTTTTGTCCGAGGGGTACGTTGTAGAGTGTAGCTTCGGGGAAATAAGAGCAGACACACAGCCTTTCTGACTTGCGTTTACTACCAGGTCAATTACATATGTCTAAGCACTTCCTGGTAAGCGTAAGCTGAGCTGAGTATGTTCTTGACCTCAGACCGGCGGTCTATGGCAATAAATCCTCCGCTTTTGTCCCGAAACTATGGTAATACTGCCACCCAAGACCTAGTCGTGACCCTTCCGGTACCATTTGGAAGTAATTGACTACCCCCTCCTCCCACCCGCATCGACCCGGTTCCATAACCAAAATAGGTGTATGGGTGCAGAGCTTTGAGGCTTTTGTGTCGACTGCTTTTGTATAGAATTTGAACATCTGATAGCAGTCTCGACTCGTTATATAACTAACTTAATTGTGGCTGCTTACCTAAGACCTATGACTGGCTTTCAAGGCTCGTTGGTTTGTTCGGAAACGTAACGAATGTCTAAAGGCTTGACATTGCTATCAAACAAATATTTAGATTGTAAAACGTCGACTGAATCAAGGACTAATAACGAGCGAATAACGTGGCGTGTTTTTGTTAAGATGAAGTCCTTGGTCCAAGTACGGCCACAGCCGTGACCCTCCCCTTCTGACTGATACTCTCGAGACTTCCGTCCTTTTCTTACTGCTTTCGCAGCCGGCAACAACTTGAGACCTTTAGTGAGGGCCACTGGCGCCGTTACCACCGTTCCCTCCGCTGCCTCCGCTGCCGGTGTTTCCGCCGCTACTGCTGCTACCACCACCGCTGTTGGAGCTCGAAACACCACCAGAAGAAGTCAAGGTGGCCGCATAGCTCGCGCTATAACTGGCAGAGGTATCGATGCCGATGGTAATCCACGAAAAAAGCCCGTCCTCCACAGTGTCCCCGAGCAAAACGTACTCGAGCACGGGATCCGAGTCGCTGTTCTCAGTCTCGGCGGCCAGGACCCGGTCATTGGCGTTGAGGGTGATAGCCACGGTATTCTCACTGTACGGAGACAACGCCTCCACCTGGGTAATGAGGTCCTGGTCGTAAAACAGCTGGCCAATATGGGCGATATTACCGCCAGTCAAGGTTCCGTTGGACAGCACAGTCGCTCCAATGTGGGCAATGACATGCACGTGGGTGGCGCGGCCGTTGTAGTGGCCGGGGAAGATAGTGGTGAACTGCGCCACCCCGTCCGCATCGGTAGGCTGCAGGCCGCGCAGTGCGGTGTTGTCGAGATTACTGGCGTCATTGCCGTTCCCGTTGCTGCTGTCCTGAACCCCGGAGTAGACACCGGTGGAGTTGCAGTTCCAGACGTCGAAGTACAGATTCTCGATCGGCTCGCAGGTGTCGATGTCGATGAACTGCGCGTCCATCACGACAGAAACCCCGGGCTCGTCGTCGGTCACGTCGGAGCGGATGTACTCGCCCTTGACCCAGAAGGGGCCAACCTCGCCTTCGGGAGAGAGGATGCAGGACACATCGTCTGAAAAGAAGACGTCCTCGGACGAGTCGGCGGTCACACCGGTAAGGCTGGACAGGTGAGAGGTGTTGATCACAGTTGTGAGGTCTCTGGCTTTGAGAAAGCCTACTCTATAGATCAGAACTATTCGTCGAGGAAGGCAGGATTCTTGCTGGAGCAGTACTCACCTTCATCCGCACTTCTCTTGGCTTTCTTGCTTGCAATGTCCCGGCGACGAGCAGCCGCGCGAGCCTGCAGCGCACGAAACTCAGCCTTTTCCGCGCACTTGGACAGGCTGTTGCGAGAGTGACGGAGGAAGCTCCTTTTCAGTGCCACATTTGAGCCAATGTCCTCATGGCCGGGATGGGCTACCGCGACAGCGGCCATCCCGAGGACAACGAGCTTTGAAAAAGATACCATCATTGATGCGAAGACACAAAAGACGATGAGAATCAAGCTTCTACTGTGGAGGAGCTGTTTCTGTTGTTGCTGGAGATGAATCTTCTCAAGGCCCAGCGAGATATCGCGCCCTTTTATACCCCTTATCCTCGTACTTTCCCTCCCTTCATGGAAGGTCCAGTATCACTGTACATCGTCGGCATCACACATCTCTGTCGTCATTCCGCCTGCCCTGAGCCAAGAGCAGTATTGATGCCGCTTTTCCGTACCAGTTTTTAAGCGAAGGACATGAAAATACAAGCGTCGTCGTCAGCGTCTTGGCTTAAAGTAGGTAGGGCAGGGTCCAACTCCGGCGGGGTCCGTGGACGCGCGTCCTTTCCTACCACTCACAGTGAACCCATTTCCAAGTCGCCAAGGACTCCAATATCGCTTCACTTTATTTAAATCGGCTACAAACCCTTCATCCCTCTTGGCGTCGCCAAGAAAACACTATACCCCAGGTCAGGGCGATTAAAGTTGCCCTTCTTGGTGCGGAATCGGGCCGTACCAGTGCCAGTCTCTATGTCCAGCGCCTTGCCAAGACCAGATTTCCAGGCGCATGAGTCCGATGCATGACTGCTGTTGGTAAATTGATTGTCCGACAAAGGGTTCAAGCTTGAATAATTGGGCAAGTTCATCCCGTTATGCAGACTGCAGGTTGCATGGGAGTCTTCTGTCCCGTGCGCAAGGGTAGGAAGCAGAGCCAAGTGATGGGAACGGACTTCAATTATCTTCCGTGTCATGATGATTCTTCAATGTACGTTCTCTCATGTATTATACCACTAGTCTGAGTGAAGGGAGGGTCTGGGCTGGGGTCTTTGTGTATCTAGGGTGACACTGAACACTTTGCTGAGCATACGTGGATCATGATACCGGCAATTGGGCTCACAGCCTGGAGCCGGTCCTGAGGTGCCAAGTGTATCCAACGCATTATACAAACACTTCTTCAGAGGTCCAATATTCAATAATTCTTGTGCTAGCCTAGGTCGGAACTTCCGAGTTCCACAATCGTCGCACGGCTGAATTATTCTATTGTCATTCATAAGAGAAACCAAGGCGATACCGCAGATTCAGGTAAATCATATGCATGGGTACGTCCACATCCGTATGAAAACAGTAATTAGTTTGGAAAGTCGAATTCGTACCTTTGCCTGTCCGAAAAATGTGACATAACCAGCACTACGTATTTACTCGTGAAGGATAATTTCACTGTACTTATGGTTTCAGGTCATCTTTTTGGTGAATGGAGACCTCGACAGTTCTCTCTCAGGTCATAGTTTTGTCAAATCATGAAATCTCCTCCAGCCCCGGATTGAGAGTCCATGCCCCAAGATTCCGCAATCAGGGATATGGAGTAGCACGCAGAGCTAAGCGCTGGGCTTTCCAGATCACAACATTGCGTCTGGTGTACCACACATATACCGTAACATGCAAAGCTCCTGGCATGCATCCACCGAGAATCCAGCATTCAAACGGCACAGTACACCCGTTGTCCTCCTCGATATAGACAGGCTCGCCGGGCTCTACGCTCCAGCCCCGCAAAGGAGATACCCTTCTGCTTGTAAACACTTGTTTCGGAGTCTCAGGGCGCATTTTCTCCCGACATATGAGCGTATCTTGCATTCTGCTTCTAGCTCGATACTCTCCTTCAAATGATCTTTGCGTACAAGGGGATAGACAGGCCTCTCCCCAATGACGAGACTTGTCCATATTGGCGTATGTATCTGGTTGTGCTGAGGGATGTCATACAGGAACTCACATGATGTCTTATTGACCTTTCACCTGCCCGCTGGTTGTTGGTTGCCAGGGCTAAGAGTATTGTGTTGAAGCTGGGGGCGGCGAGCCGGAAACCCCTTCATTTTCTCAGTCTAACACTGCTACCCCGTTGCAATTATATCAGGCTGAATGGAAGCACCACTAGGCGTGCTGCCATTAAGCGATAAGGGACTCTGAATCGAGCCGAATGGCTGGTTACGGTAGCTTGCGCAAGAACCCCTGTTCCTTGGGTAAATGCTTAATGGAGGAGAAATGTGAATGAGAAAGTGATGCAAGGCGGGCTTAACATCTATCTTGAGATTCATGCAGGTCTAGAACTACAACTGGTAAGATCATCTTGCCGGAGGACTCTGTTCTTAGTCGACGAAAGACCATTGCGGCCACTCGGCGAATGAAAGGTCTGCCGGCAGAACAACAGATAGGAGAATCGAATATAGATGTCAGGCCCAAGTACCCTAATAAAAAGACAAAGAAAAGATATTGCCCAATAATAGTCCCTCTTAAGAATTCTAAATACCCTCATATAAGAGAGGGCTGTGGTTTTCAAGGATGCGGAACAAAATTGTGGGGGCGGCCTCGGGATCGGCTTCGGAATGACTCATGGAGGCTCAAGTGAGCTTAGCATCGCTTATTATGAAGAAAGAGGATATATAAATAAGTCACTAGTCAGCCCATAATCCCGCCAGTGGAATAATTTCAGATAGAAACTTCATTTTTCGTTGCCCGTCATGCCCATCCTCTACAACCCCCAAACGCAAGAGCCTTACCTGCGCCTCCCGGCACCGCTCAGCCACATCATCCTCACCCCGCACCGACTGCACCAACTTGAAGAGACCGTTTCCGCCAAGGTCCCGCTCTTGAACGACCCGCGGATTTACCTCAATCTGACGGGTCCGCCGTACCCCTATCTCCGCGAGCATGCGGAAGAGTGGTTAAAATCCAGCTGTGCGGCCGCTGAGCCCGTCCTTCAGGCTCTGCGCACCGAATTCAAAACCTCGGTTCAGCAGCAACAGTACTTTGACCTGTGTCCCTTCACGGTCATTCGGGAAGTCATAGAACAGGATCCCGAGACGGGTCACCCACGGCAGGATGTCCTGATAGGGGATATTGGGATTGCGCGGTACATGTTCTATGAGTATCGCCATGACAGCGCAGAGCGTGCGGAGGCGCAGCGTCGGAATAATGAGCTACTACCCGGGGACGAGGGGATTGCGTGGGGTGTTGGCTGTAAGTACACCAGCTCATGCCCATGGAATTGGTCTTTTTCTTTCGAGGGGAGCTCTGGTCTCTGACTGATACTTACAATTTCAGACTTCCTAGCCCCATCATATCACGGCAAGGGGATCATGACATCGGCCCTGCGGACGCTGATCCATGACTGGGGAGTCCCGCGGATGAATATCAAGCGCCTCATGGCTTCGGCCTTTGTCGAGAATGTCGGGAGCGTCCGCGTCTTCGAGAAGAATGATTTCGAGGTCCTCTGCACATTGGAAGATTGGGAGCCCTATCCGGAGAATAGGGGTGGTGGGTGGAAGTCGCTTACCGTTGTCAAGTGGCGGGGTCTCTGATTACCAGCGAGCCTTCGTTTTGGCTGGGTAGCGCTTTGAAGCGTGATTTTCGATTGCTAGTTTGCGATGAGTAGAGTTTACGTTATTTTTAACAGTTTACGTGATCTTTTGGGCAGGGTTTAAGTAAGGTCGTGACCCAGGGTTATACTTACGATTGAGTACGGGCGGCAGCAAGGGCGGCTAGCTACTGTACTGTATGAACTGTTCATAATCCTTTTCTCTCATATAGAACATGAAGATAATGTGTATAACAATGGGGTTTCCCATATATTCTTGCTCTACCTCTGCCCGACCGTGGACTGGACCTAGATCTCCGCAAGAAATAGCTCATTGATACGTTTAGTGGCTCCGACTTCTCCATCCAAACAGTCTTCTTTTCCGCGGAAGGTTCGTATCGTCATGTCTACGGCAGACTCAAAAACACTTCCAGCAGTTTAGGAAAATTCGGGGTTCCGAGTCCCGTCACGGGATCCCATCTGCAAACCTATTATTAGCATCACCTTGCAAAGTAAGCAAAGTCTGACGAATACATACCCAGGAGCAGTCGAGAACCCATCCGTCCCGCATCCAGGATTCGTTCCGTTGGTGATATCGTTCAATGCATCCGCATTGCGGTAGAGGACCGGGTTCAAGAAGCCCACGGGACCTTTGCCGGCGGCGATCCGCTTTTCGATGATGCGGTTGATTACCGAAGAGAAAATGGGGGTACCTGAGCATCCATCAGTTTCGACATCTTCTAACGATTTTCTGAAGGGAGGTGAGGTATAAAAACATACTCGCGCTCGTACCGCCCTCAAGAATGTACTCGCCCCCATTGAACATCGCGATGTTGTCGCCGTTGGCGGCGACGTCGGGGTATCCGCGGCCCAGCCGGTTGTAGAGCCCGCCGTTTTTGCCAATGTTGGCTGCACCTTTGTAGTATGGGTATGGTGGGTTGTGCTTATGGAAGTACCTGTGCGGTTGGATGTTAGCCTCTGTGAATTCGGGTTAGAGGCGGTGGGAACGCAAGACTGACTCGGCAACAGCTGCGGCTTGATAGCTTGGGATGGGGTAGATGTTGCTGAACCCTCCCCCGGAGGCAAAGGCGATGGAGTATGGGTCGCCCATTGGGTCGTAGGCGGCGCTCTCGCCGTCTGCGACGGTGTACCCTGGGTATAGCTTTGTCGCACCGACGTTGGTAACCCAGGGGCAGCTGCGTTGCTTAGCAAAGAGATATTTTCTGGACGGTCAACGAGGCCTACCTGTTGGGGAACGCAGGACTAAAGATGGTTCCATTTCCAAGACAGCCGTCGTCGGTATAGTCGCCCGGCGGGCCTGCGACGCCGTCGTCGCCGGAGGCGATCAGGATAGAGGTACCCTGAAGACCGAGCTTGAGGAATCTGGCATATTAAATTAGTGGCTTTCTTTTTGGGGAGATTTGTTCTTACTCGTTGCACTGGCGCTTCTGATAATACTCCGGAAGATCGTCTTCCTGCAGACCATAGGAGATGGAAATAACGTTGGTGGGCTTGTAGGTGCCGCACATCAGCTGTCCGGTGTATCCTCCTTGGTTTGTGTCGGGGTAGATGGGGTCAAGGCCCGATGCATCGCCGCACTCGCCGTCAGCACAGTAGGTGCAGTATGACTGAGAGATCCTAGTTAGCGCGTTATACTTTGGGGAGGGTGGGGCTCTTACCCCATCAAGGGCATCGAGAAAGGTGTTGAAGAACCCAGAGGTGTAGATCTCCTCGCTGGCGTAGTTGTAGTCATCATTCTGGAACAAGGTAATTTCCTGGGGATAGACAATAGGGTATGCCAACTGAAAGTCCAGGTCCGACTCTGTTCCAGCCTGATCAACCGGAACAGGAGCCTCGGCCCCGTCAATAAATGCAGGCTTTGGATGCGTGCCACTGGGAATCCAGCGTGTGAGGTTCTTGAAGAATAAATTCAAATCTTCTTGGGAGTAGTAGTCGCCCTCCTCGAAGATCCCAAGTGAGTTATTGGGGCTCACGTCTTTACTTGCGGCAGGAATCTTATACAAGGCGGCCACGCAAGCAGGGGTAATGGCTTGATCGCAGGTGGCAAGAGAGGAAGGGCTCGGAGTAGTCTTCTTGGCAGGCTGGTACCGGAGAGGCTTTCTGCCGGCTTGTCGCTTCCTTGAAGTCAGTGGCAGGACTACACCGGGCTTGATGTAGTCGACATGTTGCGTGACAGACTGAGGCAGACGATATCTAACTTTGTCAATATAGATTCCACGTCTGGCAGAGCTTAAGAGGCTTACTGATCAGTAGCAATGGTGGTCGAACCAGTGACCGCGTTCTTGTAGTGATAGTACTGCGTGTGGAGAAGTGTCTCTGCCTCTGCAGTTGTCGCGTTAAATACAATCCAGGCCTTATTCTTCGTCTGGGAGAGTCGAGACGCATCAACTCCACCCTCGATGAGCCATTGCTTCACAGCAGTGACGGTTTCATTCGAGGGAGCAAAGGTCTCGGCCACTTTCTCTGGCGTCCAGAACTTTCCGTAGTTAGGCGAGACTGAATCCGATCTGTTTTATTTATATCAGCTGAGATCGACATACACCTGGGGAACAGACCACTTACACATCCATCAAGTACTCATACCCGCGGTCGAGGTTATTTTGAGTCAACCCGATCCGCACAATCACGTTCTCAGTTCCGTTTACACGAGCAGCCTTCTGCCACAAGGTAGAGGCGTCATTGCGCTTTTCATGGACGACATGATCGGACGCAGGGAGGGCCGCCGACAATGTCGCCAAGGACAATACGACGAAGGGGGACAGAGACTTCATTTTGACTCGCAGCCTGACCGCGGAGCCAAAACGGTGGCAGTCGACGGAAACATTTATAATCTCGTCATCTGGGCTCAGTGGGTCGGTCAATCTCCGTTTCCTCCGACGGGGGTGACATCGGTCCTGTAGAAAAGTTCATCTAGTGCCTTGATTAAATATAACTCAATATGCCGTTTTAGTCACTTCGTGAGGATACGATAAGAGTCTTACGGTGCTGATTCGCTTATCAGGGAAATGGCCCGCTTTGAGTGCTGAGACCATCTCCACCTCACCTGCATTAGTGGCTCATCACTCAAGCTTGACCGCGGCAGATAATTCGAAAATGCTTAGCATAGGATCAGCAAGCAGTGCTGTTGTCATAAAGTGTTGCCAAGATGGACGATTCTTTGGAGACCGTTGCAAGAGATCAGGGGGCGTTGAAAACTTGACCTACAACTTTGATATGATTTACTTGGTCCCTCTCCCCACCGAATGTCATTCTGATATCCTGAAAATATACCTCACTAATGGCTGAGTGGGTCGGATTAAGGGTATCGCAAGTCATGGAACGCCGAGGACATGCTGTAATGGTCTTACTAGACTTGAATCGTCCGCACCGACTAAATAGTTACCGCCTGCAGCCACGAAAGGTGAAAGGTGAAATTTCCCGTCCACTCAGCGACAAAGTACGCCATACACAGCTTCGCTTCAGATAACCACTGATGGTATCCAAAATCCTTAAGTAGAAAAACCCTTAAGTAGATCTCCTGAAGGCGAATCATTATTATCTTCAATCGGAACCTCTATCACATAATGAATACAGTTTCGTACCATACAGCTTACCCCAACCAGACAATGAATGAAAGACACGAGTGAATGTACAATGAAGAACAAATACTTTGTCCTAAGTTCAACGAGACAATAATCTCTCATGTTTATGCTCTGCATCGTGAGCTCTTGAGGTGTATATAAGTGGCTGAAGACCTCAGGCTGTGACGATCTAGCCAACAGTCGCAACTTGGACACTGCGCGTAACCCATCATCTCGACTTCCACCAAGATTCCCACCTGGGGTCTTTTTGCACCAAACACAATGGTAAATGCACCAGAAGAGCAAATCCATTCAGAAATGGTATCATCTGAGGATTGGATACTGCAGGAGGTCCTGGTCGAGTCCATGCCTTCGGACTTGGATGGATATAGCGACCTCAAATGCGAGATATGTCACAATCACCAGCATCCGGTTCAGGGCACTTTACTCTGGCGGTGCTCAAGGTGTAACGGGATGCATCATGATGAGTGCATCGTCGCCCAGCCAGAACTCGACGATAACGGCGTTCCCACCAGATTCGGTTGTACAAAATGTAGAGCCCCTTGGTTTCTGCGCAGCGAGCTCTGTTGCGCTGGGGATGAAGACGGCGAAGACCACGGGTCCGAGGGGGACGAGGGAGACGACGGTCTTAATCGGCAGGAGCAGCATGAGCCACCTGTCACCTCAGAGGTGCAGCAAGGCCGACTTTGTCTTAAGGTTCCTATGCGCTATCGACTGGATCTATCTGACAAACACTTCATCTGCGAACTGTTTGGTCCAGGAGATGCTCCATGTGAGCAAAGATTTAGCTGCAAAGTTGATATAGAAAGCCACCAGAAGAGCCACCACGGTGGCGTGCCGTACTACCCGTGTCCACACTGCCCTTTGTGGTACTATAGTGAAAGAGGTATCCGCTATCATCTCAAAGCTAGGCATAGCACAGACCCTGCCAAATGTGGGTTCTGTCGTATGTGGTTTCCCAATAGAGCCGCTCTAAAGGTTCACTACTCTGAGCAGCACAGGCTTCAGAGCTGTCTTCAGTGTGGTAAACGATTCATTGGTTTGGATGCTCTTCAATTCCATACCGCCACATATCATCGCGACACGCAATAGCGGGATAACCTAGCTGCTCGTGTCAAGCAAAACTTCAGACACATCGAGTCGGCAGGAGCCGAATTATTGAACGTTTTTTTGATTTATGACCCTCACTAGTCAATTCTTATATAACCAGAAACTTTTACAACCATTACATGATAGCCAGGTGGCTATATGTACTACGGCTAAGTATTAACCTTTTCACTCGGGTGTTGATCAAACTTCGATCCATTTCAAAGGTTCACTACTCCGGGTGACTTCAAGTCTACCAAGCTCTTCTGAGTCAGTTCTATATGCTGTTACTCTATATCAGGCATTCCAAAGAGCACTTAAAGAAAGCATGAATACAAACATGCTCAGAGCCATTCAGAGGTATGCTGCGAGATGACCAAACGGTGTAGCTAGTTGCCACCCTGTTGCTTGCTTGTTTCTCTTTCTTTCTCATTCCCCATTTCTATGTACATTAGTATAAGCATTATTCAGGGAACTGGTTATTACCTCAGTATAATAAGGAATTCACATCCGTCTGTCCTGATGGGGTGCAACATGAGGTGCAAAGAAGATCGCGGATTGGCCCGTGTTATCAATTGTAAAAGCCCTACATGGTTAGCCCAGGTTGCACCCACATCTGTCGAAATTCTCAAGCTTCTTTCCCTGTCGTCGCGAATTTGCGTCAATTACTATATCTGGCAGCTCAAAATCTATCTTCAGCTACTCTCGGCACCTAGGCTTGACTCTTTGGCTAGAGTGCTGCCCCAGTACTAATTGACCTAGGTACCAAGCTACGCAGCAAAAATGCGCTCCACTTGAGATGGGTACAATTCCCATGGCTTTATTAGTCTCTGGACGAAGAAAATCAGACATGCATTCTTCCATGCAATGCGATGTGTTGTTAGCAAGCTCGACCAAGGTTGAAGAACAGAAATGTTGGAGCATTTCCCGCTATGAACCTAGAGCTTGTTGAAGAAATAGCCTTGCTTACTTCCAGAAGGTGGCACATAAGGGGTCACATCAGCAGATGACTGATCACTATGTTGGTGGAAGTTCATGTCATAGAGTTCGATATCCATTTCTGGTGGCAGTCTTGGGTGGAATGGGCTGATGGAAAGCATCAGAGGAGAAGATGTAGGACATATCCTGTACAGTGATTCTTCGCAGCTGTCGTTACTGTGCGACTTGGTAGACGGACAAAAGAGTCGAATCAGGAGAAGAAGCTCTGTTCGAGCGCTGAGTCTTGTAACCATGCCGCGGAGTCCCGTCAGCATGTGCATCTCAGACTAGTCAGCTGTACTGTCATAATGAATGAAACATGGCTGAATTTGCTACTCAAATCCGAAGGCAACACCGCGAGCAGACAACAATAGTGACCAATTGGGTTTTCAGCTTTTATCTGCATCCCTGCATAAGGTTCATTGCTAAATATTATTTAGGATTAACCGTGAGGTACTGATACTAGCCTGTATACACCTGCCCACAATGCATTGGTATTACGCCTTATTCATAAAGGCCTCGAACCCCATCAGCCATTTCCCCTCCCAGCCATCCCATATTTGTCATTCATGTTCTCAGTTACCACTACTATGTCTCCAATGAGTGACCCACATCCGCATGAGACGACGGCCCTGCTTCAAGATACGCCCGAGGAACCAATTCAAGCCCAAGACACCGCCATAAGTCCCAGCAGTTCCTCATGGGTCACTCTCGTCGTGTTGCTCTGCGGCGGTGCCGTCCTGTTCGATGTCGCTAACAGTCTAGGCTCGGCCGCTCAAACTGCGATCACGGAAGACATTGTGTGTAAACATTGCTATTCCACTGCGGTGTCGGGACTGCTCGATGCGGACAGCTGCACAATTGAACCGATCCAAATCGAAATTGCCTTGATTACCGGCTGGAAGGATACGTTTGAGACAATCCCCGGTGTGTTGATGAGTTCAATGCCGGGAGGTACTTTGACGCTGACTTCTGCGTAGGAATCCTTCTCGGGGTCCCATTCGGTATGCTGGCCGATCGCTACGGGGACAGACCGTTGGTTTTGCTCACTTTACTCGGATGTACCCTCAGTGACAACTGACTGAGAGTGGTGTGTAAGTTGTCCTCGGTGGTTCGCGGCCACGTTTGCAGCCGAAGCGCTGATTCACTTCTATCCACAGTTTGGTTCCACGACACTTTGCCCCCGCGCGCTATCTGGTTCTCCGAATTGTTCCAGATTCTAGCAGGCGCCGCGGATAGTGACCTCGCTATGCTTTTCGGCCGTGGCCCTTGTCTGCCCGGCTGAGAAATGGTACGATTCTTCGGTGCTTCTCAATGAAAAGACATACTAATGCTAATAAATTAGAACACGTTCAGAACGACAGTCTTCTCGTATATGACAGCCGTTGCCATGGTCTCTGATATCATTGCACCACCGATCGGGGCGGCGCTGATGTCTATCGATCCCTGGGTGCCTTTTCTTGGGGCTTCCGCGGTCGGCGTGATCGCATTCCTATGGAGGCTTGTTTCTATTCCCTCGCCTCTACAACTGCCAAATCACTCATTCGGAACCTGGCCCCAAGGGCAATGACCAGTCATCTACGACATGGCCCGCTATCAGCCGAGTGCGACCGTTCATTAAGTGGCTGTCGCGCAATGGGAATGTGCTGCTGGTTGTCTTCGGCTTCTTCATCGCGCTGCTGGGACGACAATCCTTTGCCGTGCTACTCCAGTATACGTCCAAGAGATTCCACGTGTCTTATGCAGAGGTATACCTCATATCCTACCCCATGCTAAGATCACGCTTAATGCTAATGTTGGTAACAAAAACAGGCATCATACTTCATGCCTCTCCGCGCCGGAGTGAGCCTGCTCTCTCTTTTCCTCCTCCTCCTCCTCCTCCTCCTCCCTGCCGTGACGTATTATCTCGATCGTAAATGCGAGTGGCCGACCGCAGTGCGCGACAAGCGTCTCACCCAAATCAACACCCTGCTCATGACGCTGGGCAGCCTGGCCATCTTCTTCGCGCCGACGTTGCCGCTGCTCGGCCTCGGGACCGTGATCTTCAGCTTAGGGTCTTCCTCCCTCGTGACCGCCGGACCCTAGTGACTGCGCTCGTCCAACCTCGATCGCTGAGCACCGTCTACACTCTCATCGGGGTGGTGAGTTCAACCGGTATGTTGATCGTGGGCCCTCTTCTAGCAGGCATGTTTCATCTGAGAATGGTGCTAGGCGACGTCTGGGTAGGCTTGCCCTTCTTGGTTGCTGCCGGGTTCTATGCGTTGGCGCTCGCCGAGATACCTGCTGTTAGGGTTGGGGCTGAGGGTAGGGAATGATGTGTGCGATTGAGAGTGTCGTTGTGGAATTTCTTCGGTAGAGTTCTCTGTGTACAGTACATTGCCCATTATCTTCCTGTCAACTCCACATTTACTCCAACTGTCCGAGCTTCGAGAAACCCGCGCGATCAAACTCGTCCACAACGTCCACTAATCTTCCATCTGCCATGACCGCAACAGCATCCCGCCCAGGGCTCAGTTGCTCCACCAACCCTCCAACTCTATGTGCAACAACAATCACAGTATGCCCCTCCTGCGTAAACTCCTCATCAATAATCCGATGGATCGTCGCCTCCGTCTCCGCATCAAGCGACGAAGTGACCTCGTCCAGCACAACCACGGGCTTGACGCCACATCCCCGAAGCACTCGCGCCTTGATCAGCGCGCGGCACACCGCGAACAGCTGGCATTGGCCGACCGAAAGCTCCGGAAACGACGAGACGTTTCTGTCCAGCACTGGGTGCTTATTGCCGTCTCCCGAAATGTCGATAATAGTACCCAGTGTATCCTCCCCAACGGGCGTCTCAGCCGCGATAAAGTGTTTCCACAGTCCCGCTTTTTGCGATGCAAGAGCAAGTATCTCGTCGGATGCGGTGGAGTCGGGGTCGAGGTTGAAGCGCAGCGTCTCGTGGGGGAAGAGTAGGGCGTCCTGCGAGACGGCGATGAAGCCGCGCTGACGGAGGAGGTCGAGTCTCACCTGTCTTATGTCCAGACCGTCGAGTTTGATTGTGCCGGATTGCAGCTCCAGGAGGCGCAGGAGAGTGAGGACCAATGTGCTCTTTCCACTGTATTCACATCAAATATGTCAGCGTGATGCACGGCAATCGGGGAATAGGTATTGACTCGCCTCCCTGTCCGACCGCAGATAACGAGTTTCTGGCCGGCGGTGATCCTCAGACTCAGGTTCCGGAGAGCAAAGGCGTCGGATTGGCCGCTGGCGCTTTTCTTTCAGTGATTATTTAGCACTGATGGTCGGGTGTATACACTTACTGGTAGGATGCGGTAACATTGTCGAATTCAATCTTCCCCTTCGAAGGCCAGTTGGGCGGAGGATCAAGGCTCCCAGCATTTCCGCCCTCGGTCGGGGTGAACTCCTCCAGCGATTTCAGTCTCGCGATCGCACCCAGAGAGGTCTCCAGGTTCGTCCAGCTGACCACCAGACTGAGCAGGGTCGTGTTTGTCACGAGCATCACGTTGAGTGCGATGCCGACTTGCGCGCCGCTTACTTGTCCGCGCCATGCGACCGCTGTAGCCACCACGATCGTGGCCAGGGCAGCAGCCAGCAAATCCAATACCAGACTCAGCCACCGCCGCAGACACAGTAGAAGATACTCCGGCCGCTGCGCATGGTCCAGGTGCTGGATATTGTCGCGAATGGCAGCGTAGGTCCATCCGTACGCGCGGATGGTTTCGAGCCCGTCGATCTTCTCCTTTAGTTAGAAAACATGCAACGTGTCGGAAGCGGGGCCAAGTACGCACTGATTCCAGAAAGCTTGAGAAGACGCCCGCACGCGATTCCAGCTCCAACAAGCGGAGTTGTCGAGAAGTCCGGAGGTAGACCTTCTGTACGAAGTAGACAAGAAGCCCGCAAGCTGGGAGGGATACCGCGAGCCATTTGTCGGCGATGCACAGGAGGGTGATTTGCATCAGGAGTTTGAATATCTCTGACTGAGTGGTTAATTGGGAATACTCGGACGTCGGGGGCTTAGGGCTTACGAGTCATGACAGTCTGGAAGGCTGTGGGGAGTTGCTTGTCGATGAGCTGGATGTCTTGGCTGAATCTGGGAAACATCAACATCTATTGATCGATACTCACAAGAAATAACCTATACCTGTTCAAGATTGACCCGTTGTCGGTCTGAGAGAAATAGGACAAAGGTGCACTGGAGAATATTTAGAATTGTCTGGTATATCTCTTTGGAACAATGAGAACCGATGATACTGACCTTGCGACTATATCCAGAAGACGCTGATGTAGCCGTTTCCCAGACTGCGGTGCAATCCGAATAAAGAGGATTCTTTTGACTGTCAGCACCAGAACATGGTTTTCAAAGCTAGAATAGACTTACCCCATCATGACACTAGTTGACATCCACGACATATTCGACAGAAACAGAAATCCACACACATAAAACGCGGTGTGCCTGCCGTCGGACTCGGTCCACAGTCGCAGCCAGTACTGCGGGAGCGTAATGAAGATACTGTATGATGCGCTCGTGGTAATCAGAAGAATGAGGTTGATGGTATCGATGAATCTCAGATAGTATGCTGTGTCCAAGTCAGTAATGTACTGAGTCGCGGATTGTACCCTTACCGTAGAGAGCAGGATCCCCTGTCTGTCTTGCAAGATCCATTTCAGTCTCGTCTTTGGCTCGCAGTTGAGCGCCAAGCGCCTCATATTTGGCGGTCAGAACAGCATTGTTTGGCGTGCGTTTACTGCCTGAGAACTTCTCGATGGATACAGCTTTGATCTTCAGATTTTCCCAGCGTCCCTGGTCTACAATCCGATGCTCGCCGAGAACCACGATGTAATCTGCAGATTGGAAGTACTGAGCTGCCCTGCAGTCAGCAACTGGACTCGTAAAGATGTACTTGGTGGTGTACCTGAGTTTGAGACAAGAACAGCAGTAGTATTCAGTGTTCGAACAGGTCCGTCGGGCCCAAAAATGTTGTCAAAGACCTTCTGTTCCGTGTCGCCATCAAGGCCGCTGAAAGTGTCGTCAAGTAGGAGTAGATCGCATTTGGCAAAGAGGGCCCGTGCAAGTGCCTGGAAACATTAGCCAAGGAATTTTTATGTGCATGCAGCAAGCATACCACTCGTTGTCTCTGCCCACCCGACAGATTCAGCCCACCACTGCCACACACAGTCTGATCTCCACCAGAAAGTGAGTCGAAGTCATGGGTCAGACAGCATATTTCTGTGACCTCATGATACCACTTCTCACTTTCCCGCGTCTTCGCCACCGTAGCACCGTAAATTGCCTTTTTGATTGTCGCGTTAGGTAGCCAAGGCTTCTGTGCACAATAGGCTATTTTCGGTGCGGACACACTGATCGAGCCATGGGCAGGGACAACCTCTCCCAGTATAGCGCGCAGTAGGCTCGTCTTGCCACTGCCCGTTGGGCCGGAGACAATAACAAAGGATCCCTTGGCTATGTCGAGGTTAACGTTCTCCAAGACTGGAGGTTCATCACCGATACGCAGCTGGTTGATTTGCATAGCCTCGGCTGGCTCTGATATCTCGCCAGTGACCCGATCAGCAAAGAATGTATCATGTGTTTCCTTTGCTAGTACCGCACGATTAACTGGTAGGTTTTCGTGGAGTAGAAAGGCTTGAATTCTTTCAAACCCCGCGAAAGCGGCTACTGCACGCGGAACAATTGTCATGACCATATTAGCAGGATGTGTGATCATGCTCAGGATGGCCATAGTGGTGAATGCCGTCTCAGTATCCAGCTTGCCCCCGCGAGCGACCGCGATGAGAGCATAAATCACCACAGTGATAGCGGGGGAAAATATTCCAAGGGCGTTGGCTGTTTGCCCGTTAGTTTCAACACCAATGTCGAAAGGGGATAAAGTGTGCGTAACAAACCTGATGCATTGTAGTATACCATAACCCATCGCAGTTTCGACGCAGCCAGCAGCTCTTTCTCTCGCAGCCATTGAACGCGATGGGTGAGATTGTGTTGAATCCCAAGCATCTTGACTCCCTTCATCGCACTCAGTAGAGAGCTAGTAGCGCCTAGCCGTTGCTGCGTAGCTGAATTCCAGGCTTTTTGCCGCGGCTGCAGGTGTTTTGCGACGAATCGGCTCATGTGCGAACAGACTAGGACACCCTTAGCCGCAGACTCGAAGTAGTGGAAATACGCACTTACGGTATATAAGAAAAAGAGGAAGGGGCCAGATCCAGCCAACCTGGCTGGCCAGAAGCCCGATCCCGATCAACACCTCGACGACCTGAGCCCATGTTTCATGAACCATCTCCGCGATGCCATCGAGACTGTCTGCGTCGGTGCTCATGAGCGTGGTCGCCTCGCCGTTGTTGTAAGAGATGCTGGGCGACTTCATGGTTTTGTCGTGAATTAGACCCACCAGGGCGCTGTTCGTCATGAGTTTCAATTGGTTGATGCGGTGTCGGTATACAGCGGTCGAGAGCTGGAATGAGACATTAGATCAGGGGGGAAGCTTGAGGGCTGGAGGGAGAGCTACAGCGAGACCACCATAGATCGCAAGGGCAGACACAATGAGCACAGCCCCGCGCCCACTGCCACTGCCTGTAAAGTCTGAACTAACGTATCGGATGGACTCTTTTATCAGTTTCGGCTGAGAGTAGCGAAAGGCGAGGAGAGATAGCCGTGGAACAACAGCTGCGAGGAAGGGTCTTTTGAGGCATTGGTACAGAGCCATTGGCAATGTCCGCTTTGTCTCGGGTTTGACTAATGTGATTTAGCAAGATGCATGTGTTCGCTCAAGGGGCATACACAGACCACGCTGAGACCATGATTCCAGTATTGATTCCCGTGTGATTGCTGGTTTCATATCTTGACGCAGTGTTGGCACGTGTTCCTGGCTGAGAATGCTCCTGTATCCTTGGAGAAGGATGGGATTGATCCATAGAAACAAAGTCCTGCTGATGAGACCGCGGCAATCCTCTGGGGACTGCTCTTTGTTCACACCGTCCAAAATCGAACATCGAGGGGTGCAGAGCTCGATGATGAAAAGCGTCGTATGCATCAAACAGCGAGTAAGGGTCACATGTGAGACATTGCCATTCGACTCATCAGGGATTATCCTCAGGTAACCGACGTCGCATACAACAGCTGCTACCAAGTAGACTAACACTGGGACGGAGGGTCCATAGCCTCGTTGATGCTCCTTGTATAGGAGCAAGCCTAAACTCAGCCCAGCAACAATAGACGCGAATATTGAGATCAAGATTTCAGTCTTATCTTCGAGGTCAAAGGTCGAGATTTGGACCCAGTAGTAAGATAAAACCACAG